TTCCCATCGGCCTCAGCTGTTTGTGTTAAGCGCTAATTTGCCTTTTTGCTGTGAAAATTTGAAGTTGGTTGTAGAAAAAGACAACTATTCAATCTTGTCCTATTCAAGCAGTTTTATATTTTACTGAGATGAAGCTTAAACCTCAGTATATTAGCATTTTCACTGTGGGCATATTGTTATTGCAACCTTGACATTTTGCTTCCAGTCAAAAACATGGCTGTAGACTGTTGTTTTCTTCTTTTTGTACCTTACCATGTGTGTGTCGTAGCCCTCGTAGAAGTGGAATCTTCCCTGCATGCAGACACACTCACAACCCTGCAGCTTTCCAAACACCAGCTGGCCGACATGGCCCTGAACTGCACAGCACACGTTTGTTATTAGCAGATGGTAGCATGCCTTTGTACAGTTTTCAAAAAGTAACAAAGAGTTTTCCTTACAAAACACTTAATTAGGGATGACCTACCAGTGCTGACGGGAAAACGAGGAATATCCTTATATGGAAACACAGTTTTGTCAACCAGCAGGTCAGCCAGACCACTGAGGCCTGAACCACAGATGATGGCAACTTTAGGATGCTGCTCCGTGTGAGCTAAAAGCCAGTCTGCTGTCTCCTTATATTCTTCATAACTGTATCTGTGAGTCATAAAAATAAATAAACATCAGTCTAGAAATGAGAGTCTTTGCTGTCTGAGAAAAGCATACAGGATTACAAAACCACACCTACTAGAATTAATTCAGTGGTGTCTCAATTACAGCAACAAGAGTAAGATAGGACTGCAGACTACTGTATATGGGTTTTGTCATGCCGTAGTGTCATAATACACAATAATGTATAAGAATCATTGAAAATATCTGTTAAAAGATCAGCAGGATGTGATTACTCTGAAATGTAGGAGTACTGTAAATGCGCATTGAAAAGTAACATTGCTTATGAAATAATTAATAATATATTGTGAAACTTACTTTGTCGTTTTATACGTGCCATTAAACATATTATTATGGGGTGCTGATTTGATTGGAAATGCCGTGAGGACCTAGATGAAACCAGACCAAAGACATGTAATGCTGATTATAAATCTGGTTGTGAAGTGTTAACCTGGTTTCTGCTGCCTTACCTCAAGCTTTGTTATCAAAACACAATTAGACTCGAGGCTGCAGCCTTTGCCAGAACAATCTGCCCAGGACAAACCAGATGATTTTGAGCCCCATGTTAAAGCAACCGTAAAAGATTATAGCATTGGGTGTTTAATCTTCAAGCATTGTTTACATATTTAATTCTAGATCAAAAAGGACCTCAAACAGTTTTAACTAACCTCTGAGAGCGGAAAGTCAAAGTTTTATAAGCGGATAAAGCCCGAATCAACTTTCTGTGTGTTATAGAGTCATTTAAACAACAAGTAATTTATCTATTCTATAGTTCAAACAACTGTTGTGACACAAATGTTGACTGGCTGACATTACCCGCCTGTCAGTTGCAGAAGTTGCACATCACATAATACTTCAGGTGTTATTGACAGCTTTACACACCCACTAACAGGCAAACTTAGGCAGACGTACAGATAATAGCTGTAACTTCTGCTGCATCATTGGTGTGTGATAAAACAGAGCTGGAAGAAAAAGTTGAGAATGATGACTGAAAAACACTTTTTTTAATTGTTAACCCAAAACACTAACACTTACACCAATCAGCGTGTATCTGCAAAAAATAAATCTACCTTGCAACAAAACATGATGAGATGTACTATTTTATACAAGTGATAATATATTGACCCTTTAAACAGAAAGTAAAAGGGAAAATGTTTCTGCACTGCTGAACTTGTAAAAAAGAACTGTTTTGTGTTATTTACTGTGTTGTTTTTTTCAATCCTCAATTACTACTAATTTATTCTTAAAAACATTAACTTTCCAATCACATTGATGCTCATTGATCATGCTGGTTACATAGGCCTATATTATGTAATAGCACAGAAGGCTAGCAGGTTTCACTCGGACAGGCCAGCTGTTCGTGGAGCTGTCCGAGGTGCTGCTGCTGCTTGAATGTGAACCATGATGTGAACAGATCGGATAGGCCTCCAAGTAGTCTGCATTGTTTTTCCTGCTGTTATGGCACAACTTGTAACTAAAACACAAGCAAGTCCGACCGGCCGGACACTCTCATTGGACTTAAAACAATACACTGGCTTGTTCAGCGAGCGGACGACGTTAGTTGTTAGTAACGAAATACAACCAAGATGACCACCTGTAACATAGCCTTCACTATGACGTCAGATGTGTCATCCCTAGAGGAAAGCCCACATGACTACTAATCCTCGGAATAAAGCGTACATCATGTCACTGCTGCCTCAGCCTCTCTAAAATATTTACAAATAGCACACAAACTTTATTAACTTCACAGGCATCATGCGTTGAACGCCAACGGATATCGCTTATTATCTAGGCCTAATTATACTACAGGGTAGCCTTGACAACCATAAGGCTCATTTCAACTGCTCCGCCAACATCCTGTATTATCGCTCTTACCTGCACTGACTGGAGGAGGAGGACGCCGCTGACATATCTGACGATGAGCAGGACAGATTTACTGATAAGACGCCGTTTGTGTGGTTTTTATAAAGGTGCTTTCCGTGCTGCGTTCAAGGGAGATGGAGATTCTGAAGTGACAGAGGAGCGCAGGTCATGCTACGCGCCGACGTCACAGCGTCCAGCGCGAGGGGGCGGGGTCTAAACCCAATGCCGGTCCCTTTGAAGAGTCCTAAATCCAATTTTCTACCAGGCTGAGCAGCTCACTGATCCGTTCACTGACATAGACAAGGCTGGGAAAATAGGAAGAACGCAGTAGATGAAGAAAGAGATAAAGGGACAGAAATTTGAGCAAAATAGTAGGTAATAACTTTCCAGAGAGTGATAGAAGAAAAACAAGCTTATACTAAAAGTGATTAAGTTAGTCAATGTTATAAAAATATTAGCTAGCCAATATTCTCTACATTAATGGCAATAAAGCAAATTGAATTGAAAGTTAGGTTAAGCACACAAAGTTGTACAAACACACTGACAGAAACACACACACACACACATACACACACACACACACACACACACACACACACACACACACACACACACACACACACACACACACACAAAGACTGCGGAACAATTCAATGTGATGACTAATGGGTTAGCAGAGGCTGCGTGTTGGAGAGAACAGAAAGTAAAAATTGAGTACCATCAGCTGTTGCTGACTAACGTGAACAATAAACAGATAATGTGTAATTACACATTATGACATAAACTATAATGTTTATGATAGGTTGCAGTAAAACCTTGATTTCACATTCATCAACTCATTTATAGGTTTTACAACTGTCTTTTTATGATATCTCAGGCACACTGAGGTCATGTCATCAGGTTTTCAGCAGTGGAGGCGTTACATTCTGAATTGCTCTTATTCAAACAAATAAACTTGATCCTTGCAGTGGTGAGAGGGATCTAAAATAGCATTTTAAACACAATGTGAGCAGTGATATCCAGAAAATGTAAATGTCATTGCTATTTCAGTTACTCACTCTCAGAGTCTGCATAATACATTATTATGACTAGAAGTTATTCTCACTGAAAAGGGATGCAAAAACAAAATAAGATACCAGTTGGGGGACTCTATATAAAGATCAGTTACCTCTGTAAGATATCAGTCCAACATGTATCATGATCACACTCAGTCAAGAGGGATAAATAAGTGGATTTGTAAAGTTGTAGATTAAAATGAGAAATTCCTTCCCTGTCATCATGCTCACTGAGTTTTCAAATCCATTTAGTAGTCCCACTTGTCCTCATGTTGACCCCTTTACACACACAGAGTGGCCTATAAGTGTCTGTGTTGCATGTATCCCTGTGAGTAAGAGAAAATTGGAAAGGGACGAGTGCAATTGAACATGTAATAACAGACATAGTATCTAATAATGACTGTGTTTTGTTTGTTGAAGGTAATACATGGACATCGTCACTGCAGCTTTAAGCGACTGTTACTGACAGTGGCAGTGTGGTTAACCAACTTCCATCTCAGTACTTTTGATTTTTCTGCGTGGTCTGCACTACAGGCCAAGACAAGCTGTTTTCAATTGGTTTTATCTGAAACAACCAGTCATAACACTTGTGTAAGAATTGTTTAACTTGACCAATTGACAGATGAATGCTACTTGGCAAATTTAAATGTGAAAACACAATATGCCCATCCTGCAAAATATAATGTGCTATTTATCAACAAAGTTCAAATGGGGAAAAAAACTATTTGCAAGGTATTGTTTTCAATAAATGTTTTGATTAAGCTAAACTGCAAAAAAGAAAAAAGCCTTAGCACATCCATTTCATAAGACAGGTGCTTAGAAGAGCAATGTGTCCATCTAAACTTTAAGATAAATGCTTGTACACTCTCTAACTTTCAAACAAAGATTTATTGTCAATGTTTCAGTACTAGACCTTCATCAGGGAAACAGTGAGCTTAACTGCAACACAGAAGGCTGACTGAAGTACTTGCAATAAGAGAAGTAATGAAGTAAATATATACAACAGAGTTTCAGCTCTTAGCTGAAGTACTATCCCAGTGATTTAAATGTTATTTTAAGGCTGACTGGGATTCTTACTCATAACAATCAATATTTCTGTCAATCATTATCATACTATACATTTAATTTTTACTGTAGGATAATGATGAATGCAAACCAACCCCATCAAACTTATTTTTTTCTTTTAGTGCATATTTATGATTATTCTTGTTTGAGTGTCCATTTGTTTGTTTTGTTCTTTTTTTAAAAATGATTATCACAAGCATATTGATAACCAACACTGTGACAATTAGTATTTTGTATTTTCGTTAATCCATGGCTTCCTCCAAAAAAATATTCACCTCAGAATGTTTGATATTAAGGACATAATAAAGGTCTAAAATCACTTGTTTGCCCATGTAAGATTAAACATTCCCATAATATAAGTGTCCAAGAATCATGGCTAATATAGAGGGAGGGGGAGAAACCAGCCTCCACCAAGGCGACCAAGAAGAGCCTCCTGGAGACAGCCCAAGCATGACGAGGGGAAGAAGATCAGATCAATGTGACATTCCCATCGGAAAATGGCTGGGGGATGCCTCCAAGAGGAAAGCCACAGGACTTGGTCCAGCAGTGCAGGAAAAAGGTTGTAGGTCTGGCTATTCCCAGTGGAAGCTGCTTGCAGATGTTCCCTCCGCTGTCTGTGTGGAACACACTAACAGCCCTAGGAAAAGTAAGAAGGGAGAGGAAGACAGCTGCACGCAGGTTGAGGGGGGCAGCAGAGATAGCCTCTTCATGTCTTTGGTTCAGGCTGGAAGAGACGGGATGGAAACCACGAGAAGCATAGGCAGTGACTGGCCATCACTGCTTTGCCGTATGCCAGACATTTATGAACATTTTAACCTGTGTTTGTCACTCACAACTGTTTAAGAAATAATTAAAGAAGGCACACACGGTAACAGACGACACAAAGTGGCCCCCAAGAAGAAGATCGTTTTTTCTTTTGTTATTATGAGCACAAAGGTCCTGGGTTTAAGGCTCACCTGCACAGCTGCAATTGCTGCCAACTTGTTGAGTGCATCCTTGTGAGGTTGTACCACATTCACTGCCTGGAAATGTTGCACAGAGCATCATATCAATCTGGTCTTCTATTTTGCAGGACTGCAAGAACAATTTATTGGTGCAAAGGAATAATTACCTGGCAAGCTGCGCATTAAAGGTTTCTTGCTAAAAATCCACTCCTATCCTGTATCTTATCGAGCCCATAAACCCCTCTATTTCAGCCCTGCTCAGAACAGGCTGTTTCTGGGTTTACAGTTTTAAATGCAAGTGAGCTGTGTTCGACCATGCTCCTCTCTGGAAGTGAATGTTGCTTAGGCTTTCTTGCACCATGCCGAAATGTTTATGACGAGAAGGCAGACTCAGAGGGTAGAACAAACACCTTGCTTTGGGAGTGTCGCCCACCTTTGAGAGGGGTTGCTGAAAATCTCCAAAAGGCCTTTTTGAACAAACATTTTCAGAAAAGTGGAGCAGGCAAAAGACCTCATAATTCTGAGGTTTGTAGACAGACTATGGACATGTATTATTGTTTGGAAAACATGGTAAAGTGTAGTTTGCATAATAAACTCCCATTGCATAATAAACTCCCATAATCCAGTAGCATAGGCATTGGTTGAAGGGTAAGGAAGTCTCTATTTCCTTTAAGATGTGCAAACACTTGAGGCATGGCCGGTGGTGTAGTCCAGGGTATACCCACTTATTTTTCAGTCTCCTTAGGGTATACCCACTTCTAAATCGCCTCTGATTCACACTATTGATTGATTGACCATATTCAGTAGGATGCTACAATTCCTAGGATGGTGAATGGATGACCCTCCCTACTCTGTCTCTAATTGGCTAGTACACACTAACTTAAATATAAGAGGAGTCTTATGTCACTGTTAGTAACAGAGGCCGTTTATCCTCCGCTGGACGGGACACTTGGAGAAAAATTAAGAGTTTACCCACGCTTCAGGCACCACTACATCACTCGGCATGGCCAGCAGCAAGTGAACTCGAGTCCTGGAAACTACCAGTCTAAGTCACACTCAGTCTTGCCAGGGACACAGATATAAGCTACGAGTAAACTGGAAATATAAAAGAATAATCTCATCTGGAACTTGTAGGATTTGTAGGTGTAGTTTCATAAACAGACTAACGAGAGCCAAGGGCAAAATATATTTCTTGGAAATACTGAGGCTGTCTGCTAAGACCAATGGTTAAGGCTGATAAGGAAGTAATGTGCTGCTGAACTAATTTTCTTGGTGTTACATTTCCCTATGAGAAGTGTTGTTTTGGAGTCATTAATAAGACTCACAAAAATTGTAAAATTCATATTCAATAACTTTAGATTGTTAATACCACAGAAAAGGGATTTTTAATGTCTGGTATTATTGCAAGTGATATAACCAATCAGTTTGTAATTCCTCCTCTAGCAAATGTTTTTGTAGATACATTTAGTTGGATAACATCATGTTTGACTGTCAAGTAATCTAAAAAAGAACTGCCTAGTCTGTACCCCAGTAATAGAGTGCCTTATTGCTTTCTGATGAGTATTGATGGTGAATGTTTGTCTATCTGACTCAAAACCTTTGCCAGATGAAAATCTCATTAATGTATGTTTTTTAACGGTAGACTTGTAAAATTATAAACTTCTGGTATTTTTTTAAGTTGTTTATTTGATTAAAATAAAGCAGCACACATAAATTGAACTGTGAAGTTCCATGTTTCCTCTATTGTTCCCCATCTCTAGAGGCGAAATAGGCTAGTTTAGTGGGACATGTAAATGTATTTTAGAATCTACTTAATTAGCTTCTGCATACAAGGGAACCATTGACTATACAGTCTTTGATTTGAACCTTGAGTGTTCTCTATAGCCTACGTCACAACAGACAGACAAATCACAATGAAAGGATTTACTGTAGGCCTTCAAGTACAGTAGCCTACCACATGGCATTTATTTTAGCATTTTACAGAAGTGTAACGGATTTGTGCACAAGCATATTTAGAGTAGGCTAAGGATGATATAGCACAGCATAAAATAAAAAATCAGGCTGCATAGGCTATAGTGTTAACAACATTAAGTTGATTTCTGGTGGACTACTTTACAGCCAAAAAACAGCTGCATTTATGAAATAAAATGTAATTTAGGTAATGAAATATAATAGGCGTCACAATGTTTTGTTCTTTTTTGTGTGGAAAAACAAGTTAAACCATTACTGCAAGACAGTGCTAAACATACAAAACAGAGAGGGAGGGCAGAAGCCTAAGACATTTGGGCAGTAATCAGATGGCAGGGATTAAACAAATGAGCAAAAAGCATTACAAAAAGACAAAACAAAAACAACAGCAAACAAAACAACAACAAAAAAGAAAGAAAAAATAAATAAAGATAGGCTAGTAGTAAGTAACCAGTTTTAAATTTGTAGGGCCTTCAAGAGGATGGCGATGAGAGGGTGGTATGGTAGTATCTATGGATGGTTGTGTGTATTTGTTTGAAAGGTGATGGTTGTAGGAATGTGTGGAGTTGAGGATGAGGCTGATGTAGCCTTTGGGTTTTCAGACCTGAGTTTGACTGCAGATTGCAGGTGGATGGAGGGGCTGAGAATGCTTCCACCATTTTTAGTTCTGACATTTGATTTGAATTGAAACAGTCTTTAAAACTAAAACACGAGTTACTATCAAATACCATTACAACAGGAAAGCTTCTAGCTTTACTCCGATTCTGTTAAATACATTTATTCTGCCGTTTTGGCGGAGCAGCACCATCTTGTCTAACCGTTACCCCGCCAGCCAATCAGAAAACAGTTCATTGAGAGGTCGTTGTGTGCGTTACCATAGCAACGACCAACAAACGGAGTGGACTGACTGCGTCTTCAATGAATTTCGGGTGCTTCTTGTACGACTAAGTGGTAAAGGTTATTTGTTGTGTTAAACAGTTTAAAAGTGTATTGTTAAAGCTGTTGAACTTGAGTCTACTGTTAAAGTAACGTCGAAGAAGAAGAAGTCTACTTGGTAACACCAGAGTAAGTTTATCAGACTATCGTATATACACCCTATGTTAAGATGTAATGTAAGTAAAAACTCCTTATTCGGCCTGTTTTTAATCTTAAATAAATTACCCCGCAGACGTAGCGAGGTGTTATTTTTCACTTTAAGTAAGTCTATAATACTAACTTTTCGTTATTTTCTAAAGATAAGCTATTTCCTCTACCTGGGTACTGTTATCCTACACGTTAGTAGTCTACGTCATCTTTGGTAAACATGGTGGGCACCTAATGTGTGCTATTGACAACCTATTTATTTTATTATCACCATTTCTTAATCACAAGCTTTTTCTAATTGATATAGAATGCTATTTTAAGTCTTTTGTATAATTGAAATGAGAATGTCAATTAAATTATTATTTATGTTTTTGACCATTTTCCTTGTAAATATGTCATTTAGTAAACTTGTCTAACTGTTTATATTTCCAAATATTGATAAACTTAAAAAAGAAAAAGCTTGCTATTCATTAGGCTACAACTCAGTATTTACAGTCTATCTATGGGGTACAAGCTCCTCTCTTATTGTCTCTTATGTCCTTTCTTTGCAGGTTAATTTTCCTCAAACCAGTCCAAAATGACAGCCATTCAGTTTCCCACAAGAAAAAAGAGATTAAGGAACAACGAGTCTCTGCCTTGCAATCTTAAACTGATTCTAAAGGAGGACAAGCTACGGAGGGTAAGGATACGTAATGATATGGATTTTTTGAACATACACCTCACTAATGCACTGCTATTCCCCAGCAGATATATTCATTTTTCTTTGACAATCTTATGACAGGTTGTAACACTAATACGGATGACCTGAAGTCCCAAAAAGTAAAATATATATATCTTGTGCACACAAGAAAATTATATTGCATGCACAACACGATAACTTGTGGAAACAAGATAATTATATTGTTGGCACAAGATATTATCTAACTTGGGTGCACAGGATATTTTCTTTTCCCTTTTGGGACTTCAGGGGCTCCTATAACACAGACTTAACAGTATTCAGCTGAAAATAACTGGGCTTTCTCATAAATTAACAGAGGCCAAAATTATTGCACCAAGTTTTGGACATTGTCCCAAGCTTTTAAAGAGGCTGCTCCAAATGACAGATTGTACTAATAATTACCTTGGCTTCTTAAAGGGAGCAAAAATCAATATGTGACTGCAGTGTTTTGTAGCAGTGACCTCAGCTCAGCAATTTCAGGCCTCCCCTCTCTTCTTGGCGGCTTGTGTTTGTAGGCTAGGTAGGTGACAAGAGCAGGGGGAAGGTACTTTTACTTTCCTCACATGTTTCTCAGGCCACAATGAGATTCACATATATCGTCTAACCTCTTCTAACAGCTGATTTTATTGATTTCTAGTTTGTCTGTACTTAATTAAAACACATTTTAATAACATAAGGAACTCGCTGACAAAACTGAAATGCAATACATACAGTTATGGATAATTGCACCGTAAACTAAATTTCTTACAGAAATATTTGCACATCATTCAAGTGGTTTATAATCTGTATTTTCCATCATCTGTTGCTTGGCAGAATAGGAAGTGGATACAAAATTCAATGGAATATATTTCAAAGCTAAATAGTCAGAGTTCTGTGGGCTTTGATGTCTTCTGTATTTCTCCTTGTAGCAAAAAAGCGAAACATTTTAGCAGAAGTCACAATCTTAGGAAAAACCCCATAATTTCACAGCTTCTCTTTGTCAAGAACAATGTTTACTCAAGCAACTTTGTTGTCTCTGAATAATAGAACTGAGTCTATTTTGAAAACACACATAACTGGCTGCTATTAAATATTGCATATACAGTAACTCCCTCTGCTACATTATTCATTTAGATCTTCAGCCAAAATCCTTCTCTGACCTATACTTAAAATAGGCTAAGTGCAGTTAGATGTTTCTGGTACACTGAAAAAGAGGTGCCTGAGGGTTGAAAGGATAGGAAATAAACCACAAAATGCTGCAGATCGGCCTCTCTGAAAGGGAGAGTGTTAATAATCCTTGAGCACATGAAATCAGCTCATGGAAATGTTCTTGATGCTGGCAGATGAGCATCTGTGTCATAGCTGACAGGTTTTAGTCCACAGTCTGGCTGACAGCTCTCGTGCTCATTATCTTTTCCCCATTTCTCCATCAGTGCTAACAGTTTTGTTTGATATAGTGCCTCATCGCTTCTGAATTAAGAGACAGAAAATAGGCTATCGGTGCAGTTAACATCATTGCTGGTGTCCCTGTGTGTTTGCAGGTAACTCCATCTGTTTACACCCAGGAGATGTTACAGTCTACAGAGGAGCGTCTAGCTAACAGCAATGAGGTGCAACCACCCCGTATCCTGGAACTGCTTGACATGAGCATGACGACACATCACAAAGTAAATGCAAGAAAATGTGCTGATTCCTTTAGAGCTAAACAACTTCCTATGCTTTCACTATCTATAAAAGCAAAACTAAATCTTAGAGACAAGAAACAGATTACCGGTAAATGTTTGCGGATTGCACAGGGGTAATGAGAGGGTACAGTAATAAGTAGTAACAAGGATGATGAAAGTTGTTAATGCGAGTCATTGTGTAATTTGAAAGTGAAGCAAACACAAAAGGTCTGGTCTCACAATTGGTAATAACTGTGACAGACACCAGCATACAGTAAGAAATACAAGTTTGGCAGGATTTTGCCATCATCACTTTCATATGCAGACAAGCCTCAGCTGCTGACTTTTATATTTATGAGAAGAAAACCCTGGGGAATCCACAATTACTCTTGGGTTTCAAAAAATATAATGAATCCTACATTTGATTTTGACAAGCTGTCTGCTTGTTTGATATTTTCAGACCAAATACATTATATACTTATAATTAGGTATATAAATACTTCCAGTGATTTATTTTCTCAGGGACCATACCTTCTGAACATTTCCCTTCTTAAAGCAGTCCCATTTGAGCCACTATGGATTTAACATTAATATGTTTAATTAAAGGAATGCCTAAAAATAAAAGAATGACTATGATGGACTTACTGGAAGGATAAATTGAACCTGCATACAGGGCGTGTGCTGTCTGCTAAGGTCATTTACATTGTACCAAAGCGTCTTCCTCTTACTCAGCAAGCACTAATTTATGGGCAGAGGGCAACCAATGTGAATGAATGCTCTGTACTTTTTAAGTCAGAATTTAGCAGGGTGCTTGGAGCCGTAATGTCATCAAAAGTTTTAAATTAATAAATGCAGTCTCATCATAATCACATAGATATAAAGATATAAAGATAGGCACTTTATTGTCATTGTATAAAAGAACACCATGACCATTCGGTCATCCTGAAAGTCTCTGTCATACACTGTGATGTTTAGTGCACTATGATTGTATCCCATTACTGATCATGACAGAGATTAAAAGTAAATAAAATTTAAGTGTCAACCGATAGAACTCAGATGTCTGTCCATTCAATTTAGGATATTCTGTTAGCTTAGCATTACCGGTATTTTAAGACTAGAGATGAGGAAAGAGCTAGTTGCGGTCTGTCTGCAAACAATCCACCCACCAGCACTTCTTAAGCATAACAGTAACATCTTCATGTATATGTTATTTGGTGTAAGAATAGGAATTCCCTCGGTGTCATTTACCTGATTATTTTTTACAGGTTAAAATAGCAAGGTCAGGATTTTCTTGTCTTATTTTAAGTAAGCGAAAAACTAAATGTTATTTCCTAGATTTCCTTGTTGAAGTTATATACTGTTTACTGTACATTATATTGATACACAAAGAATAATCCTAACACAATGCATGTTTTAATGTGGATAAACAGATGAAATATCTATTTAAAATGCTTCCAAATTAGTGTGATTAATGCATAGTTTTATCAATTTTAAATATCTACATTTAGTAGGTCTTGGAAACGGCAGCCATGAGCCTCCATACCCAGGAATTGTTCCAGAGAGAAACACTAATAATGTTAACCTTTTAAAACTGTTTTTGTGTCAGTTGTCATTGGTAGATATGGATCAGCCTCTCTTCCAGCCCTTCCCATCCGAGCTTGTCTTCCAGAACTTCACTCCTACACAAACCTACAAGTTACCTCTACTTCTACTCAACAATGACAAGGTGTGTGCATGACAAAAAAAGAAAAAAGAAAATAGTTACACTGATGACATGTATGCTGAACTGATGTTTCAATCAAGAATATCTTTGGTATGAAGGAATAGAAACAGGTTTTACAGTGTGTGTGTGTGTGTGTGTGTGTGTGTGTGTGTGTGTGTGTGTGTGTGTCACTGGGTGTGGGTTGTGTGCATGGAATGATTGGAAAAGGTCAGGAAGGATTGGAGGAGATTTATCACTGCAAGCTGTATAGACACTATCAAGAAATAATGAATAAGTCATCACTTGTGTGTGTACCTGGCTTTGTGTTTCTTGCTGTGTGGGGTTTGCAATTTTCTTAAGCTTGTGTAATATTTTTTTTGCCAAGGTTTCACGACAAGTGAAGGTGGAGCAGCAGGACTCAGAGTATTTCCATGTGGTTGGTCCAGAGGATGCAGGGAGCAAGGTCGCACCAGGATTGTCTGCCACCTTCACTGTTTACTTCACTCCACAGGAAAACAAGGTACTGAGGACAGAGGGGAGTCTGACTGCTCCATAGAATAATCCCAGAATGAAAGCTAGTTTCAGAATGCACAGTGAAGTATCAAGGTAACCTGCACTTAAGAGGCTGTCATAGAATTTAGATTAGATGATTAGATAACAATGTAATCAGACCTGTAGGAAAGCAGTCCAAAGGATGTGGGTAAGAATGTAAAATTAGAGGGATAATGATTTGGGTAAGCCCTGAAGATAAATATACTGCTGAACAAATATATAGATTAAATAGATTACTTGAAATCGATAACAGATAATGCACTAAAAGGATGCACTTTGCATTCACATTTTGTGCACAAATCTTTGGTAATGGTTAACGCAGAGTCAAATGGTTAAGTGTCAAGGGTCAGGCATTGTGTTACACCAGCTCATCCTTTTGTCCTCACTTTTACTGATATTGTGAGTGAAAGTGAAACCTGAGAAGCAAAGGTCAACATGAAATGTAGCAGCATTATATGATACTGTGTGTTTTCAGCACACTTAACTGTTTATACCCTTTCTTTTGATTTGATTTAACCTTGTGTGTGACTAAGAAGATGGTAGAATTGTGAGTCAGTTGGTCCCCTCACCTAAAACATTTACTAAAACATCATGAAAACAAATACAAGGATTTTAATGAAATGTGCAGACATTCTTAAACACTTGATACAAAGAGTATATCCTAGTGATGAAATTCTAATTATTAAGCAAATTAAGTTTGTCTGTTCCTCTTCAAGTCAAGATCCTGATAAAGATAAAATTAAAAGCTGTTAGGAGAAGTGAGGAGGACCTCTAAGACGCTTAAGAGTTTCTCAAGCAGAGAAGAAAATATTGGACAGATTGAGAGATACAAGGAATGTTTTCAAACAATGGATGACTGTTAATTCAAGATGATCTATTTCCCCTGGTTAATATCAAAAAGATTAAGTACTAATATTACCAGCATGCTAGATAAATATGGGCAAATAAATATCACTATGAGTATGCAAAGAGGCCATTGTGCAAGTGTTCGGGTGTTAACAATTTTTTTTAAAGGTCAATCTACTTTTAAAGTATGGCTTAAATTTGTATTCAACAGATTTCATTACAGAGTTTATAATGAGCACATTACAATACTGTTCATAATTACACAATGTTGGACTTTATTCTAAGAATAGGCCAGTTGATTTTAACTGCTGTTTTATGCCCGCTCTCACTAAGTATATCTATATAATTTTTTCTTCCCCTTTTTGGATCAACTCATTACGTATTTTGAATGAGAATAGATTATTTGGGAATATGGGCACTGATTTGAAACTGTTTTCAACTGTATCTGCTGAAAATCAGTTGTGACAAATGTATTTGTTATGTACCTGCTTAATATCAGCACCCTGGAAATGTCATTTTGAGCCTGCTGATGTTAGCATTTAGCTGAAAGCATCACTGTGCCTGAGGGCAGCATCACACAACCACTAGCTGGGCTGTGATCTTAAGCTTTTTTTTATAATAACAGTTTATGACTAAAAGATTTTGAATGTCTGTGTTACTCTGTTTGTGTCATTTGGGACAGAAAGAGGGCTAAGTACCATCTAACAAATACATGAACTTCACTATATGCAGCCAGAGTGTTTGACTTTTTTTTTTGTCATTTTGTCTACGCAGGACTACCACCACAGTCTAGTTTGTGTGACGGAGAGAGAGCGGTTTGAGGTCCCAATCTGCGCCATTGGGCCACGTGCCATTCTAGACTTCCGTGATGAGTTCCATTTACCTGTCTGTCCAGTAAAAACTTCCACACAGAGGACTCACCTAGTCCGCAATATAGGAAACAGTGAGGCCAAGTTCACACTTAGCACACAGAGGTGAGAGTCTGCATGATCCGATGGGATTATATCAACTGTTTGAGTGAATCTAACAAATTATTACACATAAGATATACACATTTAATAAGTTATTTAATGCACTAACAACAGTGTACAGGAGTTTGTTTGTAAATTAAGGTAATTTAACAATATTTACCCAAAATTGGGTGCACAGGACTTCTATTTTTATTGCCTTGGAATCAAAACAGGTATCGATATCAATTGATTTTTACTAGTACTTTATCTAAGTTCCAATAGGTACACATTTCACTAACCTCAAGAATAATGCCCGTTAATTGTTTCTTATTCTGTTTTTTAAAAACTTGTTTTTTTTCTCCAAAACATAACCTATAGACACAAAGCCTAAACAGGTTTTTTATTCCAACTTGTAGAATTCTTCTCTGTTCTATTTTTTAGGCCTTTCTCAGTGACGCCCTCTGCTGGAACCCTGGAAGTAGGAGAGGGCATGCAGGTGACAGTGGATTTTAACCCCATGACTATAGGAGACCACAGCCAGGACCTACTTCTGCACTATCATACTGGTAAGACCACAAATAAAGCAAGCCCAGTGACTCAAATATTTCAAATGCCAGGTTTGACCATATTTTTTTAAAAACAATAGCACATTTCAACTTCACTCTCACGTGATTTATCTGCCTCCCAGAGCTGTAGTAGTGTAGTGTAATAATATTTATAGCTGCCCTACTCTACATATTGACTTATTTTAGTAATAAGAGGGACTCTGTTGCTTTGCTTACAAGCCTTTATAAAAGAGAGGCGGTGAGTTTTCAGATGGTTTTGCTCTTTTTTTTTCTGACATTTTTCTCTTTTTTGATAGTAAAAATATTAGATAGATTTCCATGCAAATGTTTGCACGCAGTACTCTCATGAGATACTTTTAATTCCGGACATTTGACATGACAAAAACAAGTGTATGTATCCATATAACTTTTTTTTCTCTTGGATATACATATACACATACATTAACCCACACAGTGAGCTCTAAAAGCAGTAAAAAGAAGAAGATGGAAGCAGAAATGTATACAAAAATAGTTTGCATAATCAGCAGTGTCAAATGGAGTGGAACAAAAAGGATGAATGTGTTTACTATAATCACTGAGGTAAACACTTTAATGAGATTCTCTTTCAGCATCAATGCTGACCCTGAAGCAGAACTGGACTGCTAAACATGGCGCACCATCAGCACACTCACACACACAAAACATTGGTTGCTGTAATTTCCTCAGTCCTAGCCCAGGGTTTAATGAAAATAATTGATAGACAGGACTTCACTTTAGTCTGGTTTGAAGTTTGTTTTGTTTTGCGCTTGTGATTTTATCGCGTGTGTAACTGCTTTTCTGTCACATAAGCAGGCCTTATCATTGTTTTCCATCCAGAAATCTATCTGTAGCAGCCCAGCACAGATATATTCCCCAAAGCTGGTCCAATTAGTAGTGCATTGTCTCCTTTCCGGTTGTCCTTTTTTTTGCTGCATTATGTAAACTTGAAACATTGTGTGTGTGTGTGATTGTTTTTTATCGTATGAATATGGCTGGTTTTGAATCCAGAATGATCTTTTCCTTTAACCTTGGATGTAGCAGATGAGAAGTTACTAATGAGGTACTTTGGGGTTTGTGTGGGTATCTGCCTGTTTGCGACGGCTTGTGGCCATGAAGGAAAAGGTGACATAAGTAATAGTAATAAGAGGAGAATCTATAACATCCTCAGGGACCTGCAAACTGAAGATGGTGGGGAGTACGATGATGAGGGCTGTGGGGTATAGAATTTACTGCTTAGTGAAGCTCTCTCCGAGGACCTGTTATCTCTCCTCTCCATTAGAATGAATCCAGGGATATTACAGGTTTTCTTACCATGAATTACAAAAAGTCAATCACATGATTAATTTCTGTAAAAGTGAAGATGTTGCCTCATCATTTCAGGAGGAAATAAGGTTTTAGTGTATTCCAAGGAAGAATTGTGGTTGCATGCACAATTAGCCAGACTCCTTAACATCAAAGGCGGGAGGACAGATCTTTTGACTTTTCCTGACGACTCAAAAGGGGAACAATTAGGGGAAAGAAGAAAACAGTAATGCATTAGAAGAGATGATTTTAGGTTGTGATTATTTTTCTCTTTGTTTAGCACAACTCTTTTCTAAACAACCTATTGGATATATGACTCGTTAGTAACCTTCATTTGCTGTGTTTTATCAACTAAAGGTTGTCAAACATTTAATGTGAGCTTTAGATTCATGTTCTGCGTGTACTCCCAGCTAAACATTGGAAGCTGAAAATAGCAACAGCAAACGTGACAGGCTAGGGTTGATTAACCAAGCGGAGGCTTCAATCAAAAACAAATCAGCTTTAGTCCTTACCTAAGCTTGGCACATCAAAGTCGCCTTTAGAGCTAATTTCAGCTACATAGCTCCTAAAAGTTATCTCAGTAGAAAAATCCCATGGCGCTGAACAATTATAGTAGAACAGCTGTGTAGAATACAGAAAGGGGACTTGAGTTCACTCTTGTTAGATATGCATCACCTATGGGTGGATATTCCACAGCTCACTACTCCCTTTCTTTTTCTTTTTTACTCTGAAGCACTGTGCATGCTTGGGTGTGTGTATGTGACAGGAAATTCAGTGGCATGCTGACGCGGCATTTATTCTGTTATCAGTAGTGGTCCTGAAACTTTCCCACAGGAAAGTCACCTTGTGAAAAAGTGCCTGTGTATGATTGGTGGATAAGAGCTGAACTGTTTTGTCTTTAGATTCATATTCATCAATTTTGGCTTTATCATTTAATTATTGTGACGCTATTTCCCGGCATAGAGTGACTGATAAAAATATTTATTTATAGGTTTTTAATGACGATTGCTTTGATTAAAAAACAACAGGATCTATGGGTAACATCTATTTGAGTAGGTTTTCCAGTTTTTGTGCACTTTAAAATGATTTTTGCGTGGAATATGATCTTTAAAAAAGGGTGCTGTGTGGCTACATGAACAGTCAGGTCTGCTGAAGGAATAGCAAGGAGTGGTATTCAGCAGCATTAAGCTTTTATAATGGGAGGACCAGCAAAGGTCCAGAACACCACTTACAGCCCATCAAGAGACTATCATTTTTAATTTAGCACCTTTCCCTGACTCCCTCATGCTCATGTATGTTTCAGATCAGTATTCTGTAAAGGCTCGACTCCTCACTGAGGGGTCATTTGAGATTTCTGCAAAAGCTGGCTGTGCATGTGTATTGCATGCCATGTACGTCCAAAGTTAGTTACATTTTCCATCTTTATTTTGCATTGTCCCTGAAAAGCCAGTGCAGCTTTGAAAATAATAGTTTGCTTGTTCTGTCTTAAAAGAGACTTCTTACTCCTCCAGTAATCCCCCCTCATCCAACCCCCTCCCCTGTCACTGCTGCTGGTTTAAATGAAAAGACGGACAGCTCTTAGACAGCGCTGAGGCATCTGCTTTGACAGGGCTAGAGCACCTAGGGGACTTCAGCAGAGCAGCCTTTTAGAAAAGCAGCACACACGCACACAAACAGCAAGCAGCTGCACACAAACAGACACACACACACACAATCAAAATCTAAGTACAAGCACACCCTCTCTCTCACACACACACTGCAGAGCTGCTGTTTGTGCTGTAATCAAAGGTAGCTGAGGGGGCTGAGAAGTTCCCTCGATGTGTACATAGAGGAATTATGGGAAAAGAAAGCGAGCAAGGGAAGATGGGTTGGTGGCCAGTGATGATGAAAGCTTAGCAATAAGCTGCAGCTCTCCCTGCCTGTCAACTGGTGTCATAGCATCCGGATGCAGGGAGATAATTGCTTTTCTTTCTGTATACCACTATTATTCTTTCTCTCTCCTCATTTCCTTCTATCACTCATCTTCTGTCCTCCATGTTTTCTTTTCTTCTTTATCTGTGGGTATCTCACGGCTTCCTTGTCTTTCAAGCAGTGAAAGCATAGATCTGGCCTTCCTGTGGGACTGTGCCTATGGCGGCCATTGATAGTTGCATGTGCAAAGCAACCCAGAGCACTCCCTGTTTCTTATAGTGGTTTTATGTACGGTTTTGGTTAAGATTTAACCAGCCCTCATTCTTCTCGGTTGTTTCCCTCAACTGGGACTGGGGTTCATTTGTTGTTGATGCCTCTTGAAGCTAAATAAGTCAGACTGTGAGAGTTTAACTACCACTGAGGCTTTCAAGCTGCTCAAGAATGAGGTATCTCATGTCCCAATTAATCACTTCTGCTCACTTGTGTTCCAGCCGAGGCAGAGATGGATGAAGAGTTCTCTTAAACAGTTTGCATTGAACAAGCCTTAAACCTAATGGGACGGTTATCTTAAGGAAAGTCAAAACACATACTTCATGTGGTGGCTTTCTTTACAAGTGCTTTGTTTTATTGTCATTGAGTTATTATTTGGAATAGGTATTTGTCATGTTGTGTTTGATGGTGTGTGGGTTCTAATGTGAGAAGGTGTTCTTGTCCTGTGTTTTTGGCCTGAGAGATGTACTACAAAGCAAGTCCTACACAGCCAGTCTGTCTTTATTCCTAGCTTGCTTGAAGAAACCCCAAAAGATAAAGAGTATATCAAAGGTGGTTAACAACTGGCTTTATAAATAGATAAATTGATTAATTAATTTTCATTGTGCCAAACAGGGAAACATTTTAGGAAAACAGCTATAGGGGGTCATTTTTCATGTATTTCTATCTGAGTAACAGTCTCCTCTCCAGAGACCAGAGCCAAATTCAATTATTGGACTTGAACCTGAAATTTCTGGTTCCTAACCCAAGTCCCTACAGACTCAGCTACTGTTCATATTTAAAAATAACATTCTGATGGCTTAAAGAAAGTACTCTTGATAACACTTACATTTTAATAAAACTGCCCTGTCATTCTGAAAGGGATTTGTCATTTGGGTTCTTGGTTGTGAAACAGGATAAAGTCATTCGAGAGACTGCTTCATAATCAGACAGTGTCGTGTATAAATCCCTGACTCCTGGTCACTTACCAGTATTTTAAAATATTATCAATTTTTTGTGCTTGTTTGTTTGTTTACATGGATCTCTCCAGTTTGGATCATGTTCAAGACACTATAAGGGCTAATTTTTAATTATTAGTGATACGTTTTAATAATAAGTGTTACAGATGCTGTTTTTTTACATACTTGATCCAAAACCATTTTTCCTAAACTCATTACAAAAGAAAAATAATTCAATTACAAGAATAATACCCATTTGCGCCAGCCCATCAGCATTATGATATTATGACTTGATATCAGCATTGACAGGAACTTCGGTATCAGCTTATGTCAGCCCAATTGTAACTCATTATTGCTTCCTAGTAATGCCAACGATATGGTTGCAGTTGGGTAGGAATACTTTAATCCTGAGATAGTTAGCCCACAACAGAGCGATGACAAGTTTATTGTTTAAAATGTGTAAAATCTTTGCTCTGTTTGTGTTGTCAAATTAATAAGTAACCACATTTGAGAAATCCTGCCAGACCATGTTCATTTTAAAAATGCTGTACTATCTGCACTGAATGTAAAATAACTAAAATACTCATATAACATGTCAAATTAATTTACAAGTGTGTGTGTTATCACCCATTCACAACGTTCAGACATAAAACATAAAACAAACAAACATTCTTAAAACAACCACATAAACAAACAAAGTAAGTTGCTGTTTGTTGTGTGATGTTGTTCCCTTTTTAGCTTCATCAGTTGGAAGCTGAAATAAAAATATATTTTTTTAATCACAAACGAGACAGCATTTTGTCACAAGGATCTTTGACACTCAAAGAGGACTATGATTAAGGCTTTTGGGGTTAATCATGAAATATAAACTGAATGGAAATGGCATTTATCTCAGTAACTTTAAATGAAAACAGCATGAGCTATGAAGAAAAATGTGGGACTTGGTGTAGAAGCAGCATGGGGAAACAAAATTGTCAGTTCAAAATAATAGCTCCAATCAATGGCTGTTTTGGCAAGAGATAAGCTTTGAAAAGCACTACAATCACAGCAGAGTAAAATACCCATTGGATTAATTGAGATGCACTTCTTTCAAATGACAAAAAAAAACCATCCAATTCACTTTGATCATTTTTATTCCCTTTGATCGTTTTCATTCCGGACGATTATTAGTGACCAAGGTATTTGTGTTTTCATTCACGGTAGGGGAATTTTAAAAAATCAAGTTAAAATCAAACTCCTATGCTGTGACTAGAAGAGCTGAGATGGGCACTTGTCTTTACAAATGTATCCAATACAATCTGCAATCTGAGTATGAGCAGTGTGTTTCTACAGGCTGCAGCATCAGTCCTTCTGATTTGAATGTAAACAAACACACTGTATTTACATGAGCCCTTGTTCATGGTGGTTTTATTCAAAACCATGTTTTGCATCATAATTCTGCTGCTTGTTATTGTTGCTCTTTCTCTCACTGTTGGAATGGTTCACTCTGTGATGCTGAAATCTTGTTGCTGCCAGTGATGGGAATAACGGCGTTACTAACAACGTTACTTTTTTCAGTAACAAGTAATTTAATTGATTACTCTTCCCATCATTATAACGCCGTTACCGTTACTGCCAAGAAATGCGGTGCGCTACTATGACTGAAGCTGTTTTTCATCAGACCAACTAGATCTCTAAGCCGAGTGGCAAAGATATTTCTTACTGTTCTTCCTCTTTGGTGAGTGCGGACACGAGACAACCGCATAAATGATGACGATTGGCTGAGGTAGAGTAAAAATTTCATGGTGAGCCAATCAGAGGTAGAGTTGGGCGGGTGTTGTTTACACAAATTCGAAAGCATGCATAGTCTGACACACAACTACACAAATGAGTCAACGAGAAACAGGAATGGCGAGCCCAAATAATCCAACAGTAGCCTTCTTTAAGTGGAAGTATAGCCATTACTTTTCCTTCCAAGAAATTAAAGGAACGAGTGTAATCGTGAAATGCACATTATGCCCTGGAGTCAAAAGCCTCTCCACGTCGGTGTCGAGCAATTCAAACTTATTGAAACATCTTTCAACGCTACATGCTTCCACGAAATTAGTGGCCAAGAAGACCCCCGAAGGAGAAGGAGACAGTGCCACAAAACCTAAGCAACCGAAGCTTGATTTTACGGCCCCACCACCACCACACATTTTGTCTCAGGCCGAGCTAAACAAACTGGTAGCCAGGTATGTTGTGGAGGATATGCTGCCAATATCAATGGTTGAGTCGGAGTCATTCAGGGGTCGGCCTGCCATGTAGAAAGACGTTCGCGAACTATGTAGACGCCCAACATGCTCAAATGAATGTCGAGCTCAAACAGACATTTGAGAAATTAGAATATTTGTCTACCACAGCAGACAAAACATCTATTATGTCATTTTTACGGATCCACTATATAAACATAGGAATTATAATATCTACAATAATACATGACATTTGATTGGAGGCTAGTCTCACTTTGTCCCACAGCAACATTAAAATAGTTTAGATTTGTGTACACTGTTTCTGTTAATTATTGATTGTATTAAGTGTCCATTTCATTATAATATTCAGATTTATCATAAATAATTGAACATGCACATGTATTTTAAGTTCTGTTAAAGAGGGGTGGAGGTGGGGTCCAAATTCTTTGACACATTTGAGCATTTAAAAATTTACTTGAAAGTAATGAAATAGTTACTTTCCAAAGTAACTAGTTACTTTTATAATTTGTTACTCAGTAACTACTTTAGTTACTTTTTGGGAGAAGTAACTAGTAACTATAACTAATTACTTTTTTAAAGTAACTTGCCCAACACTGGTTGCTGCCACACACAGACACTCATTAAATGTTTTATTAACCACTAAGTTCTTTGTCACTTCTGGCTTTTGATTTAAAACTTTACTTGAAGAAGTTGAGCCATACAATCATTCTTGGGAAATACAAAACTACTCTAAAATCTAAAACTACTGCTTTATAGTTTAAACCTTCCATGTTGAATTTGCCCTGACATATTCCATATTGCTGTAATTTAGAGAGACTTTGGCAGCATAGGAAAGTTGGTTGTTTTCAATGCCAAATTTCCAGGATATTTTGAGCGCCATTTTAATCTCTCTGCGAGACTCCTTTTGATCCAGATCCAGCCTTTCAAAGTTAAACTTTTCAGTGTGTCCTTGATTCCTCTGTGAGTTTTCTCCTCTGCCCACATTAAGCTTGCAGACTCCCAGAGGAGCAGCAGCGGCCAATCAGCGGATAGAATTTTGTTGTGCTGGGCATACAGTATATCAGTATGCAAGTGTCTCTCCCCTATGCAACTATATCTTCAGACTTAATTAAGAATCAGCTTCACGTAAGCATGCTGAAAAGCTGTAGAAAGGAATCTATCGGAGTCCTTAATGAACGTGTACTTTTAAAAACATGATGCACAGAGAAAGGCAACACTATCATGAAGACAGTCCATATATGGACTGTGAGGAGCTGTTTTGGAGAGGATCAAGAAACAGGGGCTTATTCCCCTAGGAGAGTGGTTCTCTTCACTTTTTCTGTTTGTTTACCATATCATGCTGCAAATGCTTTTTTCACTCATCAGTTATTGTGTAACTTCCTGATCTCAAGCTGTACTTACAACCCTCAAGCCTCTGATGATGATTCACAACAGAGCAATTAAAAGACAGGAAGCTGATAAGGTCACATCATTGACATGTCTCAAATACAAGTTACCAGTAATTGTTAGGTTTTTATAAGTTTATAACATTTGCTTCTTAAAATTATCTATAAATGTTTAAATAATCAGGCTCCTCAGGTGCTCTGTGACCTCGTGGTTCCACTGAGATTGTCAGGCTCTGTAACACGTGGAGTATCTGATGCAGACTGTAAGGTGCCATTCCATAAATCTTCACTTAGACAAATGGTCTTTTCTGTTCAGGTATCAACATGTGGAATGATTTACCTGCAGAGCTCAAACAGGAACCAAACTGGAGTCATTTTAAACTCCAAGTGAAATGGTCCTTAAAGAGGACTCTTGTGATCTTGCTCTTTCAGTTTTACTTTGTTTTATTGTATGATACTTTGTATCCTGTACTGATCGGTATTTTTATTGTTGTGCTTTGGTACTGTGTTTTGTGTATCTGTTGTTGAGTTGCTAGGGACAGGAAATGCAAATTAGCTCAGGCTATAAATGCTGGAGTGTGTGGCATCAGTTCACTTGCTCCATACGTGTCCCTATATAAATAAACATGAAATTGAAATCTATTTTTAGAACATTATAATAATTTCATGAATTATTTATTATATATAACTTTATTTGAATGTATTTTAATTCGTTTTGTATGTTCATTATAAGTCCTGTACAACAAATAACAATGTTTTGGTTTTAATTTGTTTGCATAGTATGTGGCAGCAGTTTACTGTGAGTTCTGGAGAGATGTTTGCTTGAAAATTCTGGTAGTTTGAAGATCAAGTTGATGTGATGAAATATATTTATTCCTGCACTCACATGCAGCTTTTATTCAAGATATGTTAACTAGGCTGCTAAAAACATCTTTGTGCTTGGATGGTTGAGCGTGCACATCAGCTTTCGTCTACTTATTTAGTATGTCTTCTGACCAGGTGAAGATGTTTACATTGGCTTGTATGGGGCTTGTGAGGAGGTGAACATCCAGCTTGACCATGACTTTGTCCTGTTGCAAAAGACTTACGTTTCCCTGGCAAGCGTACACACAGTGTCCCTCATCAACAGCAGTGGTATACCTCTAAAATACTGTTGGACAACATGGCCCAGCCTGCAAGAGGAGGCCCTGAGCTTATTGAGGTTTGTGAAAAGATTATTTCACACATATATTCATTGGTTTAATTGACATTGACTCTGTCCTGACAATGTACTGTATATGTGTATGATACGTTTAACATTAGGTAACACAAACAATGCTTGGATGTGGTAGTATCTGCTGTTCCAGGTGTATAGCATGCGAAATAACCTGCTTTTTTTTTCTTTACTACAAAATGTGTGCCAGAAATAGCTCAGGTGCCAATCACTTCCTATTCACTCAGCAACTCTTTGTTCTTCCCTGTTCCTCTTTTTTTCCTTGTCCCTTCTCGTTTTCTCTCTTTGTTTTTTTCCCATTCACCTTCCCTCCCTTTATCTTTTTCTCTAGGGACAGCTCAATGCTGAAGCAGAAGGAGGAGGAGGAGGAGGAGACAGAGCGATTACTTTATCAGTGTGAGTCCGATCCGACAGAGATCCATCGCCTCCCGCTGCTGTCCAGAGCTTTGCAGGAACTCAGGAGCCAGGCTGTTAAGGACCATCTTCTGGCCCTCTCACACAGCTGCATAACTGTGGAACCAGCGGTTTGTCTTTTTCTTTGACTGTGTTACATCCTCTACTTTCTTACCCAGTCTCATATTCAACCAATTGTTGGTGTACATCCTACTCCTGGATCTGTCAAGTGTGTCTCCTTGTTAAGAGTTAAAACTCTTTAGGGTGTGTCTGATTAATGGAATACAAAATGAATGCCAAATGCCAATTCAGTAGCTCACAAAGGGCACTTGAGAAAATAACTTGTTCAATACAGGCTCCTTAGGTTATAGAACAAGTTCCCATACATATAATGATACAGTATCACTGTAAGGAACGATATAATAATCCAAAATTAATTCCCCACTAAAACATCCAACTGTGATTATTTCTGTCACAAAGAGTTATGATTCAGCTCAATGACACAAGAGTTTAGAGACTGGGCCCTTTTCTGCCCAGGGACCCTCAGGTAGCCTGACCTGTCCTGACATCCCCTTTTCTTTTTTCTGCTGGTGTCTCCTCTGCTTAGCTCACCCATGTTCTCTTGCTAGAGGGAGAAAGGAGCCAGACTTCAAAAAAAGCAGAGGAGGGCAAAAGAGAGAACGTGCTGGAAAGAGAGTAAATAGTCTGTAGGCCAGTCACAACACAAACTTTAGGAAAGTATTTGAGTAAGAAATAGCCTTCTTAGCACATATTGTCCCTCACAGCCACAAACAAACACAAACCCATCTACAGTCACAAAGGGTTATGGGTGGCAGTATGAGAGATTTACCGGCTAGCTCCTACATTGTTTTCTATGAATGTAGTTAATTCACAAGATCAGGTCCTCAAATGTTTCTTTTACAACTGTGAGAATAAAATCATATCAACAGCTAGTGTACATGTCTGCTTTTTGTCCTTTTAGTAAATTAATTATATGTGTGTCTTCTTGTCTTCACATGGCACAGGAGGGTGAAATATGGCCCAACATGACAGCACAGTTCAGCATTGTCTTCAAGCCAGAGGAGGCCAAAGTGTACCAACAAACCATTTATTGTGATGTCGCAGGTCAGTGCCTAGAAAATACAACTCTCTCTCAGTTTTTACATTTAAAAAAGAAAATAATTGCATGCAACTTTACAATATATTCAAGATCAAACGATCATACAGATAAAGGTTACATATAAGCAATCAGTATGTGAAAACTTGGCTGTAAACTTAGATCTGATTCTGATGTCTAGTTTTGAGAGGTTGTAATCGGAAGCTAGGGACAATGATGTCAGTTGGTTGGCTTTGGTCAACAGTGTTTTATGGATGGATGGGAGTTGACTTTTTTGTAATATCCTTGACATTTGGTGATGCCTTTTTATCTACTGCCATCAACAGGGAGGCTTTAAATGTGTCTAATATTTTAATTTAGGTAAACATTACATATGCTCAACATCAGTGTGTTTTTAAGTATTTTAGCATGCTAATATTAGCTCTATGTTTGACCAACTTAATGCCTATATAAAGATTTACTGAGCTGCTAGCATAGCTATATTTCAATAGCTGAAGTTAATGGTAACTTCCCGGGGCACTGGTTTAGCTCAGCTGGTAGAGCAAGTGTCCCATGTACAGAGTCTACAGTCCTTGTTGCACTGGTTGCAGGTTTGACTCCTGATCCTGACACTGTTTGCAGTATGTCATCCCCACTCTCTCCCCAACAATTACGATCTCTCTATAGCTGTCCTATTGAATAAAGGACAAATAGAGGTCGAAGAAACCTACAAAACGCAGGTTTTTACAACCGATTTTTCTTTTGAAAAATACAAGGCAATATTTTGAAGAACATCTTCTCGGTCAAACACAAAAACTTTACTTTATACTGTAAGGCAGAAATTGTCTTTTTATCTGTTGACAAATTCTTAATAGCAAAAATATGAGGAGGATTCATTTTACTTCAAGGTGTAAAACTAGTCCATTTCAACTGAATCAAATCAGGCAGGATGTTTTAAACAATTCCTAAACCCACAGTACAGTGATATTCCAAGTTACCTTTTCAGTTTTAGTGTTAGAATTCATTTGGTAATCAGTCTGGGTGGTGGTGGGGTTTGGGATCAGTTAAGGATAAATGTGAAGAAAAAAATCTGTAGTAAGTCCTTCTCTTATAGCAAAGTTTAATGTGACACATGTAACACAAAGAACAACTTGTTTCTTGAACCTAAAACAATCAACAAAATAACTATTTTTCTAGTTTCTCTTTTAAAATCTTGGAATTTGTTGTCCTGCCAAAAATTAGCACACTCCTGCTGTAAATTGATAGCTTTAGCTTCTCATAAATGATTCTCCTTCTCTCAGTGGGTTGATCCAGACAAAGGTAGAAAACCATATAAATCGGTTCATAAACAAAACCTCTTTTTTGTTTCCTGTCTCCTTCAGCCTATGATATCCACAATAAAACTAATTTGAAGCTCAAACAGTTGAGGAACCCTTAAATATGCCTAAATGTTTTAACCACTGACCACTTATTGCTACTTGATCTCATTTTCATATTAGACAATGCCGTCATGAAGCTCCAATATATTCAGCGCATCCTGTTGGTAGTGAAATGTTGTTTGGAAATTTGCATTTGGCCTTCATGTGTGTTTTGTGAGCCGGAGGCAAAGATTTACATTAATTTCCATGTTTTCTGAGGCAGGTGACGACTTGACCATTTTAGGTCGATGACAGCAGCACTGCAGACTGCTGTACCCTAAATCCTCACTTTGCAAAAAGACTCACAAGCTTACTAGGCAAAACTGAAGGGAAGACCTTGCATGCCCTTTAATAGTTTCACAGACAGAGACATCTGTAGAGGCTGCAGCTAAACAAATCTTAAGCAAGTTTTTACACATTTTGTGTTTGGATTTGTTTTTGATGCTGTCATTTTAACTAGAAACATGAAAACAGCTTTTCCAATTCAACTGAATAAAAAAAAAAAAAATTCAGTAACTTAAAAACCAATTGAGAGGTTGTTGTTTTTGGAATATCACGTTACTGTTTGTATATCAATTTTGTTTTACTTCATGCCTTTGTTTTCATTTAACTGACTGTTCAGAAACGTTCTCTTTGTTTGTCAATCCATCTGTCTCCACACAGGCCGTGAATCTCGTCTACCTCTTACAATAAAGGGTGAGGGCTTGGGACCTAAACTCCAGCTCAACTATGACCTAATGGACATGAAAAACATTTTCATTGGTGACAAAGACAATTATGAGGTAAGATTGGTTAAGCCAAAGTTAAAGTTAAATAAAATGATCAGTCTGGACATGGTGGTTAACTTGGTGCTACAGTTTCTGAATGTATCAAACAGTACTGTACAGCATACTCCTTACCTTTTATAGTTAGTTTTTTGTAATTTTTTACCAAGTAGACAAGGGAAAATTTTGGTTTACACATTACACGTTGAGTGTAATTAAGCAACATGCTACTCACACACATAGGACCAAAATACAAACAACCTATGGAGAGATCTCAGAGTGGGGCTGTTAGTGGGGAACGATCCAGGGCTCTTGTGAGTTTGGTGCCTTGCATGTGAACTGGCATCTCTCCAGCAACAAGACCACCTTCTGTACTTTGGCTCCATACCTGGTCGCAAAACTGGTCACCCTCTGGTTCCCAACCCAAGTCATTACAGACTGAGCTACTGCCGCCCAAAGAATACATTTAAGAGTGTATAGAAGTTTGAAACAACTGAGACAAAAACAGAAGCCACTTCTTCCCACTGCGTGAATGCTTTTAAAAGATAATGCAGTCGGTGGAATACATTTTCTAAACCTCCTGATACTGTGAGCCTGGCAGTGAAGAACTGACTTATAATTGTTAAGCGTTAGACTATTTAGATATTCAAAGAAAAAAAACTAGTTAACCGTTTCAATTTCCACAATAAAACAGCTTAAACATCTTTTTTTGGTTGTTGTAATAAATGTATCCATTATTTTTCCACAAAGTAGATTTTTTTCTCCCCTTTTAAAGCAGAATTTACCTGGAATACTGAATGCATTACATTCACAATATTTAATCACTGATAGTGGACTTATACAATACAAAGACTCAAGTGTTGAATCAATGGATATAACTCTTTTTATAGGTGCTGGTGTCTAACACAGGACTGACTGATGCACCTTTCCATTTCTCGAGCTCCGACACCACTTTTGGACGCTGTTTCTCCTTCAGCCCTGAGGAAGGTGTTGTTCCCTCTGGGGCCAGCCAGATTGTGATGGTGACCTTCCACAGTCGAGTCTTGGGAACTTTTTCTGAAGACTTGCTGCTAACTGTCACAGGACAGCCTCAGCCACTTACTTTGACCTTCAGGTGAAGTTAGGGCATACATCTGACTAAAATTGTAATGGAACTTTATTTGAGATTTCTCACCACTTACTGCTCACAGTACTTACTAGGTAAATAATCCTTTAAATTGCTGTTTCTTTTTCTTATTGCTTTTGTCTTTGTCTTCACTTAAAGGGGTTGCGTCATCGGTCCAACATTCCATTTCAACATTTCAGAGTTCAATTTTGGAGATGTAGCCTTTGGTGAGTAAAAATGTACCGGTACTTGTTATGTTTGAGTTGCAAAAGTGTAAATGCATCGCATTCTAGAGAATCTGAATATCCTGTCTCTGAAGCCTCCTCTTAAAAAGTTCCTTTGTGCCATCCTTGTCATCTTATTTTTTAACCTTTTATTCATCTTGATCCTCTTTTCCTCCACCTGTTCCTTCTATTCAGGTTTCCCACAAACATTGATTTGTACCCTCTTCAACACCTCCTTTGTGCCCATGACCTTTGCCCTGCGTGTCCCCGGAGATGGATCGGGGTTTCACAGCATGACTTGTTCCAATTGGCAGGGCAGCAACACTAGAGACCTGCGTGCAAATCCTGCAGAGTTCACCATCAGCCCTACAGCAGGGTCTGTGCGTGCTATGTCAGATGTCACCATTAAGGTACAGTTAAGACGCAAATGGAGAGAGACCTATTTGAATTAATGTTGCTGCCCTAGCAAGCTGCATTAAAGAGATAGTTTGGTATTTCTGAAGTGGGGTTGTACGAGGTACATGTATGTAGCAAGTATAAGCAATAGGAGATAGCTTTAGGCGGCTGTGGTTTAGTGGTAGAGTTGGCCATCCCTCAACCAAACTCAGGGTTTCAATCACCAGCTCCTGCAGACGCACGCCGGAGCGTCCTTGGGGAAGACACTCAAACCTAATTGAATGTGAAAGGGTATGAATGATATAAGTTAATATTGATGAACACTTTACATAGCAGCCTCTGCCATCAGTGTTTGAATATGAAGTCAATGGGGAAGTGTGACCTGCAGTGTAAAAAAGCGCTTTGAGTAGTCAGAAGACTAGAAAAGCGCTACATAATACAAGCTTAAGTCCATCTCCATTTAGCTCTGCCCATTTAAGGAGCAGGTCCAGGATGCCTGCACAGAAGCTAGGCTATACGGTTATGCAGACTGGGTAATTTTCTCCACATAATTTAGCTAATTTTAAGAAAAAAACTATCTAAAAGACAACATTGGGGGAAATATTTTGCTATATTGAAACAAATTTCAGTGCTTTACTTCTCTGAAGGCAAGACACTTTGTTTTAGCACTACTTTTGCACACCACACACATTGCTCCAGCTGCAGTGCACTGTTTGGGTCTGTAGTGTAACAACTCAACATGAATTATCCAAGTAGACTGAAAGTTATATAGTGAATTTCGACTGACCAAGGGTTGTGCCATTATGCAATAAAAAAACATCGAGAGGTGAAACCTTGGTTAATAAACTTTCATTCGGCTTTTCTGGTTTTCCCATTTAATTTTTGAAAATGGAAGAAGGCCCAAATATATCAGCTCTCAGTACGTCAGGGAACTCTGAATGGCAAGTGATGCAGAGTGCAGGCATATGTGTGCCGCTGGTATCCTCTGATCCAGGAAGGTCCTAACGTACTGTTTTAACCAAGCCATTAACGTTGCTCTTCGGGTTTGTGAATATGAGCTCACACTTCATATACAATCATACCAGCAGGTAACTTCAGATCCCTTCAGAAGGTCAGGGGGTTCAATCATGCAACAAAACATGTCTGATATGTCCTTGAACAAGACACTTAACACCAAGTAGCTCCCGGTGGTTCGTCGGCATCGTATGAATGTTTACTAATGTGATTAGTTAATGCTGATAGACTCTTAAAGCAACCATTGCCATCAGTGTGTGAATGGGTAGGTGTGATCTGCACTGTAAAGACTAGAAAAGCACTATACAAGCTGAAGTCCATTTAACATTTACCATTAACTCTGTGTAATCCTTGCCATAATAATGTGTCGTATTCTCTCAGACTGTAAAAGTTGGTCGTTTGTTGATTTGGATGTAATTGTTGTATATTTCGAAGCCTGCAGACCCAAACAGCTGATGAGTGCACTGCATAAGTTGTGTGCCAGAGTAGTGCTAAAATAAAGTGGCTTAAAAATGATTACCGTACATCACATTGTATATATGTTTTTTTTATATGACAGTTGATGCTGTGCTCCAACACAGTCAAGAGATACAGGCTGGCACTGGTGGTTGATGTTGAGGGTGTCGGTGAGGAGATCATGACTGTGCCCATAAATGCCAGGTGAGACACATTTATAGATGTCAACATACCCTCACTTTTTGTGAAAATGTACTAAAATATATTTATTTTTTAAATATTGTAAATGTCACAGTTAATCAAAATCAAACAAGAGGACCCACAGATAAGAAAGATAAGAAAATTAATTTATTTCACCAAAAAAAAAAAAAAAAAAAAATTTTTTTACTAGTAACAAAAATCCACAGAGCAGGAAACACAAAGAAAAAAAGCAGGCAACACAGGACCACAGATAGGTAGATTAATGAACTGACAAGAAGACGGAAGGAACACAATGGGTGCGTTCGAATTGTCCCTCCTATCTCCTTTCACTATCCACTTTACCTTAACCCTGGAAGCATTTAAGTGGCGGCCATGATAAGAGTTGTTCGAATTCTCTAAAAGTTAAGGAAAGGTGGGCCAATGCTTCCTTTATAACCTCCTTTAGCATAGGATACACTGGACCATCCTTTATGAAAGGAGATGAGATATGCCGCCCCACAATTCCTTGCAGCCGCAACATTTAAAGTGAGTCGCGCATCTGACCGTTCACGAAAACTAACGATGATCATAAAGTGACACAGATCATGTAAGAGATAAAAGATAAGAGACATTTTTATCAGATGATGTTTTATTCAACATATTTCATTCACTTAAGAATACTGTGCAGTTGTACATTTGTATGATTAAAATATTATGTGTAGGTTATATCTTATATAAATGTAACAATGAATTTCATACAATCATATTTATGTTGATGTTGATTTCTGATTGGACAGGAAGGTGATGATTTCACTTTTCTTACTTGTAGCCTGGTGGTCTATATTTCTTTTATTTCAATCCCACCCTTGTGGTAATTAGGATTATTTCACCGGTAAGAAGGCACAGGGGAAAGTTTTTAGATGCGTTTTTGTTGTCCATGGTCGGAACATTGTAGTTTCAACACGGCAGATCCACGTCATTAACCTCCGCCGGCCCGTCGCATTTATGACATCGCCTAGTGGAAAATGTGGTCGGATTGTCAGAGTAATGAGATCACCTTTCCCTAAGTCCTTTATGAATTCTCCTAACATCTTTCCTTGACCTCATGACGTTTTCGCGGGGTTAAGGTAAAGTGGATAGTGAAAGGAGATAGGAGGGACAATTCAAACGCACCCCAAGACTTAATAGTCACAGGGGTAATCAGACACAGGTGAGAATAACGACACAGGTGAAGACAATCAGGGCAAACAAAATGGAGGGAAAGCAGACAAAGGAAAGAAGTAATACAAGACAGGAAACACTGGGGTCAAGAACTACAAAATAAAACAGGAAGAACTAAAAACTTAACCAAAAAAAACACACTAGGGAAACAAGCCACACCAGGATATAAAATGACCAAATAAGAAAATAACAACAAAACAATGAATAAACTTAAGAAACAAGAGTAAACCATGAGATTAAATTTTGTTCTTTGAACAAGACAATACCTTTTTACAAAATTAGCTTTCTCGCTTTTTCTTAAAGTAATGCCTTTTCTCTGGCAGTAACTTCTTCTGTGCAAACCACTGTCGCTGATGCTTGACAAGCTGTGAATGTGGTCCACTGAACTTCTATACAGGTGTCGACAAATCAGTGGAGTATGTGTTAAATATTCAGAACCCAATTTGCATAATAATACATTGGAATGTCACCTGCACCATCACTCAGACTGGGGCAATGGTATCTGACTTCCTCACGGCAATCACAGTCATTGTAAATTTATGAATCAGCTCTAATTAATAGGCTGCAGGTTTGGCATGGAGCAATGCAATTACTGTTGTGATTCATAAATGAGCCTCGGATCCTTTCTGTCTGACTGTCACTCCCTCTATCGCTCTGTGTTTTCAGATGTGTTGTATCTGATATTCTTGTGGAGACTCCAAAGTTGGACTTCCAAAGGTGTTTCCTTGATCAACTCTATGAACTGCAAGTGCGACTGACCAACACCAGCTCTCTGCCAGCATGTTATGGCGTGCTTGACCAGGTTGAGTCGATTATGGCAATGAATGATTTATTTGGTTGTGCAGATACTGTAAGTGGGAGGTCGCTCATAGAAAGGTGATATAAACAAGCAGAAAAGCTGTCAAGGCTAACGGGCATGCATAACTGACATACATAATTTAAACCAAAGGCTAATTTCCAGATCAGTGCTTCAACATGTATGTGGTAGAGGTGACTATAATGTTATTAATAGAAGGAAAAGCTAAACAATTTGGTCTGACTCTGGGACAGTCCTGAACACACACACACACACACACACACACACACACACACGCACACACGCACACACACGCACACAAACACACACACACACACACACAAACACGCACAAACACGCACACACATACACAACACACACACACACACACATTCACAGAAAACATGCCTCAAAGCCTGAGAATTGATAAATGTGTAGAATAGAATTGGCCAAAATTGTCTATCAGTTACTACCAGCATCTCTAAAGATATCTAAGTAGCATGTTTAATTAATTTCTGTCTGTCTTTTATTGTATTTGAGACACAAAACCTTCAGAAAGTTGTATTTGAATACAATAAGAAAAGATGCTAAAGTCATCTTTAAGCTTTTATTACACTTGGAAACTGTTTCTAGGCACCTGGCTATACTTATAGACAGAGTTAAAAATCTTGATAAATTAATCTTAGAGAGCACAGCAAGTGTTGCTGCATTATAACTGAACACACAGGATAGTGGTCTTATCACTCTGAACACAGGTGTGCCACAGGGCTGTCAAACCTGCAGATATTGAAGGGAGACACCACTGCAGTAATGGCGGCTAGTCAATTTATGGATTAGTGTTTATAGTTTACAGTTTTGCTGTTGATCTTGTCAATAGAACAGGGACTTTGCTGCATTTAGAAAATATTTTTCCATTGTTGTCTCATTTTACAGGAACATGAAGAGAGTCCATCAGTGGTTTTTGGTAGTTCTACACCCAGAGGTGTTATTCTTCCTTATCGCTCAGAGGAGGTTCCTGTGTTCCTGCTGGCTAAGGCTGTTGGAAGACTGCATCACACTCTACGCATTGCAGTGTTTGGCAGCATCCAGCCTCCACTGGTCAGTTGAAGTCTATGTGAATTCTGTATTAATAGGATTAAACGTGAGCCTTTTGTCTGAAATTCAAGTGTTGTGTTTTACTTTAAATTTATAAATTTGAAAATGTGTACCTCTCTTTTTTTTCTTCCAGGTAGTGCCCTTGTCATGTATTGGGCAGGGACCGATAGTTCATGTTCAGAACCCTCAGTTGAATTTCGGAATAATCCCTGTTCTGACAGACATTACCAGAGCCCTGCACCTGTCAAACCAGTCACCTATTCCAGCCCACTTTACAGCACGAGTGGTAAGAAACACACGCAAACACGGACACACCTCTAAGAACAAACATGAATAATAGAAGCCAGTATAAAATAAACAATATGACACCCACTCAACAAAACTATGATGTACAAGGTAACTTTACATTACTTATAGTTCTAGTGGTAAAATGTTATATTCCAGGACAGGGGTCTCCAACCTTTCTTCATCAGTGAACTACTTTAAAACAAAGAAATTAGTTGACAGTTTCTTTTATCACATTGTGTTTCAAACAGCAACAAGGTACATCAAATATCAAAACATATGAACCAGCTACTTCCATATACACAGCTCAAATTTCAACTCAAAGCTTACGAAGCACAGTGTCTCTCCTAGCCCCTGTGTTAGCATCAATAATAGCAGGCATTATTTCACTCTTATCTTAATGGTCCCTGAAACCAGCGTGGCCACTGCGTCCTTCACCATCCCGCTATTGGAGAATGGTTTCATAAGCTTTGTTTGCACTTAAATGATGGCTCTGTCACTGCATTGGCCTTCTTTGTTCATTGGGTGAGTAGAAATCACAGTTTTTTAAGTGTTGGTTTTAGCTCGTTTATATTTTCAGTTTGTAGCCTGTTGCCTGCAGACAAGTGCAAAGTTACTGTTTACTTCAGTGTGATGGTGCTCCACATCGCTTCTTTTGCCAACTGAAATGCTGCTACTGCAGATCTGTCCTTGAACATTTCTAAAAGAAACAACAACTTGCTTTCACATTGCATAATGAAATATTATGTTTTCTGTTTTTTTTGTTTTTACATATAACTGACCATTTTATAAATGAAGGTTACTGCTCTATTGTTGTGTTAGGCCAGCTGATTGGCCTACCCTAGTATTTTGTTTTGGAGGGGTTGAGACATCTGTTTATTTGATTTCATTGAAGTGGGAAGAGGTTTTCAAGGTGCATTTATATTATCAGTGTGTTTTTAAACAGTTTTTGAACCTCTTGACAAGCTAATGAAAAACCCTTTCACAAGCAACCGGTAGCTTGCAAGTGATGTGTTGAAGACCCCTGTCCTAGGAGCATGGACTGAATGCTTTCTGTCCAAGATTGAATGGGATTTAATACATACAGTACCTGTCCAGCTATTTATCCATTCAGTGGATACATTTCTTATGCAAAAGTTCTATCTTTGTTGTTGTGCACCTCTGACTGATTAATTTCCGGTTTATTAATACAATAATTAATTAATTCTGAGGGCATTAATGAGCCACCTCAACTACATCCAGGCAATACTTGTAAGCATCTGAAGTATCATTTTTGTCCCCTGTCTCTTACACTTCGATAACACTTCAGCTGCTTACCATAAGTAGCATTTTAAGACATCTTATTATGACTTTGTTTAGAAGCTGTGCACTTCATTTTCTCTGTTCTCAATATCAAAAATTCTCTTAAGATTGAATTTTTGCCTTATCGGCGCTGCCTGATATCCACTGGGAACAGATTTGTGACTTGGACTATCCCTCTATAATTCCTTATCTGCTATTGACACGACCATGCACACACTGAAGCACACACACACAGGCAACCCTGGTGTAACTGCAGTTGGATGACCCTGTCCTCTCCTCTGAGGCAGTGTTAAGGGAAGGAGTTTCCCTTCTGCACTCTCAAGCACCAATCGATGCAGATTCTCTGAGAATTACATTACATTTCGCTCAATAGGCTGGCAGGGAGCCACACAAATAGACCCTATTATTGAAGATTGTGGGGACATTGCAGAAGCTATGCACACTTGCATGCTATTAGAGTCTCAATCAGTGAAAAATATCTTGTGAACCATTGATACAATCTGCATGTAATCTGGCAACCAGAAACGAGCCACCAATATAAGATTCAGGTTAGAATGTATTGATTTTTTTGTGTTTTATAATGTCTGACACGAGATCTGCCTGCAGTTGGGACTGCAGTATCAATGCAGGATATAGGCAGTTTGATATACTGTTGATAACTAAACAACATACAGCAGTGATTTGGATTCTAAGCCTTCCTGACCTGTGCTGCATTCAAACACAATCAATGCAAATCAAGATGTGGGAAGCAGTAGGATTGATGTGATTATTAAGATTCCAGTCGTCTTGCATCTCTCTTCAGGGAGTCAACCTTGATGATCTTTCTCCTCTTCTGGCTCCACCCACCTCTTTACCATGATCACTCTAGTATCGACCCTAACCAAGTTCACTTTCACCGGCTCCATACCTCCCTTAACAAACACTAAGAAAGTGATCTATGACTCCAAAAGACACAAACTTGTCAGGTGTTGCCTGTGGGGTTTAGCTGTTCCTCTTTTTCCTATGTCCTCATAACTTCTTTTAAGGACAGAGAGATCAAACTCAATTATTGTTTTTCGATTGTACAATATTCTTTCAGAGGAGCCTCTTCTTTTGAAAAGCAACACAAATGTCAATTGCAGTACATAAGAAAAAACATTTTTCTCCATTGATCAGCAATCTGCTTTGTTGTTCTATAAGCAGAGGAAGCGTTCAGGCTTCACAGCATCTGTAGGCTGCTCTTTCTTAAACTCCCAATTAAAAGTTTACGTCCAAGCCATCCATCAACAGAGATGCTTTATAGAACATTGATTGTGATCCTTACCGATGCTTGGTCAGATATATATACAGTACAGTGAGCACAGTGAAGGGCTTTGTCCGACGACTGGAGATGAACATTAGATTTAAATCTGTTTTTTCATTACATTGGACCTCATTCAAACAAATGCAATCCAACAATCCACAGAGCTATGAAATGAAACAAATATTGAGTCGGTTTGAAAGTCATCCATTTTTAGAGGGATAAGATGAGAGACACATAACATTTCTAAACCTTGTGAATGTTTGTGATTTTCTGCATTTTGAAACATGTTTTAGTATCAGCTCTTAACGGCTTTAATTCTGGTGTTCACCCCTACTTTATACTCTACACATTATCATAATCATATTTGAGGGATATTCTGTTGTACTAATGCTCTGCCTATAGCTCAAAGATCTCATTCTGCTCAGGAATGTTAATGTGATTATGCTGCTATTTGATATACACATCACTCTTTCCAGGTCCATCTGTGGCTGTAGCCGCAATGGCACGTGCAGCACAGTTAGGGGAAAGTACCCCCACGACGGAGTTATTTCCATGCATGAAATGTACCTAACTGCTTTAACTGTTACTGTTCTTCTTAGCTAACGCAAAGATAGAAATAACAGCAGATGCATATTAGGTAAGTAATAAAAAGAAACTTCTGTTGTGCTTCTGTTTCCTTAGTTCCATAAAAAGCCCTTTTGGCGGGTTGAGCCCAGCGAGGGGGTAGTGCCACCAGAAAGCCAGCTGGAGCTTAAGGTAGTGGCTCACCTGAAGGACACTCTTATTTTCCAGGCCAGGCTGGAAGTATCCATCCAGGACAGTCAAACACACACTATCCCTCTGATTGCCACAGGCACTGGCACTACAATTGTTAGTGACAGGCCTTTTGCTCCCAGCCTTGAGCTAGGCACATATTTAAGGTAGAATATAAAAAGCTCCCAGTACTGAGTCAGATTTTGACTTAATGAGTATTTGGTGATTTTAAACCGTATTTACATACACCTCACTACTGCTGTTTGTTTATGTCCTTAAAGCCATGAGACATGCCAATACCACTTCAAACTGACCAACCATGGCCAGCGAGGACACCGGCTTTATTGGAGTATTGAAGGCTTCCTGCCTTCCACAAAAACTCGCAAGGGGGCTAACTTGTCTGGCCAAACCAGGCTGCCCCCTATCTCTGCTCCCAGAAAGAAGGACACTGTGGATCAGGCATCTTTGCTTCCTAGCAGAGAGCTCTCTGTGTTCAGCCTCAGTCCTGACCGAGTGGAGCTTCTCCCAGGATGCTCTCTGGACATGATGCTGACAGGATCTTCAGACTCACCCAAGGTGAGACAGTCTGCTTTAGGGTCCAAAGGTGAATAAAACCAGTTTTCAGAAATGTACAAGCACATCCAGTGTGTATCCCTCTGATTAGGTGCATGTTATTGTGTATCACTTCCCAGGATGTAAGGGAGCGTTTGGTGTGCCGTGGCATTGTGGGTCACCAGGGCTGTAAAGAGCACATCATGTCTGTAGATGTTACCTGTCGCTTTGTGGCTCCTATGCTCAGCTTTTCTTCCAAGCATCTGAACTTCTACATAGAGAAGGTGGGTCAGTAAATCATGAGTCATCATTTTTTCTAGAATATTTTATTTTGAAACTTAAATGTTTTAATAATATTTAGTTCTGTACTGTATCTTATAAATATGTAAAAAAAATACATACAACATACAGCAGGATGAAATGCCTTATGGGGTGAGTTTGCAGGAAATTAAATTAGACCAATGACAGATACAGATATTCAATTTTGCATATTTGAAAGGGTTATTGATTGTTGGATGAATTGGTCAGGTTACACCATGTAAAAAAAACCAGGAAGACTTTTACTTCATATACTTTTCATCAAACAGGTCTTGACATTTTCCGTGTATTATTTACAGGTCCCTGGAGAGAATCTGATACCCCTGTATGAGAAGCTGATCTTGAAGAATGTGTCCTCTCTGTCTCTATCTATCGAGCTCTCAACTGTAGAGCCGTTCTCTCTGTGTGAGGTCCAAGGAGCCCACAGCTCAGTGACTACTAAGGTACACACCATTTATATTTGCCTTTCTTGTTTTTTTATTTTTCATTTCCAGTTTGAGTAGGAGGAGGCATAGATTATTTTTCCCTTGCACCATGATGAATTGGAATTTCCTTTGAACTTCTGTCATCTACCAAGGGAGATTTGTTTTGTTTTAAAATCACTACATGAGGATGTTTAGTTAGAAATCTGTATTTTATACCAAGATTAAATTAATTTTAGATTACAGTTGCCATTCAGTTCAATCAGTTTTGTGAGCATTGTTAGCTTTCTAGACATATCAGTGTGGCTTTCTTGTTATTTTGATCTTAGATCGTGATTTTAAAATAAACCTTAACACGGCAAAATTAACTTTTGTGGTGTTAATTAATTGAAGCCTGTTGTAGCTCTATTTATCTCACGTATTTCATGTATCTATGAAAGGACAGCAGTCAGATATTGGTAGTTGTGTGTAAAACACATTTTGCTTTAAATGGATGGTAGTTAACCTAATGTAAAAAAGTTTCACGATAAATAAACTAAATGAAGCTTTATGAACTCTATGAATATCATTTTCCTTTTGTTTCCCATCTTGCACACAATTGTATACTTCATTCCATTTTAATTGCAGTTAGGTCTTCTTAGGAACTAATCTGAAAGTATAAAGTGAAAGTACAATGCTGAAAAGACTTATAAGAAGACATATACTTGATGTTTATGGTCAGTGTCTTGCTCAAAGACAATAGCAGGAACATTTCATACATCATACAGTATGAATCTAAAGAAAGGTCCCTGACTGCATTCAAACTGATATTTGAGGCATACTTGCTCATTTACAGTAATACTTCAACTTGAATTGATTAGTTGATATTTAGTGACTGTCATGGAAATAGTCTTGATATTGCAACAAAATGGTCACTAAAACTTACCAAAAGAGTGCTGCAGAAATAAGTCATTAAGATGAATGAGCATTTTGGCACTTCTCGTTCCAGAGAATGTATAGGCTATGCACGGGGTACTCCATTGGCCATTTAGATTATGAAAGTAGTGTTTATTTGTGAATATGATCTTGATGAACAAACGTGTAAGTATTATATACTTTTTACAGAACTTATTTTCAGCAATAATCAAAAAGCCCACAGAAAAAACCCAACGGCTTTTTGTCAAGTGAACATACTCGCTTCCAACCTCTGGGTTGGCCTGTAAAAATATGCCATCCCTGCGGCACAAATCAGGAGAATCTTTCATGCAAGGGATCTGTTATAACAGGTTTGGTGGAATTCTGTGTGTACTGTCTGTTTACACATTCATGGCCACAGTTGATGATTTGAATCAGATTCTCTAGATGAGACTTTATTACCTTTTCAAATTTATCATTTTAATCACTTGGACTTAGGTACTCAAATTACTGTGAAAAAAACATTTTCCCTGAGATAGAATTTCATTTCATGTGTACCCATAAAATGCATTTTCATTTTAACAGAGCTCTGGCTCCGATTGCAAGACTTGATTATATGCAGGATTTGAATCCACATTTAGAAAGGTTTTAAAGTGTGGTCTCTGATTGAAGCAAAAGAGTAACAAGGTTTTTGATAAGCCTGATTACACCAAACATGTCATAGTCATAAGATCAAAAAATGATGTAGTGATTTTTTTTGTAAGCATTTAAGAGTAGATTTAGAAAAAAAAGAAGAAAAACAAAGATGAATGAGAACATTAATTGGGAGCTTACCTTCCAAATATCTTCTAATAATTGTAAAGCCTGGTTAATTTGATACCTTTACGTTAAATATATATACTGTATATTTAAACAACAGCATATCTTTTTCTAGTCCTTGGCCTTTGGTGATGGAGGGCAGGCTGAGCTGTGGATAAGCTTTAATCCAGTTTACTGTCATGATCGGGTGTCACGAGTCGTGGATCAGGTAAAAATATATTTATTTTTATATTGATAGAATCTCACTTCTGATGCTTTGCTTTGTGATCCTGGGGCATAGATAGATATATAGATAGATATATCTATCTATCTATATATAGATAGATAGATAGAACCCTTCAGCTCTTTAAGACAATATAAATCCTCCTTGCATTCTATATCAACTATTTTTTTCATTCACAACCACATGTCACTTAAAATGCTGCTCAACTTTTATTCAGTTTTATAGCATTTATGGGGTTAATCTGACTCTGTGATGATTGTATTTGATTGTTTCTGTAGGTATTGTTGATTTATTTTTGATTTGTGAAAGAAAGAAAACAACAACAGGATAGCCATCTTATTCTGTTATAGCAGTATCTTGTGTTATTAAGAAATGGACACATAAATCAAATATGAAATGAACTCAATGAAATTTCCAAAACAGTTGGAGTGCTAGCATTTGGGAACTGAGAGGACAAATTTGGTTAATTTTGAAAGTGAAATGTTTTCCCATTCATGCTGGGAAATTGGTTCTCTGTTCACAAATGCTAACAATAGCCATCTACAGATTGCAGTTCCAAAACTGCTCCGTATCTAGTAGTGCTGTCATTATGCCTCTGTAGTCAGCGTCATAATGACTTCGCCCCACTATTCCGCTTTGTGTGCGCTAAACATTGCATGTGAGGCATACAGTAACAGGGGCAGTAGTATCCCTCCTTCAACTGGCAATTTAGGCATCAATAGTGTTGAAAAGGAAGAGGTCATTCTACAGAGTGGTAAACATGATCCAGTGTTGCTGCTATTGAAATCAAAATTGGCATATACTTTTTCTAACACAATGTCATTTCTCAGTTTCAACATTTGACATGTCAAATACGTTGTTTAAATGTTTGTGAAATCATTACATTGTTTTTATTTACATTTCAAACAGCATCCCAACTTTTTCACAATGGAGTTTTTCATTATACATTTCCTTACGTTACATCTCCAGTTCCTTGAGGTACACTACCAGGGACACCCTCAGCAAGACATGGTGGAGCTGCATGCTGAGGTCCACTTTCCCAACCTCCACTTCCCCTCCACAACAGTGGATTTTGGCTGTGTGCTTAACTGCACAGAGACTCAGAGAGTATTCTCAATCACCAACTGCTCCCCACTGCCTGTGTCCTACCAGTGGGCTTTCCTGGAAGACCACAAGCACGGCACCATCAGGTAGATTTACAGCAAAAAATGTCCATGACCTTTTTGAGTAGGGGGGGCTGCCAACTGAATCGTAAGTGTGATATATCTACATTGCATAGTGGATCCTATGAAGCTCAGTTCCCTGCATTTCCCCAGAAAAGATGCCCTATGGTATAGAATACAAAGAGGGAATGGAGAACGTGAGGGGACAAGAGGGGAATGGATTTCAGGCCTTTATTAAAACTGTCCTTTGGGGTGAGTTAGTACAGTGGCTATACATTTAACCCTTTGGATTGAAAGCCAACTCCATTTTTAAATCCCATGGGAGGACAAATCTTCTGATTTGGTACTTTATGTTATATTGTGGCTCTCTCAAGCCTTTGCTCCTGCTCCCCTCCCTTAAAATGGACTGTAAATACCAGAGTAGTGTTTTTATCCATGGCCATGAACCAACTTACTGCTCCACCTGATTTATCACCCTCTACTGCCTTTTCCCCTTCCCCCGCTTTCATGCATTGGTATTCTTCCTTGTTGCTGCCCTCCTTGTCCTCATATTAGGATTAACATTGGCTATTTGTCTTTCTTCAACTCATCTTGCTCCCCTGCTTCTTCTAGCTGTGCCTCTGCTTGCTACAAAATCCTAACAACCTTTTTTTCCCTTTCTTCACTTCTTCCATCTTAGATTGTGACCTCTCTTAACAATCTGCCTTATAGGCCGTCCTGCTAATTAAATGGAGACCTCACTCTGCACTCACTCACTCACTTTAAAGTTTCTCTTTCTCTCTCACATAACCTGCACTATCTGCCCATGTTCAGCTAATTACGCTGCTATCAGTAATTATACCGCAGCCCTCGGAGAGGAGAATTTCAATAGAGCTTACTTTTTTCAATCCATCTAACCCACTGATAGATGGAGGCAGAACAATACATTAAAATACTGTAACTTTTCTGTCTTTAGAACCTTATATCAGCAAGCAGTAAACTGGAAAACCTACTGCAGGGCATCTGAATGTCTGATCACTCAAAGCTCTGGGTGATTGAGAGGATGTTGACCTTAAGTCAAGGTGCACAGACCTTTGCAATGGGGAGCAAAGCATTCTTTTTTCTTAACATAGTCATGCAGTCACCAACATACACTTTTTTGTAAGTGTATGTTGGTCAGAAACAGCCTTGAGCTTCTTGTTTTTCATCAAAATGTACAGTAAGCTGTTTTCTTTGTGTTGTCACTAACTCAAGGAACCCAATAAACAGTACACCTTTTATGCATAAAAAAGACATTTCAGTTGGAATGCACCTTGGTAAAAGAACTGAAACATTGTTTAATCTTAATCTCTCTGTTCTGAGTTCTTGTGAACATACAGAAGCATCAAAAGCACATTTCATTCAATTCATACTACTCATGAGAATGAGGACATTAGCTTTAGTGCTCATACCTCTGTGTTATTTTCCCATTAAAAAGCAGTGTGTCAAGGTAGCATGAAATGGAAAAAGTCATATTATGTCCATCAGTTGTTTTTTTTTAAAAATAACAACCACCATTATTGGGAATAAAAGAAGGTAACTTCTTGTGCATAAACAAAGTAATCATTGAAAAAGCTAATTTGCAGGGAGACAAGTGCAGCTGGCTGTTATTGTTTGTGGATGTTCAGTCGTGAAAAATATGACTTACACTACCTTGAAATGGGAAATAAGTAATAAAAATGTAATGTTATCTTAGCTGTTCTACTGTAATTGAGTGTCGTACCAGTGAGAGCCACTCTATTTCTTCCTCACACTCACGTTGACTCACAAACTGCAAACCTATAGCTATTTGTCTTTAGTGTCATATTACAGCATCAATTTCTCTCTCAACCACTCCTCACTTGCTTTTCTTTCTGTCAGTCGGCAGGAAGTGAGATTCATATGGTTCAGTAGTTTCTGATGTGTAGAGATGCAGTGCTAGTGAAGACAAGCTAACAGTGAAATGCAGTCACACCCGTGGTGTGCATGAAGGAAAGAAAAGATGGACAGGAGAGAGAGACAGATGTGAGGGTGTCAGAGAAAGGCTATTTCTGTTTTGAGCTGAGCTCTTGCAGAGTCATCAACTGCTGTCTCACCATCTGTTCCTCTCTCCACACCAGTGGGTTTAAAACTCTTTATTATAGGACCCATGTTTCAAAAGCTCTTATTCCATGTTGGGACAAATAAGTTTATTGACTATTACAAACTCTCATCCATCGGAACTGCAGTGAGCATTCAAGGACACCGACTTACAGTACTTGTTCACCCATCCACCTTACATTGCTGGGGCTACTAATTAGTAATGTTCTCATGGCCCGACATCAGGCCAGCCTGTCCTCTAATACAGCATTTACCCCATACTGACCATACAACAGTGCCCCCTGCTGGCTTGATAACTATTATACACCCTGTCTAAATTGATACAACAGCACTGTGGAAAATATATGTCAATCCTGCCTTACATGTATTCACACCCTGAGGCTCACACATCATCACACACACACACACACACACACACACACACACACACACACACACACACACACACGTTGGTGATAACGTAGCTACTGTTTGGTGATTTAATATAGAACTTGTCCAGCCAGCTTTGAGATGGCTTCACTCACTAAATCTCTTTCATTTTCTTCCATGTTTATTCAGCACTTCACTGCAATCTATCCTGACCTGTTTCCTGCTGCTTGCCTATTAAAATTCCTCTTAATTATAGAACACTCTGTTTAATTAACTTGATGGATGCACACAGTCTGATCCCACAGGGAAGGAGAGAGAAGAACAGAAAGAGAAAATAAGAGTCAGAGTTGTTCGGGGTGTGGATGTTGAAGATTATTTTTTTCCTTCAGTATTACATTATGTGTTAATGATGTATATGATATACCACAGCTTCTTATATAATCTGGTTGCATTTTCTTTGTACATTTCTTAATAGTCCACCTCATGGACATGGTGAGACTTTCAATTATGCATTTTCATGGAGATTTGACTTTATTTATTTATTATCTTCGATATACTGTATATCCTTATCTTCTATATATTAGATTTGTATTGTTAATACATATTTGATGTAATGAGGGATACCTTATTCCAATATTTTCCTATCGAACAGACAGAGCAGTATACTGAAGGGGGGTTCAGTTCCTCTAAAACATTTTTAAAAAACTGTTTTCATTTTCCTTCTCAGCCCCAGTCCTGATGCAAATGAACCGAGCAGCGCAGAGAGAACACCACGTGTGGAAGAGGTAGGCAAATGCTCTCGTGTAAACATTTAGGGTTTTCCTGACATTACCAGCCTTTCAAGGTTCATTTCCCCTATGTGTCAATGCTGCAGTGCTGGAGGTAGACCACATGCACATACACCACTGCACCACCAATTGCAGTAACAAGTCTTTGAAAGCTTCTTTTGTACGATATTGTTTGCACATATTCATTTATTTCTGTCTGCCTTTTTGTAAGTTTTCTTTTTTACATGTTCAAAATAATTACTTCAATTCAAGTTCTGTGAAACACTTTAAAAAAAGTCTATACTTGTTTAAGGTTCCACTGGTTCTCTTTTTAGGTGTTTGATGTCTTACCAATATATGGTCATCTGCAACCTGGGGATGAGCAGCTGGTTACATTCTCTTTCTATGGCCACAAAAATGTCAGCAGAGAGTTGATAGCGCAGTGCCATGTAGAGGAGGGGCCTACATATGAAATCACACTCAGAGGAGAAGCATCAGTTATCAGCTACAGCCTTGACACTACCCACGTTGGCTTTGGTCTGCTGGTATGTACATAGGGTCCTTTTTTTAAGTGATTTATTCCAACAAGCTCTACACATCAAATATTTTCAGATGAGTGTATACAGATGGTTGAGCCTAAGTTGAGGGTTATCACTGGTGTTAGAAATTGCTGGTTGGCTCCTTGTAGTCGTGTTATACTTTTTATGTCTTTGTTCCGTCTTTGCCATCTGTTTGCTGTATCTGTGTGTGACAATAGATCCTTTATAGAGTTTCAATATCTTTGGAGTGCTTTTATCAAATACACTTATCACACAATATTATCCTGAGGGATATTTTGTTTGACAGTCAATTGTATGTTATGATGCATTTTGTAAAAGCCAAACCATACATTCGAGGAGTGAGTTACACAAAAAATGGACATGAAGAATCTCATTAACTTTGAATGTTTTTCCCACTTTGGTCTTTTGTTCTTCCTCTCCTTCTTTAAGTATGCAGGCCATCTGGACTTATCATTGATATTCAAAACAAGGACGTATTGATTTTTGATTTAGTTGGAATGAGCAATTCAGCAGAACATTTCTCTGACCTTCCTGTCGGTTCAGCACAATACTTTCTCTTGCCTAATTTCTCTTTTGCTAATGCTCCTCCTCCCTCTTAACCTTTGTGTTCTTTTCCTATAACAATGATCAGATTTATCCTTCATCCTGAAAAAAAAACTCCTTCTGCATGCACTTGGATAGATTTTGAGTGACAGAATTTGAAAAACAACTTCTTTCAAACAACTTTCTTTTTTTTTTTACCTTGTGCTTTAAATTTTCTTTCCTGCTATATTTCAATTAAATGTATCATCAAAACCAAGAAGATGCAAATGGAAACAGGAATTCTCTAGGTTTTTGTAGAAAACAGTTTACCCCATCACATCAGCTTTTCAAGGCCCTGCCCATACCTGGGGCAGTCGGGTTCAGTGAGAGAGTCGGCCATCTCTCAGTTGGAAGTGGGTTTGAGTCCATCTGCAGTCCTCATGTCTTTGTGTCCTTGGGCAAGATGCTGACCCCCAAATTGAATTGAATCCTACTGGCATGCAAAGTGGCAAGTTAATTTTTATAGATGGGATTAATTTACGCTGATGGGCACCTTACATAGCATCCTCGAGCCATTAGTCTATGAGCGTGTGTTTTTGTGATGGTGAACGTGGCATGTAAACATAAAGTGTTTTGGGTGGTTGGGAGACTAGAAAAGCTATTTAACTACAGTCCATTTACAATATATTTTTTAACCATAATAAACCCTGGGTGGGGAAGATTTACTTAAGTATAAGATAGCAGTTCTGCAAGCATTTAGAAATATACACATTACTGTGATTTAAGTGAAGATGATAGTGTTAAAGGTGATCTCCGCTTCCAATTTCAAGCTTTTCGATCATGTAGGGGAGGCTGAGGTTACCCTAAGAAATACTGGCAAGATTGGCTTCAAGTTCAGCATCATTGACCTTCAAAGGGAGGATGAGGAGGAGGCAGATAAAGAGGCAAAGGGATGGATGAAGGCCCTGGAAGAGGTTGAGCAGCAGCAAGATGCACAGAAACAAAAAGACAATGAGGAAAATGAGACAGGACAGGAGGTCAGGCCCGGCCAGCCAATGGTCATCCCCAACATGGTGAGATCATCTTTGTGCTATTTCAGCTGTGGTAGGTTAATTCATAATTTATGAGTTATTCAGTTTGTGTGTGTGTGTGTGTGTGTCAGGGTTACATTGATGCTGATGCAGAGCAATGCTTGCGTGTTCTCTACCTCCCGGGAGTTCCTGAGGTGTTTGAGAAGCGGCTTCAGCTGCAGGTGGCTTTCCTGCCACCACAGGAGATCACTCTTACTGGAGAGGGAGTGTTTCCAAGGATCAGCCTCAACTTGCCACAGAATCTTTGTATGTATAGACATGCACTTGTTAACACTGACATGATCAAATCCTTACTCAATGTGACAAATTATAACAATTTACCAGGCACTTTTTAAAAATCTTATGCTATGTCATTCTTTCTTGCCAAAATACAGGCAATACCTTTTAAAACAATTGTTGTACAACGTGCATTGGAAAATAAACTTTCTAAGCTTTCTGAACTTTCAAACATAGTCCATGTCAGAAACAGCAGAAATGTTCTACCATGTAAATGTTTATTGATCAAGGACATTGTTAGAGAACAGAGTCGGCTACACAGCAGAGCCCACACTACATGCTTATAAAGATTGAGTCACAAGTACAAATCGTTGTTTCTGCACTGGTGTCACGCCCGTTCGCGTTCTCTTGCAGCAGAGGAGTGCTACAGTGATGTGGTGCAGCAGGCCAGAGCAGCTGTGGAGGCATATAGAATCAGAGAGGAGGGTATGAACGGCCATACCACTGATGGAGGAGAAGCAACTACAGAGGACTCTGGCACTCTCACCGTCAGTGACTTAACCCCATTGATGTTATTCAATGAATACCTTGTTTTTGATTTTTGTCTTTTTTACAAAATGTTGTTTTTAAGATGAAGAAATGATCCCCAAAACATATTTTTGATACATAATTGATTAATTATGGTTACAAGCAGGAATGCTGTATGTTATGTAGTGAAAATCCTTTTTTTTAAAGAAAGAAAAAGAGAGTTGAACTTGTGAGATTAGTAGTCCACATCAGCACTACATTTATGTTTTCTTAATTCAACTGGAGTATTCATTTTCATATTTGGAAACTGTAGGAAATGTATAAAAATCTGTGTGGCCAACATTTATAGTGGACTCATTCCAAATATACTTTAAGTAAGGGAGTTTAGGAACTACATCTCTGCTTTGAGTAACCAGTCTGTTCTGCAGGGATTTCCCTGCTTCTTATCTGTGTATTGATTTTCCAGGGGGTACACGAGAACGATTGAATTCCAGTGAAAAGAAAACCTATTTTCTGTTCATCCTAGGAGTATTTACTTATAGTTTAGTGCGTTACCCAAGCAATATACCAGACATTTCCCCTTAGCAATGGCATGAACAATGCAAACATGTTTTACAGCAGATAAGGATAAAGACTGTGTTGCCCAAGAGAATCTCCGAAATAGATAAAAGAATCATTACCTCCCTGTCAACAAACCCCTTCTGACCAAAGTGACTTTCCATCTGTGGTTGTGGTCTTTAAAGAAAAAAATAAAAGGATGGCGAAATTATTTATTAGACTTTGCAATTTTAACATGGGTTATCCACTTTATACTGCTAATACTATACTATAATGTTAAGACATCTTAAAATTAAGTGTCTGCGCCAAAAAAATCCTTACTGAAGGGAACAGAGCAAAATACCTCAGGAAGGGGAATAGAATATAGCATATTGGATATGTTAACAATTATATCATGTTTAAGGCTCTTAGGAATAAAATGCTTAGCTGCTACAAGAGTTACGAGTCTCCAGAGAGTTAAAAGTAGAGATTTCTTGAAAATAAACTTGTTCAAGTAAAAATCATCTAAAAAACTTAAGAAATATTAACTTAATATTAACTTAAAGAGTTTATATGATAAATATGGGGGCAATCAATAACTGATAATCAGACTAGCTGAAATATTTTTGTTTTTATCTTCAATAACCACTCTTGTCTAAAACACCAAAATTGTACATGTAAAGTTTTATTATAGAAACTATTGATCATTCTTAATTTGAAATTCTCAGATTTATTTAGCATCTTTTTTTGTATTGAATTTGTAATCTAAACTGACCATGCTTTGTAACACTATTGTGTGTTGCTAATCCTTGAATCTTGTCAAGTCAAATCCAAAAATATATATTTTCCAATCTAAACTGATTATTTGTGCATCATTTTGTACTTTATGTATACAAAATAGATTTTAATTTGACTTGCAAAATGTTATTAAGGCATTTTTCTTCCCAGTTAGCCTTGTGCTGCGTATTGCTTTTAGTTTCTTCCTCTTTTGAGTATTTATGTGCCCATACTTTTTATGACTTGTCCCTTTTACTTTTTTATCTTTTGCTTGCTGCCTCTAGTATGAAGAGCTGCTTCACATGGAGGTCGAGAAAGCACTGGTCAAACAGAATGCTCTCACTCTGACTGATAGCCTGCTGGAGCTCAGTGACTCACAGTGCTCCCCCAGAAAGTGGCAAAAACTCAGCAAGTACGTTCAAACACACAAACTCGTACATATTTTGGTTGAACAGATGGTCCCCTTACTGAAAGGAAAAGAGAACTGTGTTGTGGAATTCAAAGAGTTTGTGTTAATAATTAATATCTGGCTGGGTATGGTTTTGTTCTGGCAGCTTATTTGAATCAGCGTACAGAGTTTTGTTTCATTAGTCAGAAAACACTTCACAATTGCTCCGTCATCTCTCAACCGGAAGGTTGGGGGTTCGATCCCCAGCTCCTGCAACTGATGTGTCCTTGGGCAAGACACTTAACCCCAAATTGATCTTGCTGCTTCGTCGGCGGCGTATGAATGTGTATGAATGGGATTATTTAATACTGATGGTTACTTTACATCGTAACCTCTACCATCTGTGTGTGAATGTGTAGGTGTGATCCGCGATGTAAAAGCACTCTGAGTAGTCTGAAGACTAGCGATGCAGAATACAAGCTCATTTCCATTTACCACTTACAGAGTTGAACAGTTGAACAGAGTTCAATTGTTTCTAGTCAACAGTATTGAATCCTGGTAATTCATCAAACTTCCATACTGCGAAGTCATGCTAAAGAAGAGAAATATCCAGTCTGACATGATGTCTATTAATGTCTCCGTCTCTATCTCTTTCCACTCCTACAGGTTTGTGCTCCCAGAGTACGTCTTGGATTTTGGTTTTGTAATTCCAGGCAAAGTACTCAGTCACACTGTTCATATCACAAACACTGGGTCTGTCCCAGTGTCCTTCCAAGCCAACCTTAAATGTCTAGCTGCCACAGGTAAGAAAATACTTTAAACAAGGTGCTTAAGCATTTTAATGTCTTTATCATGGGTCTTGTGCAATACCTCATGATAACACTATGACTGCTATGCGGAAAAAAACTTGTAACTTATAATGTGATATTATAAGAAATACAAATTAACTAACAAATAGGTTTTTTAAGACTCAGAAAACTTGTAATTACTGTTTTATCTGTCCATAAAGTATTGAAGAACAGTGATAACAAGGTTTGCCACACTAAGCTCAAAAACAAACTGAAAGGTGAAACTGCTAGCCTTGCTCTGTCAAAAAAGTAAAAGATGAGAGAAAATAAAACACCATGGAGAGCCTGGAAAGCTTCAGAGCACTTTTAGAAAGAACTTCCTGAAGTATCTACTTGTAACCTATCAACCTGAAATTATTCCATTAAAAAATCTAACGTGCAAAATGAACTGAAACATTAGCTTGTAACTTGAACTTTGGCTTTTGTACTGATGAAACAAATAAACCAAATGAGACTTTGAGGTCCTTTCTTTTGACAGAGTCAATAGATTGTTTCCTCTTGCTTTCAGTGTTCAAGATAACCTAAGCTTACAACCTCCTGGATACACCTGCATATTCATCTAAACATTATGACAGTTGTATTGACCTTATCTTCAGTCTCCTGCCTAAATGTCAAACTATTTCTAATGATGTTCAACATGTTGCCTTTGTAAAATAAAAATGCTTATGTCTTTGTTGTTGTTTCATGAAAGGTTTCAGTGCAGACTTTGAAAGAGTGAAAAACCTGCCCTGCAGAGAGACAAACTCTTTCACAGTTAAATTTGACCCCAATGGAGCCAACCTGAAGATGGGGGACACAAGTGTTGTCATGCCAATACAGGTACACATGGGCGGACAGTACACAAACATGTACATGTATGCAATTATTATAAATATTCCTAAATCAGTGTACATTTTCTCCATAGTTGGTCTTTTTTTACGAGCAGTATTTTTGCCCAGTTCCTGAGATATAGTTGTCTTTTGTTATGCAGGTTGCAGGCGGTCCAATGGTTCAGGTGCGGCTGTGTGCAGCAGTGACTTTGCCCGCAATCGCTGCTTCAACAGATACTCTGCAGTTTGACACTTTGCAGTGTGGCATGTGTCAGGTAATGCAGCTTGATTACATGAAATGGCGAGATACAATTAGGAAGCCTTACAAAGCATTCTTGCAATGTTCAATTACATGCAAGTCTGTCATATACTTTTTAAACTAACATCATTAAAAACAAATTCAGTGTAAAAAAAAAAAAAAGCATTAGTGTAACTGTCCATTTTTAATGTAATTAAGATGTACAAGTAGTAGAATTGGAAAGCAGGTCAGAACACAACTGAGAGCACTAATGAGCATCATTATGCTGCTTCACTTTGGTGCCATCTTGTGGCCAAATTATGTGACGTGTATAATTTGAAGGACTGTTCTGTCTAATACTAACACAGTTGAAGTGAATTAACTGGATTATACCTCCTCACAGAAGAGCCACCAGCTCAAAACTATGATAGGTGATGTTAGAAACATCATAAAGGCTTTGCATTTACTGAAAATCAATATCAATCAAAGTGACATGACAAGGCCCTTAGGCTGCTGCTGAAAGCCTGCTAAATCATGTGCAATATAATATTCACCACCAGATGAAGACAATACAGCTGTCCAATAATGAGGCTGTGCCCTGCCACTGGAGCATCACTGAGGAGGTGAAACCTTTCAGAAAGGTATAAAAAGTATTTTCATGGTTCTTTTAATTAACTTTTCCAATTAATTTAGTACTTAAGTATCCACTTGACAAGATATACATGTCCCTAGAATCTTTTATCTTCATCCATGGAGAAACAGATTTTTCTGAATATTATTGAAAATAATTTAAGCTAAGACAAAGCAGCATGAGGATGACACCTGCCTTGTTCCCTCTCAGGTTGATAAGTTTCTTCCACTCTACCAGCGCAAAAAAGCTTTGCAGGAGCAGCGACCACCGCCAGTGGTGTTTGAGATGTTTCCAAGCTCAGGCATACTGTCTCCTGGTGAACGTGTCAATGTCCAGATAAAGTTCAGCCCTGTTGAGGAGGTGAGGAGCCTAAGTTGTTTATCAAAGCGCATATTGAAAACACTTATTAAACAGTTGTATGTCTTTGCAGCATTCCTACAACAGACAGCTTGTTGTCCATGTGGCTAACAGCAACCAGCAGTTGTTCATCAAAGCCTATGGGCAGGCTGAGAAACCACGACTTGAGTTCTGCCCGCCAGTGCTGGAGCTGGAGCCTTGTCTGCCTCTCAGCACTGAATCTGAAGCTGAGGTTATAGTCAGAAACCCCTGCTCTTTTCCCATTGAGTTCTACTCCCTGGAACTTGACAATCAGTATCTTGAGGAAGAAAAGGTACATCCCCTTTTTTTAGCAGAACAAAACACTGATTAGGTCTGTAATACACATTCCTAAAGACAACACAAAAGCTTTTAAAAAGAAATTCAGAGGATAACATTTTCTTTGTCAGTTGTAACAGTGGTATATGGGACAACTGTATGATTGCAAAGGGATAAGTGAGGAGGGAGTAAGTTGGAGTGAAGGGATTCAAAAAGTAAGATGATGATACTGAAGATACCATTTCATCATTGACATTGATTCCTCTACTCCTTATACAGAGTAACTGTCTTGTAGATCACTGCAGTCGGCGGTCATGTGTTGTATCATATTACAACTGTTTTTCCTTTTACAGGTCGTTTAGTTTGTTTAAAAATATGCAATTGATTTACTTTCTGTCATGTTTTTCATTTCTCTCTTACTGCGTTTGAAAAACAAACTGCCCTAAAAAAGTAAATCACTATTCTAGACTAGTTTTGTCTCTTTTCTTACCTTTTTCACGTGCTTTACAACTGTTTATTCATGTTTTTTTCTGTTTGTATTTTTTAAATCCTTCCTTTTACTGTTTTGGTTTCTTTCTCCCTCCTCCCTCCTCCCTCCTCACATCTTGATCCCTTTCAGATCCTATGTCTGATGCAGGGTTATGATGAGAACAACACATTACTGCTTCCCCCCAGGGCCCCTGGTGAAAGTCTCCCTAAAGAGTTGCTCGACTACTACAAGGAGTACAGTTCCCAACTGAAAGATGAAGGTAGCTTTATTCACACCCTTGTTCAAATGCAAGCACTAAATAGTTGGCTTGTTTGTTTTCATTTTGTATCAGTGTTAACCTGTTTCTATATATTTGAATTGGTGTGCAGCAGTGCTGCAGCCAGGTCTGGATGAAAAAATGGCTAGAACTGATGAAATACATGATGAAGAAAGGATGTCATTACAAGACACTTCCAGGGCGAAACCAGCAGAATTATGTGAGTACAACTATTTCAGATGCAGATCTTGACATGATAATGGAAATACCTTTTGGTATCTGTCAGCACTTCTGCAGCAGAATTTAATTTTAATTGCCGTTGACTTAATGAATGTTCAGGAAGACCAGAAGGGAGAGTGTTACAATAGTCTTGCCTGTTAGTTAAAAACACTTGCATTAGTCTTTCAGTTAAACTGCATTCACTTACAGTTTTTTTTTTAAATCTTTGTGTTGTGTGCATTCAGTCATTTCAGAGATTACAAGAGAGGGAAGCAGTGGGAGACTGGGGCAGCTTGAGATGACACCTGTTTCCAGAGCAATTGCTCGCCACATGTGCATTGACCTTTCAGCAGAGGGTCTGGCAGCACGCAACCGCAGAGGCATTGCTATTATTGTGTATGGAGCCCCACTGACAGGTGAACAATTAAAAGGTCTTGACTCTGTAGCATTAATAAAGAAGAAAGGTTGTCACACATTTTGCCCACTCTTGATATTTCAATAAAATACGTAAGACCAAGAGTATCAGAAAGAAATAAAAAAAAATCAATCAAGACATCCATAGCTACGATGACAATGTATTTGTTCAAGTTTGCATGCATCTGGTACCTCCAAATTTTCCAGGTAAAAGCAGGACAGCTGCTTCTCTGGCACGGCACTACGGAGGGACGTGTCTGAGTGTTGATGCTGTGTTGAGACAAGCTCTGATGAATGGTACCTCTCCTGTTAGCCTGACTGCAAGACAGCTTTATGACTGTGCTGCTGCCGAGTACGCTGAGAAAGTTGAGGAGGCTGGTTAGTGTTATATACTTTCCATTTCTCTTTAAAAACAGATATGGATTATATGTGGGTCCTGGAATTACAATTGCTGTTTGAGTTTGACAGACTTCTTACTTTTTCTTAGACAGTCACTATTCAAATTCTACATACATTAATAACCCAAAACATCACAGGACCAGCTCAAAGGTGTTATATTAAAATTAAATGTATCTATCTGCTTCTAGCACAGACTACGAAAGGAACCACAAAATTAGGACCTGCAGCCCATTTTGAAGCCTCAGATCCATCTCCCAATTCGGATCCAGCTTCACATGATGCCGTAAAAGATCCTAAAAAACCTGGTGATGACAGCTGCAATGACGCCCAGGCTCTTCAGGAGGCTGCAGTCTCAAGCTTCACCCTCTGCTTGGTAAGATTGTATTCATTGTTATGGTCATCTGGTGTGTTTCTGTGTCAGGTTGAGCCGTTCATTCATTGAAGTAAATTTCAGTACTGGTCTGTACAATTTAAACACCAGCAAAATATAATTTTAGTCTGGAGATAAAATGATCATTTTAAATTCTAGCTATGATGAAATTAATGTGTGGAATAAACCTGATCCTTTGTTGTGGTTTTTCTTCAGGGAGGAGATATGACAACACTTAGTAGTCTTTTGCCTGAACAGCTACTGGCAGATATCCTGGCGGAAAGATTTCAGGTAAGCAAAAAGTGTTTCCTTTCGGAGCGTCTGTGGCCTAGTGGTTAATTTGCACGCCCCATGTACAGTACAGAGCCTGTAGTCCTCTAAGCAGGCAGCCTGCATTCAAATCCAACATGTGGCTGCTTACTTCATGTCATTCCCCACTCTCTCTCTCTCCTTGAATTTCAAAATAAAAGATATGAAACACCCAACAGTAAATCTTGAAAAAAGGGTTTCCTTTTAAAATGATGGCATGAATAGTTTATATTTTCTATGTACCGGTACTCTGTGACACATGATAAAACTGTTAATTGTAGGGGCACAATGTCACCTATCCCATAATATCTATGTTTCTTATGACAGATTTCAAAAAGTGCATGCATACACCCTCAACACTTACAAATAGTATTCAAAGTATTCAAAATTCTCTATGGTCATCAAACAGCAAAACTTCTCCCTGAGCATCTTGGCACAAATAGACAAAACAGAGCCAATAGATAAAAACATTAAAACAGGGTAAATATGTCAAAGACAAAAATTCCACTGAAATATAAATTTAAAAAAAGAATGATGAATGGATCTGAAAATATTTGGCATATATTTACATATCTTGCAAAGTACATTGGTTGTGATATATCTTTATCGTAATAACCACTAACAGAGATGTTGTTATTATGTCTGAGGAAGAGATTTGAAGAGTTCCACTGACGTTTTTTCTTCTTGTGTTTTATGTCTTTCTCTTGTGATTGTTATTTCTGTTGATTCTGCCGTCATGGAAACAGCTAAGTGATTGTTACCGTGGCATAGTGATCGACGGCCTACACTCTGTGTACACTCAATCAGCAGCAACCACATTACAAGTTGTTCTCAAGGCCCTGGATAACCGTAAACACATCTATGCAGTCAACTTGTGTGACTCCTATGTTGCTCTGAAAGCACGTGAGAGGGCACAGAAAGAAACCGAGGGTAAAAACCTCACACACCTACACAAATCCTCATGAAGATGTTGCAAAGGACAGACCTCAGCAAATATGATATTGTTCTTTTCAGTTTTGATGTATGATGATAAATATTTATTTTAACTGTCCGTGTATGTCCCTCAGAGGCTCTGCAGAGAGAGAGAAGTTACAGAGAGGAGCAGTGGCTTAAGGAGCTTGATGAAGAAGAATATGATGCTCTGTCTGAGAAGGAAAAAGAGCTCATTGACCTTCAACAAATGCAGAAGTTAAAACAGCCCAAACTAAGGTAGTCCCTGGACAAATGGGGGATTTTTGTTTTTAAGGGCATTCACCACACTGTTTTGGTGGTGAAAGATTTGATAAATTCCTGATCGAAGCCTGATAAATACGCCTGTCATTTAAGTGGTGCAAATAGTCCAGATTTCATTTCAACCCTAAACTTGGCAATCAAGCAACCTGTTGCACATTTATTGAATGAACGGGGGATAGGACATTAGGTTTTATGCTTAGAAAGAACTATTTAAAGCAAATCACAACTCCTTTGAGAATTGGTAAATGGAATGCAACTGTCACATACATATTAGACAGCTGTGGCTCAGTTAGTAGAGTCATCGCCTCTCAACCGGAAGGTTGAGGGTTCAATCCCCAGCTGAGCAACATGTCCGTTGTGTCCTTGGACAACAGACCCTGAATTGCTCCTGCTACTTCAGTGGTGGTGTATGAATGGATTAGTTACTTCTGTTGGATGATACTACATAGCGATCACTACCATCAGTGTGTGAAAGGGTATGAATGTGTAGCTGTGACATGTGGTGTAAAAGCGCTTTGAGTAGTTGGAAGACTAGAAAAGCGCTATATAAGCTCAAGTCCATTTACCATTTACAAGAGAATATCGTATGCCAGGATAGACTAGACAACACTGCCTCAAGTGCACAAGATGATACTGGACAGTGAGCTGAGGGCAGAGGGCACTATTGTAGCAAGAGAATTACCCCAACAATTTCTGAAATGTATTTTTAGCTGTCTTGAAATGAGCCTATAAAAGTTACAAAAAAGCAAGCCATATACAGAGGTGTCAATAAAGGAACATGAAAATCAAGATAATAGGATACATTTGATTGTACTATGTTTCTGTATATTTGTTTAATGTCCTAATTTAATCTTAATGTTGTTACTACTTGCTCATATGTCCCCTCTACAATGGGATTTTTTAACCATTAAAAAGTTTGAGTGTTTTTGTAATTATGCATTTGCTTGTGTATAAGGGAGCTAAAGCGAATAAAGAAAGAGAAGGAAGAAAAGAGGCTGCAAGTGGAGATGCAGAGGTTGAAAGAAGAAGAGCTGAAGAAGAAAAACAAAAAGTGTGGAAAGAAGGATAGAAAAGAAGTGTCTCGGAAGAAGAGCTTGCTGGAGGGAAGGAAGGTCTGTATATTTATCCCATTTCAACACAAATACAAAATAATTTATGAACAGAAATTACTTGAAAGCTCCCATAAGCACAAACACTCACTTTTTATTACTGTGAATATGAAATGTTTATCGCTTTCTTTCCAGTCAACAGATTCACCAAATGGAGGGAGAATGTCTTCTTGTCACAACTCAAAAGAGTCTCTTGTGGACCAGAGGGAACAACATATTCCAAATGAAGGTGCACGCAGCTTTAAAGAATCACACATTTTATTTTAACATCTTGGTAACAGGATAATATGAACACAATACCATCATTGATTGTTTACAGGACTTGGTGTTTAGTTGCTGACATATTGACCTTTTTGCTTCTATAGTGCATCATAGCATAGAGGAAGATGACTCACAAAAGCAGACAGCGGAGGCCAAAGAAGTACGAGAAGAGTCTCCTCAACTCACGAACAAGCTGGAAAAAGAAAAGGTAGTTTTATTGTAAACGTAATTAGTGACTTCCCCATACACCATCCTACAAGTCACTGTAAGCTGTTTTAAAACATTAGGCTTTAGATGGCAGCCTTCATGATGAAGACCTTGTGTTCCCAATACAAAGTTTAGTTGAGTAACATCACAGTAGTTTGTGATCAAAACATTTAGGGACAAGAAAAACAGGATGTGGTGTAATGTTTAATTAGTTATGTGTAATGGGGATTTTCATAAAACTGAATCATGTTCTAGGTCTTATAAAACATGTTGACAACAAAGTTAATAGTTGTGTATGACAGCAAGGGAATAATTAACAAAAAACTTCCAATGTCTCATCTGTATGCCGCAGTTAAAGAGGATATATTATCCTCCTTCTCCACCTTTTCAAACAGTCCCCTGTGGTCTAAATGAAACATCTGTGCTGTGCTTTGGTCAAAATATAACATGAATCAAGCACCAGAGGAGGTTTGTTACCCTGTATAAACCAGCTTTCTCAGAACGCTCTGTTTTGGTGGGTGTGTCTCTTTAAATGCAACGAGGACCCCTGAGTTTTCCCCGTAGGCATCACTTCTTCGCTAGCGAGAATAAAAATGGCAGACCTAAGCTAAAGTTTGGTTCTAGGCTGTGGCACTTTTCTCTGTGTTGTAAGACTTATGCAGACCTCAAACAAAGCACTGGATGGGTTTATTTCACATTTTGTGGGTTGGTAGACACTCAGGTTACCCAGATATATGTTCAAAAACACTGTCAAAGTGGCTTTTACATAATATGTCCCCTTTAAAACTTGTTAAATAAGTGATTAAAGGTAGTTTTAGTCATATTATATACATAATATTACATATGGAATGAGCCTCACACAATTGCTGATTATTTATGTTATCTTCTTTTTGTGTCTACTGAATTATCCACCTCTGCTTCCCTCTCCAGTCCTGTGTGGATGAGCTACAGACTCTGTTTAGTCTGTACGAGCAGAGCCAGGAACAGGTGGAGTACATCCTACAGCACTGGGATCGAGTTCAGGGCTTGTTACTGGTCCCAGAGACAGATGAGACTGTTCCAGAAAAACATGTGAGTTTCCTAATTAACAGTTGCATTTTCTAAATACTAAGTTAAAAACTTAATGGAAAAGTGGGGAAAAAAATATGCTTCTGTATCTTCCCTTAAACTGCCTGCCATTGTCAGAATCTTGGAAGTTTTCAATAAACCTTCAGTCCCTAAACCTGTCTTCCAAACATAACATAATGGTTACTTTCAATAATAATGATTCAACATTTAATGTTGTTTGTAGATTGCTTTGCAGAAACATTTTACATGGATTTTAGATGCTTAAATAGAAAATAAAGTGAAATATAATCCTTTACTGTATCATAATATATGAAGCCATGTTAAAATGCATGAATTTGAGGTTGTTGTTTTTTTTATCACTGAACATAGTGACATCACACACACAAACAAGGTGTAGAGGTGTGTTGTATTTCAATTTGTCCAAAAGAGTGCAGCAGAGACCTGCTACTAAATGCAAGGCAAAGCTCCATGCAGGTTTAGTTTACATGCAGGGAAGCTAGTCCTTTATGGAGATGCTTTTTCCATTTAAAAGAAAACATAACTTTTCTCAACACATTTTGAAGGCAAAGTCATGTGTGGGGCCTATCATCACTGACTCAAGCTGATGGCAGTCATGCTAACTTGACTTTTACATTGTAAAATTTACCTGTTATGCTAGCAGCTAAAGGGATCTAATTGCACCTTTCAAGTACAGATTGTGCTATGGGAAGCTCTGTAGACTAATTAATACGTAGATGAATCTTCCCAGCAGAGTTCTAGTTCAGATTAAAGGTGTAAACTGCTTATTTCTTTTGGATTTTGACGTGTACATTCATCTATTTCCAATGACATATATTAAAGAGAAATATGAAGATACCTCTTTTTATGTGCTGCTTTACTTTATTTCATGACATGATTGTTGTATTATTACTACTAAGCAAGATTTTAATCAATGAGGGTGCCGGTAGCCTAGTGGTTAGTTTGCACGCCCAATGTACGGAGGCTATGATTTTCTAGGCAGGAGTCGTTTGACCTGTGGCTCATTTGCTGCATGTCATTACCCACACTCTCTTTCAGATTTTTGACTCGATCCACTGTACTATCTCTAATTAAGCCATCAAAGGCCACAAAATAAAACAGAATTCAAACCATTTTGTTTATCTTTGCCCTGTGTACATAGACCCCTGTCTCTAAGAGGAGCAAGAAAGCCAATAGTAAGGCTTTATCGCCCATGCCATCACCAACTGAAGCAGACAAGACTGGAAACAGTGTGTCGGCACAGGACTTCATCCCTCACATTGTGCTAAATGTAACAGGGAAAGACTATCCAGATGCTACAGAGCTGCTTAATGGCAGAATCCTGCCTCCACTAGTTGAGGTACGGCATTACTGATATTTCTGTTATTATTGTCAGTATAGTTACCTTAATGTGTCTTCCCAAAGTATAACCTATCCCTTGGTTTTCCATGTGTTTATCATCACCACTTTTTCTCTTTTCTGTTCTTGTTAGGTGTTAGATGATTTAGGGTTGGGACCCAGCGGGCCACCCATCCCTCCTTCCACCACCTTGTCGATAGTTCCATTCCCCAAAAACAGGAAGCAGTCAAACAGTCAACTCATCTGTGACTGTTTCACCTTCCTTGCTACCTCTGGGTTGGATGAACAGGGTGAGGAGGAGAAGAATTCAGAGGATGATGTACAGGTTGTAAAGGTAATGGTTCATTTAGCCCTCCTGTTTTCACATTTCACACATGTTGTTGGCAAAAAAGCATAGGTATATGATGGTATGACGATCTTACAAAAGAAAGCTACATATTTTATCTTAAGAAGTGGCAGTTTTGGAGGGATTTTGGAGTACATTCTTGGCTCATCATTAGCTCTTTTATAGTCACACATGTTAATGTTTACAAATTAGTACAGTAAATAAAAGGGAAAAGTATGTTGTAATATGAACATCACAGGTTTTTAAATCCAAATGATGTTTGTGTTTTTTCACGTTACAGGAGGAGACATCTGTTAAAGGCCGCGGCAAGGGCAGCAATAAGGAGAGCGCATTAACCAAGGACAAGGATAAAAAAGGAAGAGAGAGTCAGGAGAGCAAGAGACGGCCTTCAGCCAAGACAAAGCGGAAACCCTTACGCTCCCCTCAGCTGCAAGTCTCCCCTAGATCTAGCAGCGCTGGACAGGATCAACTACAAGGGAATTTGGAGCTTAAACGCAGCCAGAGGTAATTGAAGATAAACACAGGCACATTGGGCTTTTTTGCCTTGTTTTTTTATTTACAGAGTGATTTTGTTTTTGGTATGTATTTTTGTGCAGCCTGACAACATTTCGCTGGGTTGTACCTGCCAACGGTACAGTGGTTCTGAAGATCTGGTTCTACCCAGAGTCCCAAGGAAAATATGAGCAGATCTTCAACTTTGAGCTTCTCGGGACCCAGAGAAACTACCAGCTGCTCTGCAGAGGACTGTGCACCTATCCCTCTATCTGCAAAGATTACAAGTCAGTCAGTTTCATATTGCTATTCAGTAATACAAAAAGGAAGAGGAAGGGGTATTACCACACAAAAATACTTAGTACTTAAAAATATACATCTGTCTTAAATGTACTTTCAATATTAATATGCGCAATATATCTTTATTGAAGCCACCCAGAAGCTACAATTTTCATTTTTAGGTTTTAATCTTTAACACCTTTTTTAACAAGTCACTTAACAGGCAATGATTAAACAAAAGCACACTGCTGTAGGCTGGAGAGTTGAATACGTACTCAGCTGCAGCATATTAAACAGTATTTAAACATACCGTTCCTGCAATGCTCTCTCTTTGGTCCCTTTTCATACACAGGAGTGACTTCTTATGGAATAAGAATTATTCTTTGATGTTTCTTTGACATCAAAAGAAATTACAAAACATGTCCTCCTTTGAATTAACAGTAATCATATGTGGTTTCTCCAGGAGTCTTTTTGCTCTCACTAAGAAGGTGCAACAGATGGAAGAAGGGCTCCAGAAGTCATATGTCATAAAACCTGGATACTTTGAGTTTGGACCTTTGCTATGTGGCAAGACCAGAGACAGGTGAGAAGTGGAACACGGGCAGTGAGTGGCCCAGTATTTATGTATCACTTGTTTTTACAGATTCACATGTGTCTGTGTTTTTACAGATACAAAGAAAATCGGTATCCAGAAAACAAAGAGAGACTTTTGATTTATAACAACTCAGGTACGGAGGCTGAAGTCGTGTTCAGTTTCCAGCATGATACCCAAGCCACCACGTATTTACTCGACCCCCCAACCATGACTCTCAAACCTGATCAGAAAAAGGTACAAAAGCACAGTCTACTGACATTGTCTTAACCTACTGTATAGATAGAGATAATGCATGTGCCTGCAATAGCTAAATGAAATATCATATCAAGAATGTTTTGGTGTCACTTGAAGTAATTCAAAGTACGGTCAGTAGCATCAGTACTTCTGTTCCTTTGTCATGTTAGGAGTTGACCGTGTGGGCCTACCCAACAAAAGTTGGACAAATAAAGGACAGCCTAGTGTGCAGCATCAAAGACAATCCAGAGCCTGTCATCATAAACCTCTCCTGCTTAGGCGTTAGGCCAGAGCTGGAGCTGGAGCGCAAACAATTTTACTTTGACAGGATTTTGCCCCACAGGTAGAAAAATCGAACCGTCTAAATGATATCAGTAAATATATAAAGTGAAGTGTCTCTCCCTTTGACCCTTTTCTCTGCTGAACTTACCCTCTTCCACCCTTCTCCCTTTAGGTGGGACAGCCGTAGTTTAAAAATGCATAATAAGTCTGCTCTGCCTGTATCCTGGAAACTGCAGGGAGTTGAGGAGTTGGGGGATGAGTTCACTGTGCCACAGGATCATGGTGTCATCTCACCTAACTCCTCCTTCGACCTGATCTTGCACTTCAGGGCTCAGAAGCCTGTCTTGATTAAGAAGATCTTACGTCTAGAGGTAGTTAAACTATCAAATACATATATCATTGTTGAATGAAAAATGTAAAAAAAAAATCTAAATCAAGTCAAATGAATATACATAGAGCGTAAACAAAGAGATTTCTTTAAGATTATATACTATATGTCAAACTGGGTATTTTACTTTTTGAGTGTATGTACAGAATGTGTTGTGTTTTGTTTCAGGTATCTGATGTGGAGAAGATTGTAGGAATCCTACAAACTGAAAATATACAGGTCTCTGCTGAAGCCTATAATATAACTCTGGACATCTCACCAGGTAGAAACTGAGAGAGCTTATGAACATTTCATTAAAAATGTTAAAGCATTTTCTCTAACTTGTATGTCTTGTCATAATGGACATAAATGATGATGTGATTGAGCTGCTGCCCTAAACTCACTCAGTAAAAAATAATTTTCTTGATGTAAAATGCATGAAAAAAAGTATACCTAGCAGACTTACAAACTATAAACTAATCAGAAAGTCTTATTCCCCAGATGGCTGCTTAAACTTTGGAACAATCAAAGTCTTTGACGAGGCCAAACTGACTCTAAGGTTGAAAAACAAAGAAAAATATGAAATAGCCTACAAGTAAGTTTGAACACTCAGTTTTTCTTATTTACCAAATTACCCAAACTTAAATGATAAATATTGCACATTGCCTTCAGTTCATTTAACTTACCACGGCACTTATGAAGCTCACAGTCAGAGATGGTATGATAAGTGACCATGCAAAGCACAGCGGTCTTCTATCAGTACAATCACAAATTCAATTATTTTCTTTCCACAAGGTTTACGTGTCAGCGGACTGACCCGGCCCAGCCAAACCTAGACTCCATGTTTACGGTGTCCCCCCAGAGTGGATCTCTAATGCCCCACCAGAAGCCAACAACAGTGCAGATCACCTGCAGGCCTACTACAGAACTCTTACTGAAAGATGAACCTGTCCTGCCTTGTGAGGTCTGATCCATACACTGGTCTCAAAAAATTCATTCACATTATTTAAAGTGTCCATGGATCTGCTACAGGGTAAAATAACAGTTCAAAAACAGCAGTATTTAAACAATAGGACCATATAATATACTCTACATAGATGTTAATACTGGAGAGTTAAATAATATGAACCTTTCCTGACCATATATAAAAAAAACATTTTTTATCAATTGTACTTTATGAATTCTTAGTATTTAATACATTTTACCTTAACTTGATGATTAAATATGTCTGCCTAATGGAAATCAAGCAGTTCTAAAGATCGCTTACTGAAATAAACTACAGAATATTCTTCATTAACACCATTATACACAACAGTTTGCTGTTGGTCTAGCAGTTAAGAAGAATCCTACATAATCACAAAAAACCTTTGTTATTTATAGATGTATGCTTAGCTGCATGTCTCTCCATCCCATAATGCTTTTTTTGAGTGTCAGCTGGAACTGTCCAAAGAAGGCAAATGCAATAAAGAAAAAATCAGAAAAGAACATTCATATTGAGTTTAATTTTTTTGTCCTCTGCAGGTGATCGAACCAAACATTGGTAAGGTCGGAGAAACCATATCCATCTTAGCCATCAAGGTTTCTGTCCAGGCTCTCTTCTGCAGGTTAAGACTTGATTTATTCTGCTTCCGTTGTATAATTCTTATTAGTCTCTGTTCAGCACTGAATTGCTAAAAAGTATCTTATCCTCTCATTGTATCATCAAATTATGAAAACTTAATTATTTTGTCAATAAGAGGCCGTTCTAAAATTCAGCCTCAGCGCTAATTAGGAATTTCTGTTCGTTTTTTTCTCAGGTATAAGATCACACCTGCATGTGACATGAACTTTGGTCCACTGGTCCATGGCTGCAAAAAAAGCCAGTTTCTTACTATTGAGAACACTGGCGTCTTTGAGACCCATTACACCATCTCTCGCATGACTATGGAGCCTGCTCCACCAGGAAAGCCAGGGTAGGAGATCAGAACACAGATACAAAAAAGATACAGTTCTCCAAAAAAATGAAAATGTATAAGGAAAATGGTTAATAAAATGGTGAGTTTATCCAGGATGTAAATTAGAAACAGGTTGGTATTTTGTATATATTTTTTGATTTTGTATAAATAATATGCAGTGTTCAATGCCAGCAGAGGGCGGTTCCAGCCTCCACTTTGTCAATACATTTCTGAGAATGTAAATCTGATGGGGTATTTTCCCTTACATTTAAGACACCTCAGTGTTAATGTCTATAAGATGACATTCAGCAGTTATGGATGACATGTGCTTCCTTTACCTGAGTAAAAGTATTACAGTCATATAGATTTATTTCTCTCTAATGGAAAAGTCCTCTACTCAAAATATAGATTGATGACAGGTACATATAATCATCTGCTAGATTTGAAAATGAACACTACTCATCTCAGTCACCGCCTCTTAAGCCTGGCTCAGACTACAGGAGTTTAAAAATCCTACCCGATTTTGAAATCGGTTGGCATCACACACTTCAGGAGAATCTTAAAAGATATTCTTCTCCATAATCTCAAGTATGCATGCAATACAAGATTTGAAAATCATGACACATCACATAAGGATTTTAGTAAGATTATCGTCCACAGCGGAGGATCACACCACCTCACCTGACCTCACGTAAACAATAGAGCCAATGGTTAAATTTGTGATTATAATACTCTGTGCAGAGAGTCCAAGAGAGGGTGAAGAAATGTCTGGGGAGACGCAGACAACATGTATTGTCTATTCTCCAGCAAGAGCTAGAGTAAAATTGAAACTGTCATATGCATTACAATCGTCTGGTGCACCTGTGCGGGTTGTAACTTGCCGGCAGGAGTTCATTGTATCTTGGAATACAAACTGAAACCTGACATTAATAGCATTGCAACAGCCTGTAGGCACATCTGGCTCCTAAAGGGAATGAGATCTGACACTCTGATTGGTTTGATTCATGTAACACCTATGTATAATAAAGCCACATATTCCTTCCTCTTCATGCTCTGCGCTTGGCTCTGGGCCCGGATTGAGCACTGCAAAATATAGACGGTCACGCCCCAAAATTGCAGTGCATCATGTACTTTAGACAACCAATTTATACTGCTGCCAAATAGGGCCAATAGCCTTCAAAATGCTTTTTCTACTACTAAAATACTTTGTGTTTTCTTAAAGATGTTGAAATAACATTGTGATTGTCCTGGTGTTCTAGTGAAAGCGGTCCAGGTAAAAAGATGCTTCAAGAGAACCATTCAGGGAGGCCCGCTGGTGCTAGTTGCAGAGATATGAGTCGTACTCAGGTGAGAGACAGTTAGCAGAGATAACAACCCTCAAAATGCCAGTTCAGTTATTCAGTTTTTCATTTGGACATTTCACTACATTTTTGTCTTTCTTAGAGTTTGTAAGAAAGTTCACAGGCCATAGCTCCCATCTTGTGTGTTGTTTAACATTCTCCGGATTTTTTTCATTCTGCTCACAAACATTAAATGAGTTCAATAGGTGCGTTAACTTTTATTACAAAACAACCATGTTTTCATTTATGTCTGCTTGTTTCAAGCTTGGAAATCTTAGAGTGACACTAAACTAGATAAAACCATAATCAACTAAAACAAAATATGTATTATAAATAATCAATTAAAATCAGCTTAATAGTTCTAGCTGTTTAAAATATTATTACATTCCCAAACATGTTTTTTCACCAGAAGCATTTATTAATGTTCACAATATTATTATGTACCTTAATGTAATGAGTTCCAACTGTGCTTTCAAGCAAGGCTGCAAAGGTAAAAGTCAGAAATACTGTATGTGTTCAAATTAAATTGTAAAATATACGGAAGACATTTTGAATGAAAAACAAAAACTTTGAAAGTTCATCAAATGTAAAAATAAAACCTATCTTGCTCTAGATTTCCATGTCAGACATTTTGTTTTTGTTATCAAATATTCTTATCTGAAAAACACATTATTATTATTATTATTATTATTATTATGTAAAAAAAGATGCATGAAAAGCAAAATATAATCCACATTTCGATTTATTTTATTCAATTTAAATATTTGTCTACTTTTGATTCTAGTTATCCTTGTATCCTCTCTGATCATCCTATGTTTCTTCCCAGAATCGCCCCACCATAGGTGCATTCTCAGTGTCTCCGTGCACAGGAACACTGCAGCCTGGGTCTCAGCAGGTGGTGATTGTGGACTGTCCCGCTGATCAGCTGGGTAACTGGAGCCAGTTTCTGTACATTGACATCAGTGACCGTGACCCCTCAGACCAGCCTGAGGGCATACAGTACAGACTGATGGCAGAAGTCTGCAAGCCAGGTGAAAGCTTATTGTGTCTTATTTGATTGATGCTACTGAGAGGAGTTTTTAAATGGTTGTGAAACAGACAATGATGCCTCTTTTTAACCTAAAAATGCAGAAAAAAACATCAGTGGCAAGAATGATTATTTTTCTTCATTTTTAATACCTGAAAAAAATTCCACAGGGTAGTGTCACACAAGTCAGTTAATAGCAAACTGAGGAAAAATGCCATTCTCAAGCAAATCCCTGTATTCACAATTAGTGATACATTTGGTTGTGAAAAGACAGCATGATTCTATTTAAGACAAATAATAATTAAATGTACCCATGACCAGAGCAAAGAGATAAGAAATACCATGGCAAAATAAAAGACGAACCAAAAGTTCCTCACAGGATAATGAACCTGACCTAAGATATTTCCATGGCTAAGTTCCATACATTTCATAAGATTGGATTTTCCCTTTAATCAGTAAGACAGACATGGATTGTTTTCTAGAACAAAACAGTTCTCACTGCTGCTTTCATTTCTATGCAATGTGATGTCAAATCGCTTTATCTGAATAATCAGAAAGCTTTTGTAATTTGAAGGCTGTATAGGAAGGAAAAAGTGGTAAACCATCTTCATCAAGTGCTATTCCTTTGACTTATCTGGCTCTGTTCTTTTTGCTGTGACTCCCAGGCATTGCTTTAGACACAGCGTCTATCTTTGAAGAACACCATCTGTGTTCCAACAGCAGTCAGCTCTCTTCTGAGCAGTTCTCTAATGCTGAAGGTATTTATGTCCGAGATGAGAACAAATTCTTTTTCAACAATGTCCTGGTTGGGCGAACTGCTAAGGCCTGCTTCAAACTCACCAACAACAGCAAGGTGCCCTGTATGCTCCACTTGGCCATCCGGTATGTTTCTGCAAAGGTAAATCACGTAAACTACATAGATAAATCTAAGGGTATATGAAGATATAAGGATCACTGGTTCTAGCTGAAGGTTGTTAACAGGTCCAACTGATCCTTCATTTCCTTACAGACACCCCGTACCATGAAGTGTTTTGATTTGTCTGCTACAACACTGAGCATTCCCAGCCAGTCACACTCGTTCGCTGAGGTCACCTTTACACCACAGACGATGCAGCTCTACAGTGCTGTCTTTGAGGCTACTATAGAGGGAATCAGCAGGTATACAAGTCTAATCTGTGAATATGAGCTTGGTATTATCTTTGCTGTTTGTTCCATTATTTGTTAAAGTCATCTTTGTTGTCAATTTTTTCCATACGTGCTGGACATTCAGAAAAAATCTAAAAAATGTTTGTATTAAGAATATTGAAGGACAGTATACCCTCTTGCTTTACCATTCAGAGCAAGACCCACCTATTCTGTTTTTATTTGTGCTCACCCAGAATGACACCGACATTCAAGAGCAAGGTGCTGGAGTTTGACCTAATGGGAGAGGGAAATCTCCCCAGTATGTGTGTGGTACGCCCAGCTCTGAGGAACAACCAAGGAAGCCCAATGCTGCACTTCAGGAGGGTACTGGCAGGACGTAGACATACCCTTCCTCTGGTGTTGCTAAATGATGGAAATGTTCCAGCTAAGGTAAGAACAGACATTTTCTTTTAACATTTCTTAATCAAATAACATATTGACTTTAAGAAACCCCTCCAACCATCACTATGAACATCCTCTCAGAGACAAAATGCAATAGTGACTGTACACCTAAATGAGCAGCGATTTTGTAATCCTTGTTGTGTAGATCCTGATTGACATGCTGGATAAACATCAAGTGTTCACCCTCAGACCTGCACCTGGCAACACTCAAAGCTCTGTTCACTCCACAATGATCGAGGGCCCCACACATTCAGGTAAATCATCAACCTGTAAGACTCTCCGCTGGGAGGAATCTCTTCTTCACTTAGAAAAAAAAGTTCTTAGCCATTGAACAAAGGTCTGTGTTATAAGGTGTCACTGTACTGTTTACATTGTAGTGCTTATGTTTGCTTACTGCTCAGTAGAAGAAATTTAACAAACCCTATACTTCCCCTCTATCCACCCTACACTGTGGCATAGTCCCTCTGTCACACGCAAAATTAACAAAATGAAGTCAACTGCTTTTTGTTTTTTCATTTAACCAGGTGATTAACCCATTGAGATAGACATTGCTATTTCCCTCCAGATTTATCTTTTAAACTCCACTGGTTGACAGGGGAGAGTTGTATTTATTTCACTACTTTCTTCTTTCTTTACACTATAAAATGTTTAGTTTATTCAAACTCAAGAATCAATGTGAACTCAAATGGCATTACTTGATTACTCACCTCAAATGGCTCTATTGATTTTTTCATGATGAGTGATCATTTAAAAGTCCCCTAGACCTGCGACCAGACACTGTTTTGTAGAACCGTTATAATTTCCCTTTTCAAACAGTGGCATCACCCAGAGAGATTTTTGTTAATACCTTACATTCAGGCCTCACATTGTAGAATTGTGCAATGGAAAACAGCTCAATTGTATTCATACCTTATCGTAAACTGTTGTCAATTATTTATTGCCACACATGTCATTTTGCCACTTTTGTAGTTTTTTATCACAACTGATTGACCCTGGCGTTGAATGTAGCTTTGTGCTGCTGCAGCTGCTGCACAAGAAACAGCCAGATGAAACACGTAATTTTAAAATGAAGTATTAAAAAGTAGCCATTCATAATAAGATGCACACAAACATAAATTGAGGAAAAATACATTAAAGAATTACTCAACATGAGCTTTTATCTGTTGATTGAAGTATATTTTAATGCTATCATCATCTCTCTTCATTTCACAGAGAATCAGTTGGTGCACAGAGCCAGCCTGAGGCTGAAGGTTAACGAGCGTGCAGAGTTTGATGTCAGTTTTTGCTCTGACAAGACCCTGAGTGTCAAGGCCAAGATGTCACTGCAGGTGGAGGACAACCAGTACAGCAACATCATAATAACAGTGACAGGAGAGGCTTACCAGGAAATTGTCTCACTTGACAACATCAGCAGGCCAATCCAGGAGACAGATCAGGAAGATGAGGCGGGAGGTAAGACTAGAATACAGGGTAGGAGAAAAAGCTTTAAGTGTAGAATGTCGTAGAAATATTGGCAAGCTCTAAGTTTTGTCTTTAATCAAAATGGAGTCTTTTCCTGAGTTTTCTTTTCTTCAAAGGCCTTTTTGTCTCGTACAGGTTATTATGAGGAGCTGAATCTTGGTGACTGTCATGTAGGCACTCCCCACCAAGAGAGTTTCACCATGACCAACCACAGCAGCAGCAAGGTTGTGAGGTTTGAGTGGCCCCCTGCTGGACCCCATGTCTTCTTTTCACCACAGGTAAAGAATTAAAAAAGAACATTAGCAGCTTTTAACTTTCTCATTGAACTGTTTGTAAAGAAATGCTAAAACAATACTATTTTAGCTTTAAAGTATTACATCTTAACCTTTTCCTCAGATCATAATTTGCTGTATGCGATCAAAAATAATTTGCGTTTTCTTCCAGGTGGGTCACCTTCATGCTGGTTGCTCTAAGGAAGTGACTGTCACGTTTAGCTCCAATCAGCCGGTAACTTTGACCAGCCAACCAATGAAATGCAAGCTTTGTCAGATTGAGTTCCAGCAGCCTTTAGAGCAGGTGGCTGACTGGGACGACCGGCAGAGGACAGTGAAGTGGCTGAATTCGACCAGGCAAGAAACACCACAGCAGCCTGTTAAAAACAAGGTAAACATGTTGAACATGACGTGATTGTGCTGTTAAGAAAGAGTAACCAGTTCATAATGCAAGTCGTAAAACATTCACATGTTTGCATGCAGGTGATTAAGACAGATCCTGAGCCCTGCTGCACCGTGGTTGACGGCTCTCAGTGGGAGATGGAATTGCGTATCACTGCAGTTTGTGACTATGTGAAGTTCAGCTGCAAAATTGACACTATTGATTTCAAAGATACCATGCTGTACCAAACCAGGCTACACCAGTAAGTCCTGATCTGATTATATGAAATAAAATCAACAGATTCCATTCACCCTAAAGGATGTATCACTTTAGCTTTGATCAACAGACTCCAGTGTTTCCCCTACCATTATATTAGGGGGGCAGCCCTAATATATATATTTTTGATTTATTTTTGGTCTTTTTGTGCCTTTATTGGTATAGTGGATAGAGTCGGAAATCAGGGAAAGAAGTCTTTCCAATAGAACAGGACAGCCCCCCCCCCCCCCCAATAAAAAAGCTGTAAACCTAGGGGAAAACACTGGACTCATAATCAAAATCCAGCTAATCCAGAGCTAGACATTACACACATGCTTTTTATACTTGAGTCAATACAGTGGTCACAATAATGTTGAGTAAACAGTAATAACTTTTTTTTTTTAAAGGTATTGATATTAAAATGTTATGTATATATTTATTGGCTGTCTTTGTGTCTGTCTTTATATGTGCAGACTGCCAATAGTGAATCGAGGCACTGTCAAGCTGGACTTCACCTGGAAAGTCCTCATGGATCCTAGAAACAGTGGGGACCAAGGAGGTACGACAGTAATACTACTGTATATCATATAGTCAGCTTGTTAGCGTTTAGTTTGACCTTATAAAGCAACATAAGTGTTTTTTGCAAAGCAATAATGTTCCAATTTTAACTTGAACATACTTGTACGTTTTATATGTGTTTTGATCCTTTTCTAATGAGGTAACTTTGTACATGTGAACATGTTGTGTATATAACAGATGGGAACCTCACCTCTCGACAAGGGAGTAGGTCAGTGGGTGTGGTAAGTGGAGCCCGTCCCTCCAGCGCTCTTGCCAGTGTAATGTCTCTGATGATAGGGAATCCTGAGCTTTCCCCCATCAGTATTGAACCCAGAATAGGGGCCATACTGCCTGGTGCTATGGAACATTTCAGCATTCGCTTTTCACCTCTGGAGGTGGCTCAATTTCAGGGCAGCCTGATTTGCAGGTACAGTAAATTGCACTTTAAATTGATATTTAAACAAGCGAATAATATAGCCTAAAGCTAAAAATGTGAAGAGCAGCATATATGGAGGTGTTGTGCTGTAGGAGATGCCTGAAAGGAAGTGAAAGCCTTCTTCAGAATCATAACACACACTTTTTATTGTTCCTGTCTGTGTACGTCTTCTTTCTTTCAGTATTCCCAACCTGCAGGAAGGTGATCAGGCTCCTTGTATCTCAGTGAGTGGCCGCAGCCTGTTTCCCCACTACCACTTCGACTTGGAGGATTCCAACTACATCAACTACTGCCACCCTGAATTAAGGGCCCATCTAGAACCTAACACCAGGGTCATAGAGATTAATGCGGTTGGCTTCTCTGCCCCATCAACAAGGTAACAAAGAGAGATGAGAGGGTTTTTTTAAAATCCCTATCAGTGTAAACCCTAACATTGGAATGTACTTGTTTTGTTGTGGTCACTACACAGATGTTTGAACGTGGTGAACCCAACCAGTAAGCCTTACTCTTTCAAGTGGAGGTGTGAAGACACAGGTGACAGCCCATTCTGCTGCCTCACTCCATATGGAATCATCATGCCTGGGAAGAAAGTGGAAGTAAGAATAAAATCAGACAGTCTTTACACCTGTACTGTCTTCAAACATATGCCATCCTGTCCTCAAGTATGGCATCTTGCTCACCACTTCCTACCCTTCTTTATGTCAATTTTATATTCCCATTGTTTTATCACTCAATATGTGTCCCCTTCTAACCGTGCTCTGCTTTCTCACAAATAATTTTAATTTATTTCATTCTACTTCCTCAATTTCTGGCTCAACTTTCCTGTTCTCATTTCCCGTCCACTTTTCCTATCTTCAGTCCTCTCTTTCACCCTCTTTTTTTGGTAACTCTTGGGTTTGTCAATGTGTGTTGCAGATGCGTTTTGAATATGTAGCTGAGCAACTGGACGTGGTGGAGTCATTCTGGAGCTTTCTGATTGAGACTCTGTCGTTGTCTGTCCCCTTCCTGTGTGTTGGCACTGCCAGAGAACCAGTTGTCTATCTCAGCAGACCTCATATTGACTTTGGAGAAGTCCTTGTTGGTATGTAACATACTTAGATACACACATACATGTACTTAAAATGACGACATTGTACACATGTTCAGGTATGCGAGTCATAGCAAATAACTATTAAAAAGCTTTCAATACTAGTTGCTGCAACTCTGGGTTAGAAACAACCAATAATTACAATTTAAAACAAACAGTAAATAATGTATTACTCTAATGAATTAGCATGATTGAACAAAAGAACCTAATGATGACATATAAGCCTACATATCCATGTATATTCAAAGTTGTGTGTCCATGTGTGTGTTTGTTTGTTTGCCTTCACAGGTCGCAAAATGGAACAGACAGTTGATCTGGTGAATGGAGAGGATGAACCTTTCCACTTCTCTGTCCTGCAGTCATCTCTCATCAGTGACGATCAGGAGTCCACCCTCATTTTGAAGCCCATGACTGGAACATTGGAACCCAAAGACAGGTTATTGACACTGAAAATGCAACTAAATGTAAAGCGAAATGCCTTGAAGAATAATAATCAGTGACAGTGTCAAGTCTGAAATAATGTGATAATGTGTGAAGTGACAAATCTTAAAGCTCTGTCAGGTTTTAAGGTTTCTGGACTGGATAAGGAGAAGGGAATCTGTCAATTAACGTTCACTCTTTGCTGCAGGTTGCCTTTGTCAGTATCCTTCACACCTTGCTGGGATGGCTGTGTGAGCTTCAGATTGGTTCTGAGGGCAAAGAGGAAGTCAGAGCCACTTACATTGACAGTGAAGGCCAGTTGTTTCACCATTTCCGTTCAAGTTGAAAAGCCAGGCGGGGGTCTCAGAGAGATCAAACCTAACCAACAAGAATCTCTGGACTTTGGAGAGGTCAGTACACAGACCCAAATACTCACATGCACCATCACACAAGGGAAGTTTAATCATGAAAATCTCTGTCTTGTTTGTGTCTGTCTGGACTCTATATCTAGGTGGAGATTTTGGAGCAATCATTTGTTAATCTGATGGTGTCCCATCCGGCAAAATTCAGTCTGGAGATGAACTTTGACCTTACTGGTCCCAGCGAACTGCTTCAGCATTTGGAGGCAAAACCACAACATGCTACTCTTGAGTTTGGAAAAAGGCTACAGTCCTCACTCTTTTTCAGCCCCCAGAGCATTTGTAACCTAGAGGACGTCAGACTGAGTGTAAAGGTCAGATGCTATTGTCCTATAAGGGTTCATGTGATTTTCTAAAAAGTACAGTATATGGACTAGTTATGTTAATAAGACATGCCCCTGGCCTGCACAAATACACTTTAAACTCAATCTTTATTTGTTCTTTCTGGGTGTTTTGTCTCTCTGTTGTTTTGTCTTGTCAGGTAAAGCATGGACCAGCATTTATCTTCAACATAAAAGGCAGGGCTGTAGCACCCAGCCTTCAATTTTCCTTCAACAAGTACAACTTTGGCAAGTGCTTTCTATACAGTCCTGACACAGTGCCGGCCTCACAGACTCTAGTGATAAGCAACAAAGGCGAAAGGGACATTAGGTACAGTAGTTGTTTGTACTTTATTTCTGTTTCAACTGCATATCATTTGGTGTAAATATACTCAGGAAGCTCAAGAGTTTAAAAGAAACAAATTGTATGTGCTCTTACTCCTCAGTATCCAGTGCAAGTACAAGAATACCTCTTACCTGGAGATTGACTTCAAACATGATATTTTGTTCCCTGGTGCTGTGATGGACATACCAGTCAGGTTCTATCCCCGTGAGGCTGTCCGTTACCATGACAAGCTCATCTTCATCTTAAACAGCGGTGTCACAAAACAAGTGGACATATTGGGGCAAGGCGTTGAGAGGAGGGTGAGTCTGTTACCAAGAATACCAATTGAAGGCAGGACTATGTTACTCCTGCTACAACAGGACACAAGCAAATTCATCTGTCTGGATATCTGAAGAGAAAAGTATAAAATATTTTGAATTTAAAATAATCACTTTTTGAACGGAACAATCTTAAATACAAGATGGGCAAGCCAGCAGTGTGAGCATGTGTATGAATAGGATTAGTTTATACCAGTGATACTCAACCCGAGGATCTCGAGCCACATGTGGCTCATTTGGGACTAGTTGTGGCTCTTTTAGGTCCTACTTGGAGAAAAAAAGTAATTATTTAAAAAAGGGAAACATTGTCAGCAGAAATTATTCTTTGCAAGTCATGTTTCCCACACATATTTTAGGAAAGAAATACGTTTTTTGATTGTGGCTCTTGCAGAAATATTTTTTGGTCAGTGTGGCTGAGTACCACTGCTTTATACTAACGGGCAAAAAAATAATCATCTGCCTTCAGTGTATGAATCTGGTGTGAATTGAAGTGTAAAATTCCTGTGAATGAAAAGAAGACGAGAAAAGTGCTACACAAGTACAGTCCAGTTTCTGTTTACTGAACCACTTGAGGCTGGCTACAGAAGTCAAGGAATCCCCATAAGATTTCATACTAAAGGGGCCAATTTAACTGCATAATCTAACATGTTTACATGGTTATCTATTACATTAGGTGTATTATTGTACATTTTTTAATACATGTTTCAATCTGCCCTAGTTGGAGGTGGAAGATCCCAAGCAAAGGAAAGTGAAACTAGGATCTTTGATGATTGGTCAGAAGGTGAAAAAACAAGTGGTTCTGGTGAACCGCAGCGCTTTAGATATTTCCTTTACTCTGCTGCTCAGCACAAACACATCGTTGGACCAAAAGGTAGGACACTCATGAGGACACACACAGTACTACTAAATATTATTCTCTGATCACCTTTTAACCTCCACATTTTCTTCCAGTATCTGTTGTTCAGTCCTGCAGGTGAGCTTAGCCTGAAAGCCAGAGGTGGTTCATGTAATGTTGAGATCCAGTTCTCACCAAACCAGCACATACCCCCCTTCAGCGCTGAGCTGCAGGCCCAGTTTCCAGGCCTGTTGCACCCCCTGCTGACCATCCAGGGCAGCTGCAAGGTAGGCTGTGCAGTAGATTTTATCCCGATAAACCAGCTACATGTATTTCCTTTACACGCTTGAGCATCTCCTCTAATGTAGGTTTATTATATTCTTGTAACTTTTTAAAATAATCTAAACATTAAGATTAGAGATTTGTACATAAAACTGCTGAATGTGTTTGTAAAGGGATGAACTACAATGAGCTTAATGACATAACATTCAATGGAATTGGAAGTTTTTAAGCAAGAAACATTTCGATGGTTTATGAAGCAATGTTAACCATTACAATGTCACTGACAGGTTGTGGAGGTCCAGCTGGACCAGGACCACTTAGCCTTTGGAGCTGTTGTCCAGGGCTGCCAGGCCAGGAAAAAGATAGTTATGATGAACTCTGGGGACATTGGAGCCAGGTAAGGTTACAGTTATGTTTTCCTCTCAAGTAGTAAACCACAGACAGACATAGTGTAGCAGAAACACATTAACATACACCTAACCCCTTCTTTAAGAGTCTATCAAACAAGAATGAAGCATCAGTCTTAATCAGATTTGCCCAGAGATAATACATTTCTGTACATAATTGTTTGTTATGCTCACATTATGACCAATTCTGCTCAGATCTACTTCATGTAATTTGCTTTTAATTTATCTGTCTACAAGATTCCACTGGAAGACGGACAGTTTTCCTCAAGATCTGTCCATTGCACCAGCTAAAGGCTATATCTCTCCAGACAAGGAGGTCCTTTTTGACGTGACCTTTAGCCCCGTAGAACTGAGTAATGACACAAGATATGAGAACGTGTTCTGCTGTGTGGAGGGCTTCTCCTCCCCTGTTACCTTTACTGTGACAGGATCTTGCATCGTAGCTTCCACCAGCAAAGAGGTTTGATTGATTCCTTTTCAATCATTGCATATTTGATCATTTAGGGTTTTGATTCCACATGTAAGGAAATGGAAATGCTGCATTACACTTTTGTGTCCTGGCACTTCAAAAATAAATTAGTTTCCAGGGAAACACTGCAGCTTCAAGTCAACCAAGGTGACATACATTAAGCTATTACACGTTATATTTCCATGGTTAGATACTTATTGTGATACCCATTATAAAAGTTATTAAAGTTTGCCAATAAAAAAAGTTATTCTATGATATTTAAATAGGGATACTACCAAGTCTACTCTTTAGTTTACATTTGATACAAAAGAAAACTGGTATAATACTTTCTGTGCACATACTAAAGGCCTGAGTTTACTGATGGTTAAAGTCCAGAATCAGTTCATTTGAGAGATGGATTTATGTTTCTTTTGGAACAAGCGGGCAGTCTTGACATATTAAAGATAAGTTAACATTTGGGAAAACTTTCAGTTTGTTTAAAATACTTCGTTAGCCACTTACATCTGACCAGGTGATTTTCATTTGATTCATTTTCAATTTGAATTAAATTGACGGTGATAATTCATTAGTTCTTTTTGATTCACATTTACAGTGACGGCACTCCCCCTAGTGTAAATGCTTTTGTACTACAAATGGCTTAACCCTTATGTCTCTCTTATCCAATCTGCACATTGCGCTTTGACACTGTGGACTACACTGTTTACATTATTCTATATTTTGTATATTCAAATATTTCTTTCTTTAATTTTACATTAGACTTTTTATATTACTGTATATATGTGTATTAGTAATTTGAGTGTTTATTGCATAGCCTTGCGGAACAGTCTTTACATTTCACTGCACATCTGTATGAGCATGTGACAAATACAAATCTTGAATCTTAAATGTCTCCAGGTGGTGAATTTTGTTTGCCCAGTGCGTGGCTCTCACACACTGACTCTTCCAGTGTTCAACCCCACAAGCCATCACTGCAGCATCAGGCCCGTCATTGAGGGTGAACAGTGGACTGCTAAGCCCTCTGTGACCATGGAACCTTTTCAAAACAAGACCTGCAAGATCACCTACAAACCACTGACTATGACTGCTGATAAAAAGAAACACTTGGGATCAGTCTTTTTCTCCTTCCCTGATGGGAGCGGTATGCTGTACACTCTACAGGGAACTGCTGAGCCTCCCAAGGCAGAGGACACCTTTCTGCATGAACTGCCAGCCAAGACTCACCACACACTGATGCTCCCAGTACACAACTGGCTCTCCAAGCAACAGCGGTAAAATCACACAATTACCCTAAAGTCTCCAGCTTCTCTGACCATACAGATCCTGTGATCATTCCTAAACTAGCAAAACCTGTGTTCTTCTTTGGTCAATTGGAGATGACAGAAACACTCGGAGCTCACCTTTTAGCTTGATATGGGTAACTTGGACATCCAGCAGTAACAGATAGAAGTTGACGTTCATATTTCGATCTATCTAATAAATGTGATGCTGCTCCTAAAATGATGCTATGAGAACAGGGAGAGTGAACCAGAACAGTACATTTGTTGAAGCACAGCTAAAAAAAAAAAAGTGCTTAAAGGTGCACTATGGAGTTTTGGAAGAGAAATGTGAAAGTTGGAGAAATGTACAGATTCTGTGATTAGTGCGCCTTTAAACTTACAACAAAGTTCTGGGGATCTAAACAGCTGCAGCAGATGTGAGTCATAACTATGACTGAAATCTTGTGGCACTTTGCAGCAGTTTGTGTATACACTCAGTTCTCTTAAAAGATATAGGCGAGACATTTTCAAGAAAAAGGTGGCACAAAATCATACCCTATTTAAAACTTCTGCCTTTAAAATATAAACTCTATGCAAAATATAATGAGTAAATGTCAAGAGTAGAAACACAAAGACATTTTCAGGACAGATAACTAATAGTCAATAGTGTTTCTGTGTGCTCAGATTTCGTGTGCTGATGGAGATTCTGAAACCTGACAAGACAGATGCCACAATGTCCCTCAAGGGTCTTGAATACATTGATGTCCCTGCCTTGACCAAACGGGACTACAAGATGTCTTTCTTTGCTTACAAAGAGGGGCACTTCAACACCAAGGTTTGATCACTCACACATTTCTCTGATCAGATCGTATACATATGTAAGCACCTTGTCCTCAAACCTTTCACTCTTCTCCCCAGGTGACATTTAGTAACGTGACCTCCGGTGAGTATTTGTTTTACCTTGTAACATACAAGGTTACATCTCCAGGAGTTTTGTCTGAAATAAAGCTGGAGACAGCGGTCCGTCGGACAGCCTTGGCCACTGTGGAGGTGGAGAACCCCCTGACCACAGCTACCTGCCTCAGCACTGAGTGTAACTGTCCCGACATCAGTGCTCCAACCCAGCACACGGTGCCAGGACAGTCCAAGGTGGATATTGAGTTCATCTTTTCCTGCACTTACTGAAAAACAGACTTTTGATGAATCTTTCTATATGTGTACATTCCTCTCTTCAGAGTTCTCTGAGCTTTGAGTACAAGCCCCTGCGTGCAGGCAGGTCTACAGCCCGGCTGACTCTCAGTAGTAATGATCTGGGCTACTTTCACTACGATCTGGTCCTCAAAGCTCTGCCCCCTCCACCTGAGAAAACTGTCCATTTCAACACTTGTCTGGGCAGCAGCCACTCTGTTCCCATTAAATTCATCAACTACTCTCACTTCAAAACTGAGTACTCATGCAAGGTAAGAAAATCCTTTATAGGAGAAGTAGTAAATATCACTGCACAACATGATCTTTTGGCTCTCCCACCTTTACTTTGTTGGTCTTATTCTTACTTATTTTACACATCAGTTTGAACTAGAAACACTACTCAGCTTATGCAATGATAATCAAGGAGTTTTATTTTGCTGCTTCATTTGTTATCTCCCACCTGCAGACTGATTGCCCGGACTTCATAGTGGAAGAGAAAGTTGGTGCGTCTCCGGGTTCCCATGCGGGGTCAGAGGCCAGCATGGAAGTTTGTTTTGAACCGCATCAGCTGGGAGAAGTAAGAGGCCAGCTCAGCCTGGCCTCAGGAATTGGGGGAGAATACATCTTTCCCTTACATGGGATCTGCCACTCTCCCAAACCCCAGGGCCCATTTAGCATCAAGGCGGGTCGCAACATCACTATACCCTTCAAGAATGTGTTCCTGCAGACCACTGCTTTCTCTTTCCAGGTACAGAACCCATAAAATAAGTAGAACTAAACCACTATGAAATGACACCTAGGATAGTCAAACAAAGAAAGTAACACAGTTTGGCTTTTTATTTATTTTTGACTTCAGCTCCTAAAAATGCTTCAAACTGATTTGATTACTTTATGAAACTTGTTTAACCTTATCCTTATGCACCACGCTCCTAGGTTGACAACCCCTGCTTCACGGTCAAAGAAGTGGACACCATTGTCTCCAAAAAGACCTACAACATCCTGATCTCCTTTAGTGCCACTTCAAGAGGCTCTGCAGGGCCTTGGTTTGGCAAGCTGACCATCTCCAGCCAGCGTTCTGAAGGCCACAGCAAGCCCTGTTCTTGGGTCTACTACCTGAGGGGCTACCGCCCAGAGTCATCATAGAGCGATGTTAATGCACACTTTACACATGTAGTCGTCTGTGCACACACACCCAAAAGAAAAGCTCATGCCAAAAGAGAGTTGTAGACGGCTTATTTATTTACGCTTGAACCCTAACTTTGTAAGCCATAATAACAAATAGGGGCAATTGTGTCTAATGTGTCTAATGTGTCTAATGATTTCAACACTTTTTGTCCTTTCTTTTTTTAGTTCAATAAATTATACTAGGTGTATGTGACAAATATATGGGGGGGGGGGGTTGCAGTGAAGTCATGTAACATTGGAGGTGGGGAGTGGAGGCTTTTTTCTTTCTCCCCCTATATATTCTCTGAAAGGTTAATAACAAAACAACATTTAACTTTCAGTGTTGACGCCCAATTAATATTTGTAAGAGGAAAGAAACAAGCGGTGGTAAGATGTGCATTAGAACAAGGGAGACATTTAAGACTTTGGCAATAATTGTTAAAGCATGCAGGGACCAACTCAGCTTATATCCAGTGACTTGCAAACATCGCTTCACGTCTTATAATCGGATTACTTTTGAGTGTTGGGATGAGTTTCCAAAATTGAAAAAAAATAAAGAAATACCCAAGATCACAAGGCCCTGTCCTGCTGCAGATAAATCTGACAAAAGCCACAGCCTGGGGTCACATTGGGTTTTAATACCAAAGATTGAGGCACAGCAGTAACAGTAACATTGTTATAGCTTTACAACCAGATTCATAAAAAGAATTAAACTGTCTAAGACTTCACATTACGCACGGCCTTCAGACATTTCCAATCAAATCAGCATCCATCAACCATACATTTAAATAATAACATTATTATATAAAATACGTTATTATATTGTTCAGTCATTTGACAAAAAGTTCCTTTTCTATGCACATTCACTCGTAAACTTCAGAATGTCGTTATGATTGTGAAAATTAGAAAGTTGTTTATTAATCACTAATGATCATCTCTTCATCAACACATTAGAAACTCCTGAGTGCTCAACAAAGCTACAGGACTTCTCATTTGTTGTGTTTTATTCCTTTAAAGGGATATTATTCTTTAAATAAAAACATAGTCCAAAAGTAAATGGTTCTCCGACATCAAGGGAAAGCGGTGACATTTTATAAAATATACAGCATACGCTTAAACCAAAATGTTTTTAGATGTAGAATTTTAAAAATGTTTCTCATGAGCCAGTGTAATAGTTATGCTTCCTGCTGTGCTGCTGTCCTCTACAGTACTTAGTACACTCACTTTGATAAGTACTTCATACAACCCCTATTAAAAAAACACAAACTGAACCTTATCTACTGCAGATTTGTCACTTTTGTGCTAGAAACGCACCACTACACTTGCTGAGCCCTCCCATATTCTTTTTTTCAGGAGTCTCTTAGTTTTCTAAAATCAACCTATTTTCTGTATCTGTTGCTTTTTGTTCCTACTGCATTCCTATTTACAGTATTTCGGCCTTGACATGCCAAATATGTAACCACATCTTTCCTGCACAACTTTCATTCCCATTTTCTCTCCTTCTCTGTTGATGAAAAGAGTGTACCAAATATTTAATTCAGTCGCTGCAGCACTCTCTTCAGACGTTGATGACCCCTAGTTCCAAAAGAGCCACAAATCAGTCAGTTCAATGTCATTTGTTGTTAATGTCATTTGATTGCTTTTGTAGAGAACTGAAAGAATTTTAATTTCTCAAGTACAAAAAGATCTACTGTACGATCCATATATAACACAGCCCATATCTGATTATTTATTAAGCGGTAAAGAACTTTTGAACTCTGTAGTCACACTCCTTCCTCCGCTGTGCTATCAGGATATTGACATAAACATATTCCATCAGGTATTGATTTATAGGTCGCAGCCTTGTTTTTTGTTAATACTTCAAGAATTACATATCAAACAGCTTTTTAATGTTTTTTGACCCCTCAAGGATTAAAACAGGGCTCGTCCGGGATTTGAACCCGGGACCTCTCGCACCCTAAGCGAGAATCATACCCCTAGACCAACGAGCCATGTCTAAAAATCACAAAACAGACACTTATATTCCCGTCCCCTGAAGTTCTAGCTCTGAAGTTCTAGCTCTGAAGTTCAGCCCCTCAACTGGTGATGTGGCAGCTGTAAGACCACTGTCTGTTGCTGAACAGCGCCCTCTGCTGGGAAACCTTTAACATCACGCAGTATTTGTGTGTCTCTCATCTTTACATAATACAGTAACATACATCAAAACAGAGCAAAAACATTGTGTGTAAAACCACAATAATATGTAATGTAAAAGGCTTAATTAGGTATTTGTGGAGTTGAAATGGTAAGAAACGAAGACACAAAAGCACGCAGTGAAACGATGATCATGAATAGAAAAACCTAAATAACCAGTTTTGTTGTTCTCAATGCAAAATTAAAACAAAACTAATATTCCTAAGAGGAGTCTGGATCCAAAAAACGAGTAGGCATAGGTTTAAAGAAGCAAAAAAGATCCACACATCAAGGAGTCCTCAAGTCTGAGGAAGCGCATGTTGGCTCAAAACGTTACTTGTTAAATAAATCCTTTAACTGAAGGTCCTTGGTGTGCGGATCTGATTTTCCATGCAAACATCATTTCCTGGATGAGAATAAAAACAGAGTAGGGCTCAAAACTTGGTTATGGGAGGGCATGTAAATAAAGTAATTTGCATTCATTTACAAGTGGGAAGGTTGAATTTGTTTATGTGAAAGCCAAGGACACTTTTCAGGAACAACAATGAGACCTATAGACTGTAGAGAAATCTTACAAAAACAAATCTCTGTAGCTAACTTGTGAATTTACTTTCTTAATTAGCTTACTTTTTTCATTTGGGTAAATCTAAAGAGTATATTGCAGATAACTGCCAGCCTTTTCATGTATAAATATAGTTTTTAAATGTGATGTGTTTGTAAATATTCATTCAGTTAAAAAAAATCCTTCTGGAACCCATTAGTTGATGAAAACGATGGTAAAATATTTATTTTCTCATCATCATTGAATGTAACCAAAATACATACTGTCCTGAGTTGGGGTTTGTGCGACTGATAACAGAAGTAATCTGCTATAAGGTGCAACCACATTTGACGGTCAGTATCAGCCATAGGATATGAAACCTTATGGAACCTAACCTTACTTATGTCTTGCTTATTTTCACTTTTATACATGTTTACCACAATATGTTGAAGAAAAGTCTAAGACTTGACTGCATACAATAAGACTCAATTGACTCAGATGGCTTACGTTGATGAAAGTTTATACATAAGAAGAATACTCATGAGGAGACATGATTCAACATCACACTTCTGTACTCGTGTCTTGCTCAGTCACATCTGCAGAACTTTTCGAAAGGCATCGCATATATCCTATAAGACATTATCATTATCAGGGTCACATTGACCCACCTAGACTAATCTGTGACATCAATAACACTGGAGCAGACAATAAGTCTACCAAACATCCTTACAGATATCAGGAGGAACAGTTGACACTCTCCAAGCTGTACTTGGTGTTCTAATAACAGCTGAACTCTATCAGGTCTGACTGACATTATACAGTCTGTACATTATAATCCAAATAACTACAGAAATTCCACCACAGATCCTCCCTGTTTGATCAACACTAACTACCCAAACCCAAATTATTAATTTAGCCTGAGAAGGTCTGCAGATATGAGCTTGCTTACACCATTGAACACATTCATATTTTTTCATTTAATGTCAAAATCAAACAAATCCAAGACATAGTTTCAAATCACACACTAATTACCTTATTAATTATCCTAACAGGTGTCACCCATCACCACTACAGTATGATGATCTAGGAATTCTGCCTCAGGGCAAAAAAACAGGATAAAAAAAACTATAAGTCATAGGTTTTGTTAAAAAACAAACTATAAATCATAGGGTCCCTTGAACACCCAGTGCATTCAGGGAACTACACGGCAGAGGTCACAGATCACATACTTACCTGCAAACAAGAGATCCAAAAACCCATCTCTGACTTATTCATTTAGTAGTTTTGATTTGCTGATTTATGAAATGGGATAAAAAGAAACTCTTGCGCTAACTAACCCATTCTAGGCAAACATTAGGCATTTCCACAATGTTCCATAAACTTATTTTAAAGGGTGATTAAGCTTTAATTAAACATACTATTTGTTAAAAACACCTAAAACAACTTGAATCAAAATCCAATTAACCTAGATTCTAAACACAAATACCCTCAGAAATATGGTTACATATTCCGCTTCAATTAAAATCAATCAATACCATCAATCAGTTGTTAAATCAATTATAATAGACAATCATTACTTTACAATAAAGATTTTTTTTTTTTTTTAAATCAAACGTCCTTTTCCAATGGAAATGCAATGTTCAATGTCAATTGAAACGCAATGTCCAAGATTTTCCCGACATGCCCGATGGCAATTATTTTCTTCACCCAATGTACTTTACGCACGGTGAAAAAGGGCGTTGAATTACCTTGGGGCTGTACTCGAGAGCTGACCAACATAGTTAATTACCAATATAGCATTTATTCAAAATACACCATTAATTTATCTTCATTCAAAATATAACATTCATTTAATATTAAATGTGATTGTCAAAATAGAAACAAAACCTAGAGAAATTCAAACCTTAAATTTAAAACCTTAACCCTAATTTCCATGTATGTTTAATTTGAAACAGGCTCTCTCCCTCCTCCCTGTTGATCACTGCCACACACATATATCAATCTTTATTCATACAGTGAAACATTATCTTCTTCAATATCAGGGTAACCTGGGGGAACCCACTCTTTACAAATGTAAGGCCTTTGTTCATGATTAACTGGCATGAGTTCAATATTATTATCAATAACAACCTGAGAGGCCTGGCTAATAGGTTTAACAGCACATCGAAAAATGGCTTTAATTAGTTATCAGACATACTACTACAAATAGAATCACCATTAATGTAACCACAAGTGTGGTTAGCAATTTGACAACACCAGTACCCCAGGAACCAAACAATCCTTTAAAATCCCCAAATCGAAACCCTTGGTTTTCATGCAGTTCTCTTATCCCTTGTGCGGTGTATCATGTACCATATTCATAACATCAGAAATATAGGAAGAACATTCAGTACCAATAACTTTGCAGGTTCCCCCTTGTGCAGCTAGGAGGAGATCAAGAGCCATTCTACTCTGCATTACCACATTTTTAACCTCCTGAAGCTCTTTGTGTTCAGCTAGCAGAGCTCTACTAGAGGTGCTAAGATGATTCTCCAACACTTTAGATAATGCTTTAATTTCCTGGTAAGACACATAAACACCATATGATGGCAAAAGGATGCTCGCTGCCTGCTGAAACCCAGACATTTCTCTTTTCTGTCTGTCCATTGGTGGATGCAGTGCAGCAATTTCTTTAGATTCAACTTCTCTAATCATTGGAACTAAGTAGGCCAAATAACAGATCCCTTTTAGATTTTTCTATTGGCATGCAGCTATAAGCTCTATTACCACAGATCAAATACGCCCTCTCAGGGAGAGGCTGCTGTTTTATACTAACATTTATAACCGACTTACAAGAACTCCGACCCAAATCTGGTTCGTTGCTGTCTTCTATACCTTGGAAACATAGGGGAACATCTTGCAATTCATGTGTGAGCACTGGAAGAATGTACTCTCTTCTGAAATCATAACTGAGCAGTTGTGCAAATTTACTTTAACCATAAGGAATGCTTTTGTACCTAGCCAGGGTTTGACTTCAATTAGTGCTTCAGTTAATATTGAGGAAGTATAAGACAGTGGAACACAAATATTATCTCTAATCAAGTCTGTGCAGTTAGTTTGAACTAATGTTAACTGTAACTTGTATTGAAAAGCTAATTTAAAGTTTAATTTCACCAAATTGATTCGCAACAAAGCAGTTTGATTTATTCCTCGGGGTAAATAGTAGGTGTTTACCTCTTTAACTGTATCTAAGGCAAAATCCATATACACATATATACAATAAGAAAATAAATAATAAAAACTGCGTTAAAGCGAGATAAAATTATTGTCGGCGATAATTAATTAATGAGTTAATGCGAAAATAACGCGTTAACGTGCCCAGCCCTAGAATAAATGTTTTTGTTCCATGTTCATCCAGATGTCCCACAGCAACTTGTGTGTAAGGAGGAGGAGGAGGAGGTTCTGGCTGACCAGCAGAGGAACTCCAATCCGGACCAAGAGGATCCAGAGCCTCCACAGGTTAAAGAGGAGCAGGAGCGACTCTGCAGCAGTCAGGAGGGAGAGCAGCTCGTACTAAAGCAGGAGACTGACACATCCATGATGACTCTTACTCATGAGGAGAGACCACAGTGAAGAACAACTACTAAATAAACACCAGCTCCTTTCTGACAACTCTCAGGATGCTGAGAATCAAGATCCCAAAGGCAGCGAGCTCAAAGACTCAGAATCAACAAGAAAAAACACTAAAACATCAGAGCCTATTTCTAATTCTCACCAAAGTCAAACGTCTTTCAAATGTGACACATGTGGGGAAGCTTTTGAGCATAAATCAGAATTACTGACACATCAGAGTGTCGTGCACTCAGGTCAGGAGAGGCATACTTGCAACAATTGTGGGAAAGTATTGAGTTTCAAGTCAGAACTGATGATTCATACAAGAACACACACAGGTGAGAAGACTTACTCCTGCAGCATCTGTGGGAAAAGATTCTGTCATTCCTCTCATTTGAAAGAGGACTATATAATGCTTACAGACGAGAGGCCGTTTACTTGCAGAACATTTGGAAGAGCCTACAGATTTAGTTGTGATCTGAGGAAACAGGTGAGAAGTGCCCACACAGGGAGATACCACACTCCTGCAGCTCCTGTGGGAAAAGATTCTTTAGACGATCAAACAGGACGCACACAGCTGGATAGCAGTTTACCTGCACGACACATCTTTAAATCAAAGAGAGGTTTACAGTCCATGTGAGAAGACACACGCCTACACCACATGTGGAAAAAAGATTCTTTCAGAGGACAAACCTGAAACATCACAGAAGAACTCAAACAGGTCATCCATCATTCACCAAGACAAGCTCTTTGAATAAGCACGTGAGAATTCACACAGATTGAAAAGCGTCTGCATTCAGAGTTCTTGGTAACCTGACAGTTCACAGGAGATGGCCCTTTTTCAAACCAAACCCTACACCCTCCCCCTCCGTGACGGAGTGCACTCCATTAGAAGTGACACTCTCAGCTGAATGAAGTCTCCTTCATCAAGGTGTAGGGTAGAAATACAGCGGCAGGCTTTGGGAAAAACTTCCCTCTCTCAGGTGGAAACGGGAACTGTATGTTACCATGGGTACTCAGCGGTATCTTACGGGAACGGCTTTTTTTTTGTAGCTAATGCATTCTGTAAAAATATTTATGTAGCCTAGATTATTCTTCTTCTTTAGTTATGTTAGTGTAGACTTATTGAGAGGAGGTTCACGTTGTCTCGGAGTAAACATAAAGTTTATTTTCAACAATGTCAGCAGGATAGAAGATACAGAGCTCTATGATTTAATGAGGTCGGACTGAAGAACTCTTTTGTTCACCCGTTAATCCTAAAATAAAAGTTGAATCACAGATCCTGTTTAAAATCACGTGTCTCATGTTTGTGTCTTTGTATCGTCTCTTTAAATTTCATGTTGCACATGAAGCTTCTGTGTTGTCGGACAAATCAATCAATCTTAAATTATTGTTAATATTTAATAAATCTTTGTATTTAAACAAATGGAGGCGTGCTCTGTCTCTGGTCACTTCCTGTCAGTACCTGTGCTCTGCCTCTTGTCACTTCCTGTCAGTACCTGTGCTCTGCCTCTTGTCACTTCCTGTCAGTACCTGTGCTCTGCCTCTTGTCACTTCCTGTCAGTACCTGTGCTCTGTCTCTGGTCACTTCCTGTCAGTACCTGTGCTCTGCCTCTTGTCACTTCCTGTCAGTACCTGTGCTCTGCCTCTTGTCACTTCCTGTCAGTACCTGTACTCTGCCTCGTCACTTCCTGTCAGCACCTGTGTGTCCGATCAGACTTAAAGCTGTTTGTTTGCACTTCCTCTGAAACTTCCTTAAGGGATCTCTGCCCAGATAAAAGCCTCTTGCTAAGGATCACTTGGTGATCGATGCAAAGTCAAGGTCAGCTGTTCAGTCTGTTGAAGGTTGATCTGAGTCTGGCAGGTTCTCTGTAGCGGGAGTCAGATCGTAGACGAGCAATGCTCTATTTTCTTTCTGGTTGCAGACTTGGTGCCAGATGATCTAACAAAGACATAACATCTGAAAACAAAACCACAGATACTTCATGTTTGTGTAAAATAAACTTTAATTTCAAAGAAGATTAATGTACAGCCTTAATAAAATCTCAAACACCAGACTGTGATTTTTAATAAACAGAAGTTATTCATGTTTTTTTATGCAACATGGCCAGTGAAACTTTGTGTTGACATGGTGTCAGTTATTTAAAAAGTAAATCACTTATAGAATATAGAGACATTATTTGAGTGAATTATTAAGAGTAACACACATGAACAACATGACAGAAAGATCACTGTGTGTGTGTTTACACCAAGAGCAGAAACACCAGCCCATCTTAAAACACGGGGTTAATTAGATCAGATGAGGAACTCGTAGAGAATGTGTTGAAGAAATGTGGAGAACATGTTCCCTCTAAAGTGAAGAAGAGTCCAAGTATGCAGAGAGACTCAAAGAAAGCTCAACTTCCTTCAAACTTCACTTCATTACAGAAGTAAATGGTAAATGGTAAATGGACTTGAGCTTATCTAATGCTTTTCTAGTCTTCCGACTACTCAAAGCGCTTTTACACCACATGTCACACCTACACATTCACACACTGATGGTAGTGATTGTAGTGATAGTATCACCAGAAGTAACTAATGCCATTCATACACCACCACTGAAGCAGTGGGAGCAATTCAGGCTTAAGTGTCTTGCCCAAGGACACAATGGACATGTTGCCCAGCTGAGGATCGAATCCTTGACCTTCCGGTTGAGAGGCGACGACTCTACCAACTGAGCCACAGCCGCCCAGTCAAAGATTCTTTTTCTGCCTTTGGATCACTCCACACTCCTGTCCACTAGGGGGCAGTGATTACAAAAAGAGACATTAAACTTAAACATGAAATATAAAAACATAAGAACAAATAAAAGAGCTGGCATCATCTATCTTTCTTTGTGTTTCCTGACACAGAAATAATCTCTTCAGATCGATCAGTCTGGGAGAAAACTGTGGAAACAGTGACACCTGCTGGCAGAAAGCAGTGATAGCCGCAACAGAACCTAAACATGAATTATTATTCAAATAAAACCCTCCACAGATTGAATTTATTTCTATTCAAAATCCTGAGATAATAAAAACAGAAGGTTCAAACATCAAAGTGTAATAAACATCAGAAGTTAAAAATAAAGATAGTTTGATAACGTGTCCGTTGTTACCCTGACATGATGAATGAATATCAATGATTGAGTCTGCATGTTATTCAGCTCTTTTTATATCATCTCATATTACATCAAATATTCAGGTGCTGACTCTGCACCTGGATCCAGACATCCTGTTTGTAGTTCTTTTAAAAACTCAGTGAAGCCTCCTCTTTGTTTTGATCCAACAAAGAGACGACTGATTTATTATCAGACGACCAACGACTCGTGGTTAAAAGCAGAACTTCACACTTTAACTTGCACAGCTGGAATCAACTTCTACTGTTATCTGTGAATATGAGTCAATGAATAACCTGCACCACTACATATGTCCACAGGGTGGCGCTGCAACAGAAACATTTATATCCAAATCAAAGAGTTCATCTTCGGTCGTTGAGTCATGAAGCAGTTTAAATTCAGAATATGAGAATAGAAAAATGTCCAAGGTCATGGTCCTGTGTGTGACGGTGGAGCTGATCTCAGAGCAGCTCAGACTGCAGCACTGAGAGTCATCTGCGCTGTGATTGGTCCGTCAGACTCCCAGTAACACGCCCCAGTTAAAGACTCACCAACACACCAGCTGCTGCTTCCAGCTCTGTGATCAGCAGGATCCTCTCTTTAAAGACTCATCACCAGCAGCTGTTGATATAAAAAGACATAAATGAGAGATTAGACTCTGAGAGAGACTTCATGATTATTCTGATCATATAATATCATCGTTATCATGATTATTCTGATTATCAGTGATACAGAACATCCAGTATGAAGAGCAGCAGGGACTTCAGTCCTGCTCAGAAGTGAATGAATTTGATGAAGAGATTTAATATTAATTAATTAATTAATTAATTAATAATAAACAGCTCTGGCGGCTGATTTCAATTCATGGTTGGAGGCTCTGGCGTCCACACTGGACAGCATTCACTGCACAGTCACAGAGTGCGGTCAGCGCATCAGTTCCCTGCTGCATCCCTCTGGGTCTGCCACCTTAACTTTCAGTGACTCGTTGTCCTTCTTCTGCAGAGCAAGCTTCCTCGAGGTTTGGAAGACGTGTGTTAGCTTCATTAGCGTTGTCTTACAGGGAACTGATACGCTGACTGTGGTCAATTCCCGGTGGGCCGGGCCGCCTGAAGGGCCGCCAGGGGCGTTACAGTGACAGTTTATAGATCAGGCTGCAGTCATGGCTCAAATAGCGTCTCACTACAGACCAGTTTCTGAAAGTGTGGGGCGAGTGTGAGCGCCTGGAAAACATATAGAGCGCAGTGTTTCCCACTCGTCCACGTATATAAACGACCACAAGCGCCCTTTTTTCAAAAGCCTCTCTCCCTCATTATAACGTGCATTAAAAGATAACGATGGGACATGAGAGGGAGAGAGAGAGAGCTATACGGACGAGCGAGAGTCCGGGAAGGTGTCATTACACATAAGTGGACGGACAAGAAACAAAAAGTTGAATTGATCATGTGCTCTACAGTTTGTTAACCTGTAAAGTGAACTCTGCAGTTTACAGACTGATGTCTTAACAAACTGCTCTGATGTTCACTGAGTGGTCCTCTGTCTGCACGTCGCCTTTGCTCTGTTTATTAAACACTATAAACTGGTCGTTTGAGCCGTCAGAACCAAACCGTGACCAGAAAATCGAGGTACGTATTGAACCGTGGGCTGACTGTATTGTTGCATACCTATTGATCAACCATTTAAAAGCCAAAATGCTTTTCTGCAGCAGACTCACCTCGAGCCATTCGACCACCTTAAACTCCATAGAGGATGGGTAGGTCAGCTCTACCACTCTTCATTTTCAATTAAGTCTTGAGGGGCTAACAATTCTTATTCATAAGGCCGCGATCTCACTGAAATGCGCCGCTACAGGAGTGGCCATTCATAAAACACCTCAAAAGCGGGCAAAACAGCATGGTGCGCCTGGAGCCAAGTTGCGTGCCCAACGGGGCGATTAAAGGTTATTTGGTAACAGAGAAGTCAAGCAGACTCCGAGCTCTTGTCCTTGCTGTCCTATTGGATGAGGAGGGGGCAGAGATTTTGGGTTCATGACTGAACAAAAGAAAACAGTGAAGACCACCATCTCTTTAGCGAGTTGTGTCTGGATGACGAGCATCTAGACGTACAGATCAGTGGTCTTCAAACTTCCCACTGTCGCACATCATTACGTCACTCACGTGAACATGTAGTTTAAGTTTGCTCTACCTGACCACCAAAATAGTTCATAGTTCACTGTTCAGGAAATTGTAAGAACATAGCCTACTAAGCGATTTATTGTCAAACGTCCTCAGAAGCTACCGCTGGCGACTGAAGTCACAAGCCCTGCTCAGTCTCGTGCTACAGGTGACATTGTGCTAACAAACACAGGACAAAGGCTTTGGATGTAGCCTACACCACATATTTTATTTATTTGCCCCCAACCACAAAAACCGTCAGATTGTGCTCCTTTGAAAACATCAACAGTGAGTTTATTTTTAATAATATTGGGATTTGGAAACTGTGCAGATGTTTTATTCGCTCCCCCTCCTGCCCTCTATGTGTGTGTGTGTGTGTGTGCGTGCGTGCATGTGTATTCTTTTTTTTGGGTTATTGTGTGATTTTCATTTCAGTGCCCTCTCATCGTTTTACAGATTATTGTTATACTAATCCAGAAGTGGTCTTGTACTGTACGCATTGTTGTTGTATGTGTTGAAAACTTCATGTTGAAAATGTCTAAATAAATCATGTACAAAAAAAACAGTTTTAAAGGTGCTGCTGATAATATATATACACTGAAGACACTGACACAAGGAGGCGGAGCTCTGAGGTCAGTGAGCGTGAAGGACCGCCTCCTCATAAAGTCAGAGTGGAACAAGCAGGAGATCAGGATTCAATCAACACCATTTTTTCCAGGACTTTTAAGAAACTTCTCCAGGCCTGGAAAGTTCTATAACATTTCCAGGTTTTTCATTATCATACAAATCCTGAATAGTTTATAGGGTAACAGTGAAGAAAAGTCCAACCCTGTACTGACCTCAGATCCTCCAGTCTGTAGTCTAGATTCTCCTGAAGATCACGCAGCAGCTTCTTTCCTGAATCCTGCAGCTTGTTGGAGCTCAGGTTCAGATCAATCAGATGGGAGGGGTTGGACTTCAGAGCTGAGGCCAGAGAAGAACAGCTGATCTCTGACAAACTGCAGCTCCTCAATCTGAATAAAGAATAAAAGATGTGAACAAAGCAGATCAGGGTCAGTAGATATGTTTAGGGAAAGGTAAGAGAAATGTCTTCTTAGACATTAGAGTGTTTGTGTTCTGGAAAATCCAAACAGTGATCAGGTTTAAGTTGTGATTAGGAACCAAAGAAAGATTTAAATAAATAGTAGAAGAAGTTTGTTTCCATCAGCAGAACAATTTCTCAAAACACACATCACATAAGTTCAACAATTGTTAAAGGTGATCGGTGAACTGACCTCAGAATCTCCAGTCTACAGTTTGGACTCTGCAGAAAATCACACAGCAGCTTCACTCCTGAATCCTGCAGCTCGTTGTGACTCAGGTCCAGATGTTTCAGATGGGAGGGGTTGGACTTCAGAGCTGAGGCCAGAGAAGAACAGCTGACCGCTGACAAACTGCAGTCACACAATCTGAATAAAGAATAAAAGATGTGAATAAAAAGAATGATCAATCAGATGATAACATAACATAACGAAGTCCAATATGTGAGTGTGTCCCTAAAATAAGTAGAGAGACTTTGTCACAGACCAAACTCAGCCACTACCAGATAAACAATGAGCTAGTATGGGAGGGGAGCTCTTTTTCCAATTTATGGCAAAGCCCAGGTTTGACAGATGAAGAACCAATTTCTTCTTCTTCTCTGGATTGGGCCACGAGAAGCAGGTCGTCCAGGTAAAACAAAACTTTCATTCCCATCCTGTGCAGCGGCTGCAGAGCTGTTTCCACACACTTATAAAAAGTGCACAGGGCCAGAGAGTAAACGAAAGGAAGGTGGCTGTACTGATACTGAATCCCCTGGTTTCAGTATCAGTACAACCAGGGTCACGTCTGCCCACCTGGGCCGAAGTGAAGCTGCTGGACATACCATCAGGAGCGGGCAGCGCCGCAGTTTCTTCAGAGGAAGGCGAGTACAGAACAAGCACGGAGTGAGCGCCAACCCGGTGTGCTCCGGGCCAAGGCACGCTTCACAAAAGGGATGCAGGTCAAAGTTCATTATGTGGCCAGTCTGACACTTTAGGCAGAGTCGGACCGTTCCTGGAGAGGGCATCTTGTAGTAAGTAGGTGATTTTCTATCTTTCTTCTTATTGCTGCAATTTGCTGAAGAAAAACTGTGAGCCGATTATATGGGCTCACAGCTAGGTGGACTATATTTTTTCAGTGCTGCGTGCGGTGCGAGGGATAAACCCAATAGTGATAGCCTTAAAGGGTGAAGCCTATACGAAATAGAAATGAACTAACTTCAGAATCTCCAGTCTACAGTTTGGACTCTGCAGTCCCTCACAAAGCAGCTCCACTCCTGAATCCTTCAGCTCGTTGTAGTCCAGGTCCAGCTTTCTCAGATGGGAGGCGTTGGACTTCAGAGCTGAGGCCAGAGAAGAACAGCTGATCTCTGACAAACTGCAGTCACTCAAACTGAATAAAGAATAAAAGATGTGAATAAAAAGAATGATCAATCAGATGATAACATAACAACATAACTAGGTCCAATAAGTGAGTGTGTCCCTAAAATAAGTAGAGAGACTTTGTCATTCTGTTATTGTGGATCATTCAAATGTCAGCTTTCTACAGACATCATCCAAACATTCATACAGCTGTTCATGCCAATAAAGACACCAACATGTTACTGACCTCAGTCAAGATTATACAACCAATACTCTACTGAGCTTTACACACCTGGGAGTGTGTGTGTGTGTGTGTGTGTGTGTGTGTGTGTGTGTGTGTGTCTCTGTAGCCGTTTTCACATCTGCACTCCGGATAATATCTAGATATTTACAGGAGGACTTCTCCGGAGATTCTCCTGAACTAGCCGTTCACATATGCTCCTCACAGCGGGGGGCTTTCCCTGTCAGAGGGGAGGGGGGGGATTTCCTGAGGTAAGACGTGACGTAAAAAATCAACGCAGAAGTAGCGGCCGTAGCAACAGAGTCCGCTACACAACGTTATAATGACAATATTTGCCTTTATATCAATGCTATGTGTAATCCAATGGAATGACAACATCCACAGAAGAGAGGAGAACAACATACTGATGAACAGAAAACATAATGCAGACGTTTAATTACGTGCACGGAGATCGTATCGGTCGGTGCAGAAACTCTATGCACCGTGCGGCAGTCACTGTATATAAACGCCACTCTCCCTCCCATTGGCTCGAGGTGAATTAGTAAAAAATACTCGGGGTCTGGCCGGAGAAACTCCGGGTAAAGTCTGAGCAAAAAATTTGGCTGTTTGCGTTCACATTTTTTCCAGAAATTTCTGCAAGTGTGAAAACAGCATATGTGTGTGTGTGTGTGTGTGTCTCTGTGTGTACTTCATAATAAAATATATATTATTCAGATATTCTTGTGGCTTCAGTTCAACATTTAATACAAATCAGAAACCAGAGGTGTAAAAAGTACTAATATATTCTACTCAAGTGAAAGTACTGTTACTTTGATAAAATTTTACTTAAGTAAGTAAAAGTACCAGTTTAAAAATTTACTTTTTTTGATTTTTTGATCCAGCAGATGTCGCCCTTGAGCACCAGCATGAAACCAAAACAACTTGCGGCGCATTGTTGTGTTAGCATGCTAATGCTAGCGATCTTTATTATGCTGGTATCTTCACACTGCATGTAAATTTACCTGAAATGAGCGTGATCTAGAAACACAGTTAAGCAGTGAGTACAGTATGTTATTCTTCTTTTCTCTAGTCCCTCAATTAAACAACTTTTATACACAAGGGGAGGAGTCAGCCGGCCGGCCCGACGATGTAAACAAACTGAAGATAGGACTCTGAAAACTCTGAAAGTATCACAGACAGTGGGACTCGGGTGTTACACCCATTGTAGACAGTCATGACTCACAGAGTTATTTTCAGAGGATATACTTGATTTCTATTTAAGTGTGAAAAATCACATTTAAACTATTTAAGAAAATACTAAAAGGATCTTTGTCTCAAACATAAAAAGTGTAAAGAGTATTTTAGTGTTTTTAGTTGTATTATTCTGAGGCTGGTTAGTCTCAAAGACAGCCTCAAAGGCTGACTTAGCTGCAACTAAACCTGAGATGAAAGATAATCCATTTATTGTTTTAAAATGAGCCTTTATGAGCTTAAATATTAGATGTTTTAGTCACTGTTTGTTTACCTCTTAGCTACTGAAGCTTCTAACTGAATCTGGTTTGAAGTATTTATTTTCACACATCTGAGATGTGTTAAGTTGCAGCAGCTTATAACACCTAACTTCCTCATACGTCTTCTTCAAAATAAAAGCAGAGATGGCAATTATGGACTTTCATTGTGAAAAACTTTCCGGAACTAAATGTGTTTATCGCTCGGAGCTGCAGCGGCGATTGTAGTCGCGAACGCTGCAGTAAGAAAAAGCATCCTCAGCCACTTCTTTGTCCAAGAGTAAGAGCCACAACCAACTTATTTGAATCATCTTGGACTCAAGACAATGAGACATCAGTTTATAAACACCTTCAGCAGGTACACCCGCTCTAGTGGAAGGGCTTATCTGTGCTGCACTAGCTGAAGTGGCACCGAGCCAAGAAATGGGTCTCTCTGTCTGTCGTCCGGAGCGATGAAGGAAAATCATTCATAGCAGGCCATATTTTTTTTTATGATGCAGATTCAAACAAGAAAATAAACATGAACAGCATTCAATCTAAAACTTGATAGATGTAAGATACATGTGAACATTGATGATGATAATCTTGTTTTTCTTTTGCTGCAAAAAAACAACTTGTTGCTGCTACTTTCATGCCCCTGATTGATTGTGGTGATGTTTTATATAGGCATGCATCTTCTCAGTGCCTAAAATCTTTGGATACTGTATATCATGGTGTGCTGAGATTCATAACAAATCTCAGGGCTCTGACTCATCATTGTACTCTGTGTGTGAGCGAGTCGGCTGGCCTGCATTGTCTCAGCGTAGACAAACTCATTGGCACGTCCTTATTTATAAGGCTTTACTTAACCTGCTTCCGCATACCTGTGTAACTGTATTCACAAAACTTGTTGTTGTCTGTTCCCAAAGTGCGTCTTGAAATGAAGAAAAGGAGTTTCAGGTACACTGGAATCTCCTGCAGGATGATCTGTGTCTGGGGGAGCCGGTTTCTTTAAATCATTTTAAAAGTAGATTGAAGGTGTTGAAAGGAAGATGCTTAAGGATGTAGATGCTTTGATTAATGCCTTTGTGCTCTGTAACTCAAGACATGTTAAACTGTGTTTTTAATTACTCTGTGTTTTATGTCTGTAACTTTTTGTTGTGCTGCTGCCCCTCTTGGCCAGGACACTCTTGTAAATGAGATTCTTAATCTCAATGAGGTTCTCCTGGTTAAATAAATGTAAAATAAAAATTAAAAAAAACCTGAAAATGTTTCAGCTGATAATCAAACACATGAGATGTAAAACATAAACAGAGAAGAAGTGAACTGACCTCAGAGTCTCCAGTCTACAGTTTGGACTCTGCAGTCCCTCACTCAGCAGCTTCACTCCTGAATCCTGCAGCTTGTTGAAGCCCAGGTCCAGCTCTCTCAGATGGGAGGCGTTGGACTTCAGAGCTGAGGCCAGAGAAGAAAAGCTGATCTCTGACAAACTGCAGTCACTCAAACTGAATAAAGAATAAAAGATGTGAATAAAGAGAACGATCAATCAGATGATAACATAACAACATAACTAGGTCCAATAAGTGAGTGTGTCCCTAAAATAAGTAGAGAGACTTTGTCATTCTGTTATTGTGGATCATTCAAATGTCAGCTTTCTACAGACATCATCCAAACATTCATACAGCTGCAGTGTTTCTCACACGTAAACGATACCTGGATGGGCCGCCCAAGTAAATTTATGGCTGCTCAAGTATATTTCAGACCTGTTTTTATTTAATTTTTCATTTATTCATAAAATTGCTGCGTGCGCGAGAGAGCGAGAGGAACTTGGTCCTGAGATTTTAAAGGCATTTAATGCTGCTACTGCCTAAAGGCCGCTCCCCCCTCAATGATGGAGTCGCTAATCACCCTTATATTAAAGAAGGGGAATCCCACTTGACCGCGGCAGTTATCGACTAATTAGTCTCTTGTGCTGTGAACTGTTTACAATGAGAGTTAACAACGTCATATCCACCATTACTCATCCTGACCAGGTCAGTTTTGTTACAGGCAGGACCTCTTCAGATAGCCTCAGATATCCTCTTGCATCTAATCTGGGAGACTAAAGACCTAAACACCCCAATAGCTGCTCTTTCTTTAGAAGCTGAAAGAGTGTTTGATCATGAGAGTTGGAGCTATTTAGATTTCACCGTTAAAGAATTTGAATTGGGAGCTTTGTTTCAGGATGTGATAAAAATCATATTTAACCAACCAAAAGCTATAGTAACAACTAATAGTGTGAGATAATCAGCTTTCTTGTTAGGTCGTGGAACAAAACAGGGAGACCCTCTCTTACCTCTTCGCTTCATTGTGGCACTACAACCTCTCGCAAATAGATAGATACTTAATTGATCCCGAGGGAAATTCAAAGCGTCCAGTAGCAGTTTACAAAGACATGCAGAACACTATACCTGTGCAGGGATAAAGATGGGTGTGCAATTTAAATGAGACCTATTAACAGTTTGAAAGAATTACACTGGTAACTTAAACCTGTACATAAACAGTGTAGACCTCCTGAGAGTTTATGTATGTACAGCAGTGTTTGAAACGAAGTGCAATTTTTAAAAACAGTTTTAAAAGAACAGTCTGTGCCAACTGTAAAGGTGCTAATATATTATTGTGAGATATGCATTACTGTAAGTGACAACTAGAGGCTGACTATTAGGACAGCTGTGCATATGGGAAAGAAAATAAGAGTCACTGTGGTTTTTCCGCCTACCATAACAGTGAGCTGTTGTACAATCGTATGGCCAGGGGGACAAAAGAGTTCTTAAGTCTGTCCGTGGAGAAGGATTGTGACAGCAATCTGCCACTGAACACACACCTGCCCTGTGAAGGTGCGGGGCAGAGGGTGGTGGGTGTCATTTAGGATGGAGAGCATCATTTCTAGCCAATAAGGCTAAATGAAGCAATAAGGTGTTAAAATGGGAGATCATGAAAATAAAATGTTAATTTTTGCAGACGACATCTTGGACCCCACAGAGGTCTGCACCTCTGATGCTGGATCTGGTAAACTCTTTCTCAGTTATCTCCGAAAATTAAATAAACCGGACCAAATGTGAGGTAATGCCTTTATCTAAGTTCTGTTATAAAAGTCCTTTTCAAAACTGGAAATTCCAGTGGGTGCCAAAAAATCTCAAATACATAGGTATACTCTTGAACCCATGAGAAGTGAACTGACCTCAGAGTCTCCAGTCTACAGTTTGGACTCTGCAGAAAATCACACAGCAGCTTCACTCCTGAATCCTGCAGCTCGTTCTTAGTCAGGTGCAGATGTCTCAGATGGGAGGGGTTGGATTTCAGAGCTGAGGCCAGAGAAGAACAGCTGATCTCTGACAAACTGCAGCCCCACAATCTGAATAAAGAGATTAAATGAAAAAGCTTTAAAGACAGTGGGCCTCATCCACCAAAGGTTCTGAGGAAGAAATTTGTTCTTAAACTGACTTTATTTTTTAGATTTATGTTATTCTGTCTCTCTCTGCTAATGTGATTCTGCTCTCTTGGTTTTGCTGCGTTTTTATCTCTCTGCAGGAGTGCAGGGGGATTAAAAAAAACAAAAAACAGGAGTTTTGTTTTGTTTCATAGTTTAAAATTCTGTGCGCTCAGTGAGATCCTTGTGCGTGCCTAAACGTTGTGCGGGCTCTCTCTCTCTCCCCCGCTCTCTCGTGCGCAATTTTATGAATAAATAAAGAATTATTCAAAACAAGTATTAGATACTTGGGCAGCCAGCCCAGGTATTGTCTATGTGTGGGATCCATTTTTAGCACAGATCGGTGAAACTTAAACCATATTCAGGTAATAAAGCAAAAAAAAAAAATTTGACTGAAAATTCTCAACGTATAAAACAACATAGTTGTTTTTTATTTCAGGAATAAAATTGACACGTTTTTCTTTTTTGAAGCTCAAGATCTAGGCGGACAGATATGAGCTTGCTTCTTTTTAACAAATTTGACCTACAGTCAAGTAAATTTTATGCCTATATAAATTAACAGGTGCAGCAGGTGATCTATATAAAACTTTGAATAAGTTAAAGTATGAAACGTAAATGAAGTTAGGGGGGTCTGGGGGGATTCTCCACCAGATGAAAAATCTAGCTATTCTAACATTATAATGAAGCTTTTTGGAGCATTTTGAGATTAGATCATGATACATGAGGACCTTGTTTTTCATACTAATTAGGACAGTGGAATAAGAAGCCTACTCTGTTTTTAACCTTAAGCAGCCTAAAGTAACAACACATAAATACCCTCAAACAAGTTACAGAAGTTAGAGTACAAACGTATCAGACTTTAGTCTGGAGTAACAAATGAAAAATAGTTACTTTATAGTACCTTTTACAGAATATTAATTATATATCTTTTTTAATGCATTAATGTTTTCCTCATTTTGTTGTCATTGCTACAGTTGGACCTAATCCTATTTACATAACTACCTTGTAAATTCCCAGGGAATATATTAAAGATATTTTGACAAACAGTGTATTCATCCTATTTTGCATTATAATCTGAATCTGAGAAATAACTAGCAAAAAAACTTATAGACCACATCACCATAATCCAAAACTGAAAGAAAAACTGCTTCAATTATAATTTTCCGACAGAACATACGGAAATTTAATTTATTTCTATATAGGTAACCAACCTTTTGACGTAGTTTGACAGTAAGATTATCTATGTGAAGTTTGAATGTTAGTCTGTCATCTATCCATATACCGAGATATTTATAGGCTTTAACTCTCTCAATAATAGATCCTAGCAGGGTGGTAATGTGAAGGTTATTATCAGTTTCACATTTAGCCCTAGAAAACAACATACATTTAGTTTTCTGAGTATTTAAAACCAATTTAATGTCATTAAGTGCAACTTGGAGAACATTAAAGGAATGTTGCAGGTTCTCCATGGCAAGCTGAGCAGAATTAGCAATACAGTACAATATTGTATCATCTGCATATAAGTGAGCATGTGAATGGTTGCTAGATAATAATGGAATAATTTTATTAATAAAAATTGTAAAAAGGGCTGGGCCTAAGATTGAACCTTGTGGAACACCCTTAGTGATTGGAAGAAACTCAGAGTGGATGGTTCCCAGGTTCACTGATTGCCGTTGGTCAGTGAGGTAGTTCAAAAACTGCACTTGCACTAAAACCAATAAAACCAAGAGTTTGCAAAAGCAATGAATGGTCAACAGTGTCAAATGCTTTGGAGAGGTCGACAAAGATGGCAGCACAATGTTTTTTTTTATTCAAGGCATTGACAACATCATTTAACACTAGTGTAACAGCAGACACAGTGCTGTGCATAGATCTGAACCCAGACTGATGTGGGCTTAGAACAGAGTTTATTGAGAGAAATTCCTTGAGTTGGTGATTTACGAGAGACTCTAATATTTTTGCTAAGCAGGGCAATTTGAAGATTGGCCTATAATTATTAGGGTCACTCTTATCTCCACTCTTGTGTAAAGGGGTAACATAAGCGGTTTTCCATACATTGGTAATTACTCCGGATGAAATGGAGAGGTTAAAAATGTGAGTTAATTGCTCAGCAATCAGAGAGGCTGAGAGACGGAGAAAGAGAGGATCCAATTTGTCTTCACCAGTAGATTTCTTAGGATCTAAGGTTTGAAGAGCCTCTAAAACTACACAGAATGAGACAGGAGATAAGTTAAACTGAGAAGTATGATTTGGAGTGGGAATACAGCCATTGTCAGTAGGAGGAAGGTTAATACTAGGAGCGGGTACTCTATTATCCACATCCTCAAAGATATGACCGGCTGCTGCAAAGTGCATATTGAAGGCAGAGCAGATCTCACTAGGATCATTCACTAAGCAGTCATCAAACCTGACATGAGTATTAGGTAGGGAGGCAGCAGAGTTGCTATTATTAGAGTTTACCACCTTCCAGAATTTTGCAGGGTTGGAATAGCAGCTAGAGACCAAATTCAAGTAATAAACTGATTTTACTTTTCTCACAAGTGAAGTGCATTTATTCCTGAGTGCTCTGAAAAAATCCCAGTGGGACGCCTCTCCCGTACGTCTAGCTAAGGACCAGGTTTTGTTTCTTGATAGAAATACAGCTGACAGTTCAGGGGAAAACCATGGACTAGATCTATTTTTTTTGAAGGATTCTTCAAGTTGGGCCTGGTGGGTTCATTAATTAGTTGGGTTAAATTGAGACTGGATGAGATTTCCTTCAGGTAATCAGAGCTTTTGGTCAACCAATCCAAGTTTAGATCACCCATAACTATGATTTCAGAGTTCGTATACTGAGAGAGCAATTCAGCTAGACAGTCAATAGACCTAGTTTCAGCTGATGGGGATCTATAAATCCCTATTATAACAAACAAATTATTTGACCGCTCATTTACCTTTAAAGCTATAAATTCAAAGCAGTTAGGCACAGAAACTGCATGTAAAACAGTAACAGAAAAAAACATGATTTGACATAAACAAATGATGCTGGAGTATACTTCTAATATTTAGATAAATCAGCCCTAAGCCTTTTCTAGACTTAAAAGAATAAGGATTATTGAGACCAAGTGGTGTGATCTCGGGAGGGCTGTAAGGCCGAGACAAATCAGGTAAACAAGAAATAAGAGGATTGGAGTTTGTAGCAGCAGCAGACCCAAGTTCAGAAATACCAGGGGAATTAGAGATAGTACAGTGATTTGACAGACTGTCCTCAGGAGTGGGAGGGCCAATTTGTCAAGCTGGTGAAGATAAGAAATTAATCAAGTTAGCGGTCAGTTGCTTAACACCCAGTCCATTTGGGTGAATCCCATCCTTTCTAGTCAGGCCCTTGCTCGACCAGAACAAGTCAAAGTTGTTTATAAAACCGAATCCAGTTGCAGTACAGAAATTCTGTACCCAGTAATGCAGACTGAAAAGGCGATTAAAACGTTCTGTACCACGTCTTAGGGATGGAATGGGGCCAGACAGGATACAGGTTTTTCCAAGGCTCTCTAATGTTGTTGTCAGACACTCAAAGTCTGATTGAAGTTTAATTGATTGTCTTGGCATGACGTCATTGGCACCAGCGTGTACAATCACAGTGTGGGCAGAAGGGTGACGATCAAGAATGGCAGGGACATTTTGAATAATATCGGCTACTTTAAAACCCGAGAAACAGTATATTATGCCGCAAGGGACTTTGACAAACCTGGTGATAGAATCGCCGATCACAAGAATTTCAGGTTGACCATTTAGACACCCCCCGTTGTATATTGCAAGGTTGCTAGGGAGAATCTCATCAGCTGTTGCTGCAGACGCCTGTGACAGGCTGACAAACGGCCGAGACGATACAGGAGCAGGAGATCCAGCGCTAGTATCCAGCGGCCGCCGTTGGGAAGATATGCTTGGCTCGGGGGCCGAGCACTGCACCCGGGGTGCTTGGATTTAGGCGGAGAACCTGGTGGAGAGCGGTGGCTAAGAGAGACGGGATGTTTCCTTGACGAAGATGTGGAATTGCCGCTAAAATTCCGAGGAGCAGGCAGAGAAGACAGAGGTGAGCCATCAGCAAGCTCGGACAGCGGGGCAAAAAAGTTCAAAAGCGGCAAATCCAGAGCATCCTCATCCCCAATGGGATCGAAGAGAGGGAGAGCGATATTCCTCGTCATCTTTCTGGATTTTCTGACTGTAAAAGCCCAAGAGGAAGCAGTCCCCTGAGTCGAGATAGGACAAGGGGGTTCCAAGGCAGCTAGCCTCTCCTGGAGCTTACATTGTCTCTGGAGGAGATCGTTTATGAGGCTCTCAATTGAGGAAAGCTCGGTTTTAAGGCTAGTTATATTGGAGACCTCAGCCGCAGTAGCCATCGTTATTCCACAGACAATAAATTGGCGAACCACAGTTCAGCATGAAAGTCAGCCCACACAGGGATACAATGTTTTTAGCCTAGCCTTCGGATAGCTACGGCTGAGTGTCCGGTAGCGGAGCACTCAGCGACTGTCTGCTCTGCCTGCAGGTAATAAAACTTTAACGGTAAACTCCGTCATGTTATGGATTGTTAATCCCCTGTTTTTTTTTCTTTGGTCTGGTAAATAAAGTTGCCACACAGACGCAAAACTACACTTGTGTTACAAGATTCAGATAATGCCTGACATAAAAAACAGCAGTCTGCTCGTCTTTTTTGTCTGATTGACACTGACGAAAAATATTATAATTTTGAAATTGACAGAAATCCGTTGTAGCGACAGAGAACTTTAATCCTTGCATGTTGTACTCTTAATTATCCTATAGTGCAGCTTGTTCGTCATGCTGGGTGGGATGTGGGAGAAAACAGAAAACAGTTCCCTCTTAGACTTGTCACTCAGCTTGTTTATTCCCATTCACCTACTCTTATTTATTTTAATACTATTTGTATTAGAGATTTCCAGGAGAAGCTGCAGACCCCTAGTATTTTTTCCGCAGAAAGTCTTGAGTGGGCTGATGTGAGAACGCAGCAGCATATTCTCCGGGTAATTCACCTCGAGCCAATAGGAAGAGAGTGACCTTTATATTCCGTGTCTGCTGCATGGTGCATAAAGTGTTTCCTGTTCTCAAGTATGTTGTTCGCCGCTCTTTTGTGGATGTTGTCATTCCGTTGGACTACAAATAACATTGATCATCATCATAGCGTCGTGTAGAGGACTATGTTGCTTTGTCCGCAACTCCCATCTGACAGGTATAGTCTTCCGCACAGAGGAGCATATGTGAACAGCCAGGTCGGGAGAATCTCCAGAGCAGTCCTCACGTAATTATCTAGATATTACCCGGAGTGCATATGTGAAAAAGGCTGAAGTGAACTGACCTCAGATCCTCCAGGCTACAGTTTGGACTCTGCAGAAAATCACACAGCAGCTTCACTCCTGAATCCTGCAGCTTGTTGTTACCCAGGTCCAGCTCTCTCAGATGGGAGGGGTTGGACTTCAGAGCTGAGGCCAGAGAAGAACAGCTGATCTCTGAAAACCTGCATCTGAACAATCTGAATATAGAGATGAAATGAACAAGATTTAAAGACAGTGGACCCTATCCACCAAAAGTTCTTAAACTGACTGACTTTGTCTTTAAGATTTCTGACATTCACTTAAGTTTTCTTCTTTCAGATTTCTTCAAAAACAAAACCTGAGAACACTTGAGAACTCTGACGCACGTTTATGTGCTGATAATGAGAATAATTAATGTTGCTTTATATGATTTAATGATTTATTTAAATACACGTGTGTATACACTTCTAGTTTAAAGCCATTTTATATTTGAACGGTAAAATGTTAAATTACGAATATGAACTCAGTATTTAGGTAAGACTATTTAGAGGTTCATAAATATTATATCCACAGTAATGAACCTTCCTTTGTGTATTTGAATGATTAAACTGTCACGTTTCACCGTTTTACAGCTGCAGCTTTCAGAATAAATTAATAAATTAAATATATGATCAGTGTCTCTCTCTTGATTTCAGTTATTTCCCCCTCAGGTTTCATTTTTTCTCTTTATCTTGTGTTCGTCCTTTTCTGATGACAGCGAGACGTTTGTTGTTTTTGCTAACAGCGCTGTCTGAAAGAGTGACATCATCTCATGTATCTGTTTGCAGTTTGTTTAAAATCCACGACGTTTAGTCTTCAAACTCTACTAAAGGTCATATCATTAAATCAGCCTGTTTGCTTTCATTTCATTTTAGCACTTCATCCACGCTACAGCTACGCTGGGACGACGTAGTCGACGACATAAATAATTTGCGTCCAAAACAATTAGATTGTCCTACACTCCAGTCCAGTGGAGGCAGTAATGCACCAGAAAGCTAGTCGCCAATCGCTATAGACGCTAAAACGGAAGAAGAAGAATTCACACAACAACAACAACAACGGCGGCATGCAATAACAGCAGCACGAGCACCGAGGAGCAACAAGTAGCAAAAAAAAAATCACGCTGGCATACCACAGGAGTACGACAGCAATAAACCAACATTTGAAGAGAAAACAGCCCGGAGCTCTGTGTCAGAATGGCAGCAAAACACTAAGTTTTGTTGACTTTCTCCCCTTTCCCACCCTGGAATGTTCGATTATCATGTATTGATAAAGAATGTGTTTTAGGAGGTTATGTTTTAGTAGGTTACTCGGTACGTTAGACTGTTGATTTGTTGTCTATAAATGCATCACTTCTAACGTTAAGCATCGCTTAGATCTGTTTGCTTATACCGAAAGGGTGACTTATACCCCGATGTCGCTTGATAAAATATGACACAAAAAAGACAACTTTCCTGTCTGCTAGGCTGTCATGTGATGTAGACGTTTACTATTGAAATCTCACGATCTAGCAACCAGTTCCAAGTAAACATGCATGAGACAATACATCTGACAATTTTAATTACAGCTATTCTTTTTAAAGTTAAGCCTCTGAGATGGCTGTAGTCTACGAATATCAACATGGTGTGGACTGTGAATCATTAGACTTATGTTATATTTCTGATTTGCTATTGTGAATATTCATGTGCTTTGTGTTTTTCGCCTTTACAAGAATAGGCAAAGCAGTGTGGAGATTTTTTCGATAAAAAGAACCAGAAACCTTGCACACCCCAGGATGCTAGTGTGTATATGAACAGCATTGTCTCAATGATTGTTAAGGACATGAGGCCCCTTGCTATTGAGGGTAAAGGCTTCCGTGAAATGGTAAATACTTTCCATTTAGGATTCCGCCCTTCCATCCAGGCGCCACTTTACTGACTTGATGGAGAGGAAGTATGTAGCTTCCATGTACAAAGTAAACTTAAAAAAAAGTAGCCTGTCCCCGCCACTCAAGAGATTCTTGAGGAGCAATATATTTCATAACTGGTGTTCATCTACTCTTATTTATATTAGATATGCAGATATTTATGTGAATCCATTTTATTACTGTTTTTATCATTACCTCGTCATTGAAACTATTATTATAGATACAATTACTAAACCCTTATTTTTTTTATCACCTTAGTTTTTCCATTTATATATGTATGTATATGTGTGTGTGTGTGTGTGTGTGTGTGTGTGTGTGTGTGTGTACACTTCATAATAAACTATATATTCAGATAATCTTGTGGCTTCAGTTTTGAATGTTCAAACAAGAAAATAAACATGAACAGGATTCAATCTAAAACTTCATGGACGTCAGAAACATGTGAACATGAAAATGTTTCAGCTGATAATCAAACAAATGAGATGTAAAACACAAATATTGTCATCATAGCGTCGTGTAGCGGACTCTGTTACTTCGTCCTAGCATATGTGAACAGCCAGGTCGGGAGAATCTCCAGAGCAGTCCTCCCGTAATTATCTAGATATTATCCGGAGTGCATATGTGAAAACGGCTGAAGTGAACTGACCTCAGAGTCTCCAGTCTACAGTTTGGACTCTGCAGAAAATCACACAGCAGCTTCACTCCTGAATCCTCCAGCTCGTTATAGGTCAGGTCCAAATATCTCAGATGGGAGGGGTTGGACTTCAGAGCTGAGGCCAGAGAAGAACAACTGATCTCTGACAAACTGCAGCTCCACAAACTGAATAAAGAATAAAAGATGTGAATAAAAATAAAGTCCAATCCAATCAGATTATAACATAACATATCTAGGTCCAATAAATGTGCGCACACACAGGTGTGTAAAGCTCAGTAGAGTATTGGTTGTGTAATCTTGAATGAGGTCAGTAACATGTGGGTGTCTTTATTGACATGAACAGCTAAATGATCCAAAATAACAGATATACTTATTTTACATTATTTAAACGCACAGTATGTAAAATCCGCTGCCAGGGGGCTTTCAACCAAAACAAAAACAAAAGATGATGTCGAGGCTGGCATTAGAGTGTAATATACAACAAGTTATTTTTTACATATATTCAGGTTGAAAATGTTAAGTGAAATATTGTGCCGCTGCTCTGTCGACAAAAAACACAGAAGAAAATTGACTCCAGCATTTGATCATTTGAGTCTATAGTTTAGTTTCACCTCATACTAATCTGAACAGAGAAATTAAACCTGTTGTCTTACTTCAGAGACTCCAGTCTACAGTTTGGACTCTGCAGTCCCTCACTCAGCAGCTTCACTCCTGAATCCTGCAGCTTGTTGGAGCTCAGGTCCAGCTCTCTCAGATGGGAGGGGTTGGACTTCAGAGCTGAGGCCACGGCTTCATAGTGACTCTCTGACAGTCCACAGTTAATAAACCTGTCATCAGAATCAGAATTGGGTTTTATTGCCAAGTACATTTACACATAGAAGGAATTTGACTTGGTGTATTGGTGCTAAACAATTAACAAGGAAATAAAGCAGAACTAGCAACAACTTAAATAATACAGTATAAGAAGATATTACAATATAGAAAATAGAATTTATAAATGTAAAATATAAAACGTACAAAAGGTGCAATGTAGGAGCTGTGCAGTCGACAATGAAAAAATGAAAATGAAAAAATCTTACATTGTATGTAACCTACTCATTGAGTGCATGTCAAGAAAATAAATGTAAAGTCCAGTGGGCGTTAATGTAACGCATAAAGAACAGTTTCAGCATTCACATTACTTTGATGTTTTTCTAAGTGTGGGGCTGATGAGAGTCTGTGTTATGTGGGAGGAGGGGGGAGGGCAGAGACATATAATATGACATAGTGTTTTTCTCTTTACATCAGAGGTTCAGGTGATCTGATTTCACTACATGAAACAAACATTTCCATCACTTGTAACCCTGCAGACTTTATGAAGATTGATTGTTGGACTTTTTGTGCCTTTATTAAGATACGACAGTGGATAGAGAGAGAGAGATGGTTTCTATACTGATTAGAGCTCTCAAGAACTGCTGTCAATGTTGTGCTTTGCCTCTGGTCACTTCCTGTCAGCACCTGTGTGTCCAATCGGACTCAAAGCTGATCGTTTGCTCTTACTGACATTGTTCCCTTTTTTCTAGATCCTTGCTTGTGTTGTACTTACTCTCTGATGTACGTCTCTTTGGATAAAAGGGTCTGCTAAGAGATTTGTAGAATTGTAGAGAGAGAGAGAAAGAGAGAGGGAGAGAGAGAGCTAGAGAGAGGGAGGGAGAGAGAGAGGAAGAGAAAGAGAAAGAGAGAGAGGGAGAGAGAGAATAGAAAGAGATAGAGAGAGAGACAGAGAGAGAGAGAGAGCGAGAGAGGGCGAGAAAGAGAGGGGGATAGAAAGAGAGAGACAGAGAGAGGGGGAGAGAGAGAGAGAGGGAGAGAGAAAGAGAAAGAGAGAAATAGAGGGAGAGAAAGAGAGAGAGGGGAATGACGTGCAGGAAAAGAGCTGAGGGTATGAGGGCCGTGGAATTTAATTTAGTACTAAACTTAAAACAATCATAATAATCAGAATCTGGGACCTAACTCTATCCTCCAGGAGGACAACTCTCTCCCCAACAGTACCTCAGAATTTAGGAGTGGAGAGGATGGAATGGCCGTGAGTCAAGACCTCAACCCAATTGAACACTTGTGACATCAGCTTGGGCGTGCTATACGTGACCAACACAATCACGCTGGTTGACCTTCAACAACTCCTGGTTGAGGAATGGGATGCCATCCCACAGCAAAATGTGACCAGGCTGGTGACCAGCATGAGGAGGATGGGCCAAGCTGTTGTGGCTTTGTATGGATCTTCCACTCAGTTATACGTGTTGTTTTTTCCTTATTACTGTGGGAGAATGCAATCATCAAATCCACCAAGCAACTCAAAACAGGAGTGAATATCAACAGAAGAATATTGCAGTGGATTTTGGCACATTTTTTTTGGGCGCTACCCACACCTGTGTTGCTTTTTCCACAAATACCCAAAGTTATACCTTGTTGAAAAGGTGACAAATCAAACTTTCCAAAGATATATATTACAACACCCCAATTAGTATTATTTAAGGGGCGAAATAATTTAACGAAATAACGTTTACAAACTTTTTTTGAGGAGTTTACATTACTACCGTAAAATCCGGAATATAAGTCGCACCGGTATATAAGACGCACCCTGTTTTGAAGGTCTCTTCAAAAAAAAAGTTTGAACTGTCTTCCTGCATGACGATTTATATTGTGTTCAGCAATGTCTACAACGTGCAGTTTCTGTGCAGCTGTGTCACTCTTTAGTTCCGTTTGTTTTCATGTTCGGGAGTCTGCACTCCTACTCGCTACAGTACGGTAGTTGAGCTCTCAGCCTGCTGCAGGGAAAGTTGTGAAGCACAGACTCCTAGCTTGCGAGACGAGCTGCCCGACTCCGCTGGTCACTCTTTAACTTTAATAAAGAACACTTCACAAGATTTATTTACGGAACAATGTACCACTGTTTTCTGTAAATGCATGATTATTCACCTCGTTAGGGAGAAAAGATGTGGAAAAAGTTTCGCAGCCGGCCTGGTCTGTGTCGCCTTCTTTCCCAGCACAGCGTGCACTCAGCTTTCAATACACAGGGAATGGGGATGGTTTTTTAACATAGACTGTAACGTTAAATCACGTCTGGTCGCAGTGATAGGGGCTGCTTCATCTGTGGTAATGATGGCGCGTGTTTCAGTATTTTATACTGGTATATTGGTCGCACCGATGTATAAGACACAGCCAACTTTCAAGACGAAAAAAATAGGTATTAAAAGTGCGTCTTATACACCGGATTTTACGGTAACACAATTAAATATACTGCAACACATGTACGAAAACAAAAACACAATAGTTTTTTTGTCCACCTGCTACCTTGGCGGGTGAGCTTTAAAGTTAAAATGGACCCTGTCTGTAAAGTGATGTACTGTTGGTAACTTTAGTAATCAAGTCACTGTTATTAATCAAACATTTATCTCGTTACCACCATTACTTTAAGTTCTTGCAGTCAGCATAAAGTGAGGACAGAAAAACTAATCAAATTTCACTATTCATGCACGCTTACACAACCCTCGTCAGGCATTACTCATGTGACAGAGAAAAATATTCTTGTTTTACGGAAATTACTTAATAGACTGTGCGGGAGATAAACATTATCCCAGTCTGTGGTTAATGAGGTGTAATGATAATATATAATGTCATATTATTACTGACACTAATAGGATGATAAAAGAAAAAACAATTAATGTCGGGATTATTATTAAATCAGATGACCTGTGACCTTGAAGTTGATAAATACTAGAACTAGAAAATACATATTTCACTCACAGCATTTAAAGCATCTCAAGGAAACTTATAACAAAATAAAAAGGACTGATAACTTTGTTAATATTTCAGATGAATACTGTTTTCACAAACAGAGATTACAGATTATTCTATATATGAAGAAATTAATGGCTTATTTTTACTCATATTTAATCACATCTGGGCTTACTTTGCCTTTCTGCAGTTCCTCACAGCTGGAATCAGTCTCAGTCGTCCCTGGTCTGATGTCTTGTACTCATTCAGATTGAACTCATCCAGAACCTCCTCTGACATCTGCAACATGTAGGCCAGAGCAGAGCAATGGATCACAGAGAGTTCCTCTGATCTGTTCTCTGACTTCAGGAACTTTTGGATCTCCTGATGGACTGAGAGGTCGTTCATCTCCGTCAGACAGTGGAAGATGTTGATGCTTCTGTCAGGAGAGATATCATCACTGTTCATATACTTCAGGTTGTTGATGACTCTCTGGGTCATTTCTGGACTGTTGTCTCTCCGACCCAGCAGACCTCCTAAGAGTCTCTGGTTGAACTCCAGAGAAAGGCCATGAAGGAAGCGGACAAACAGGTCCAGGTGACCATTTTTACTTTTCAGGGATTTCTCCATGGCACTCCTCAGGAAGACATCCAGGGATAAGTCATCACTTTCAGGAGTTTGAAAAATGATGTTGATGTCTTTAAGGAAAGCCTTCACTACACCTCTCTTCCTGTTTGTCAAACAGTGGAACATGTAGACTGCAGCCAGGAACTCCTGAACGCTCAGATGAACAAAGCAGTAGACTGTTTTCTGGAAGATCACACTTTCTCTTTTGAAGATCTCTGTACAAACTCCTGAGTACACTGAGGCCTCTTTGACATCCAGACCACACTGCTCCAGGTCTTCTTTATAGAACATGATGTTTCCATCCTCCAGATGTTCAAACGCCAGCCTCCCCAGCTTCAGAAGAACTTCCCCGTCAGCCTCCATCAGCTCATGTAGACTTGTCTCACGTCCCTCATCATACTTGTGCTTCTTCCTCTTTGTCTGAACCAGCAGGAAGTGTGAGAACAGGTCAGTCAGGGTATTGGGCAGCTCTCCTCTTTGCTCTGTGCTCATCATGTGCTCCAGAACTGTGGCAGTGATCCAGCAGAAGACCGGGATCAGACACATGATGTGGAGGCTCCTGGATGTCTTGATGTGTGAGATGATTCTGCTGGACAGATCTTCATCATCACTGAACCTCTTCCTGAAGTACTCCTCCTTCTGGGCGTCAGTGAAGCCTTGTACTTCTGTTACCCTGTCAACACATGAAGGAGGGATCTGATTGGCTGCTGCAGGTCGAGACGTTATCCAGATGAAAGCTGAGGGGAGCAGATTCCCCTTGATGAGTTTGTCAACAGTGTGTTTAACGGTGACTTCTTTGTGACATCAGACACAACCTTCCTGTTTGTGAAGTCCAATGACGGTCTGCTTTCATCCAGGCCGTCAAAGATGAACAACAGTTTACAGACAGCGAGCGTCTCTGCTGCGACCTTCTGTAATGTTGGATGGAAAACACGGAGCAGCTCAAGAAGACTGTACTCCTTATCTCTGATCAAGTTCAGCTCCCTGAATGAAAGCAGGATCACCAGACTGAGGTCTTGGTTTTCTGAGCCGTCTGCCCAGTCCAGAGTGAACTTCTGCACTGAGAAGGTTTTTCCAACACCAGCGACGCCGTTTGTCAGAACCACTCTGATGGGTTTCTGTTGGTCTGTTTGAGCTTCTGTCTTCTGTTTCTGTTGGTCGGGTAAGGCTTTAAAGATGTCCTGACACTTGATTGGAGTCTCATGGAGGGTCTTCTTTTTAGAGTCTGTCTCAAGCTGTCTCACCTCATGTTGGGTGTTCACCTCTTCACTCTGTCCGTCTGTGATGTAGAGCTCAGTGTAGATCCTGTTGAGGAGGGTTCTACTTCCTGTTTCATCACTTCCTTCAGTCACATGTTCACATCTCCTCCTCAGACTGATCTTATGTTCATCTAAAACCTCCTGTAGACCTCTATCTACTGAAAGAGAAGAAACATATCCTGAGACTGGATTTATAAAATGATCAAATACAACATTTTCATTATTAAACATTAAAGGGACACTTCACCCGTTGAAACATGGGTTAGGGTGACATTGGGTCATATACAGTATGTAGTAGAAATGTGAAATACATTTTGAAGTTGGTGCCTTCTTGACAACAAACTCCCAGAAAGACAACAACTCCCAGAATGCGCTTTTATACTCAGAGCACAAACGCTTCATGCAGCCACTCCCGAGCGCGCAGCCAGCGCTTTTCTGCCCGGAAAAAAACTCTAGGTGGACACGGGGCCTTATTTGGCAAATTCATTAAGACTTCTGAAGTACTCTTCATTTGTTTTTCTTTCGAAATGGTGAATTATTTTAGTGGATCCGCCCTACCCCCACGGTTGAAAACATGAGGAACTAGCGATGTAGTTTCACCCCCTCCAACCAAAGCAGCCTCCGATGACGCAAAATGATTATTTTTGCGTCATCGGAGGCTGCTTTTGCAGAAAAGAAATACGGAGCTTTCCCGTCTCAGGGGAAAATGAGGGCGGGATGCACAACCATTCAAAAATACTATCAGGTTTCTAATGATACAAAGCTTAATGCAAATGGGTGAAGTATCCCTTTAAGCACAATGCATGACACAATAGTATCCATGTAATAAATGTGTGCTTCTGCAAGAGAAGAAAAACATATTAAATATAAACTGACAGCTAAAATATAGTTAAATTAAAATGTACTATTAATGAAAATATTAACTGCATTACCAACAAATTTAATAAATGATTAAGTCTTGTTTTCAGACACAATGACTTCAGTCTTACTGGTTACACTGCTGGACTGACTGGATATCTGCAGTCCTCGTCTTATGACAGATCTTTCTCCACACTGGGGACAGGAGGTCTCTCCTGATGAAGTAGACTGGTCCCAGTATGAGGTCAGACACTGTCTGCAGAAACAGTGTCCACAGCTGGTAGAAACGGGATCTCTCAGGACGTCCTGACACAAAGCACAGCTGGAAAGCTGCTCCTCCACAGAAACAGACCCCTTTGTTATTCTGTAGGAATAAAGTAAAATGAGATTGTAACCCACTATAACGTTTTAATGTTAAAAAGTCATGTTGAGCTTTTTTTAAAGCATAATTTCTTAAATATTATGACCTAGATCAGACAACATCGGCCCCAAAATATGACACAGTACCTGCAGCCTGATGACAAAACAAAAAAACAAGAAAATCAACACATTGCTCAGGACTCTTTTTTTTAGCTTGACAGTTTAGTGGCTCAAAGGAAGTTCTCTTACTGTGGATCTGAGAGTCCTGGTTCATTACTGAAGTCTGGAGGACGACCTTTAGACCAGTCACTCTCCATAGAGAGACAGCTGGACAGAGGAGACTCTGCTCTGTCCTCCTCTTTGTCTCCTCGATCACTCATCTTCTGATCTCCAGATTGATCAGAGGACAATAAAAGACGTCCATGCAGGTAAAAGAACCTGAGGACAAAATAACAAACAGGTGAGATACAAGCAGGAAAAATGTGAAAGACGGAAATGGTCAGGCCTCCACATCTGGATGTGGAGGCCTGATGTGATCCTTAATTTGATTTTCTCTTCCTTCCTGTCTGCTTAAGTACCTGATGCAGCACCTCAGTGCAGTTTGTTTTGATCCTAACATGATTTGTCCGTCTGATCTGCCCTGAATAATGCCAATAACAAGACATTGAGTCTTAAACTTTAAACATTAAACTAACATGTTAGGATTTAACAGCAACCCCATGACCTTTAGGACAGACATTTATATCTAGAACTGTTCAAAACAGGGTTGGAAATCAGCACTTGTCACACGGGTGAATTTGCTCAACCTACCGACCACAGTGTCAGTGCGAGGGTCACAATGACACTCTATATGCTGGAATATAGAGGCTTTGCTTGGTGACACTTGCGATTAACAGAGCATTTCTTTCACAGCGGGTCAACCAGCCTCAGGTGTGTTTAAACTGATGCCTCGCTGTCTCAAGTCCAAGATGACAAAAAGAAGAGCGCTGTGAATCAATATTTAACGGATGTAGTCTGGATCCGACATATAGCGTTTGAGGGCTGTTGTTAGAGGGGTAGTGGCCTAATACAAGATAGGGCTTTTTAGTTTTTAATAAAATACACCTAGGCTGACTACTTTTGTAAAACTGTTTAAGGAAAATTTAAATGCTCACATGAATTGATTAACTCGTTATCCAAAACACTTTAACCAATTATTTATTTATAACAAAATTACATCGAATTACAGCAAATGTCAATTAAGCATTTGAATATTGTTTTTATTTTTAATACTCAAATCATATCTGATTTCCAAATTCCGTTCCTGCAGCCCAAGTACACCCACTTATTTTTTAGTCTGCATAGAGTATACTCACTTCCAAATCCCCTCTGAATCACACCATTTATTGATTGACAATATTCAGTAATATGCTGCAATCATTTTTTTTCTAAGGCTGGTGAAGGGATGATCCTCCCTACTGCCTAAAAATGTAAGACTAGTAGATTTTTGAATCCACCAGTCACAGGGGCACGTAGGCAAAAAAAAAATCACCAACCGTGGTATAAAACAAAGTCCTTCATGCTCGTGACAAACAGGAAACAATACGGGAGAAACTCAATAGTTAAGATTAAAGATCAGCCGAGGACAAAGTCCCAAAACATATCACAGTGTGTGTGCTGAGAAAAGAGGAGGTACTCCACATTCACAGAGCTGATCCTGCACTGTATCTGATCAGGACAGAACCTGAGTCATAATAATGTTGAATTAAACTCACCCTGTTTCAGACGTGTTTTGTTCTTCTGCTCTGCTGTGGAGTCTGAGCTCTGACTGACAGAACACTTGCAGTGGTTTCTTGGAAACCCGATCAGCTCAGAGTTTCTCCTCCCCTTCTTGTTATTTCCTGGAGTTGAAACAGTGTTTGCTTTTGTTAGTTCAGGTTTCTTGGTGGTTGTCTCCCTCTGCTGGAATCAAAGTAAAAAGCAATAATCCAAGCTAACTAGGTTTAGAAAGTGAGCTGTGATCATCTTGAACAATAGTTGTGGTTTTAGACCGTGTGTCCTTGTCCAATGTCCTTCTCTTACCTCTTCAAATCTTAAAACTCAGCCCCTCAGCTGCTTTGTTGTTGGGTTTGATCACTTTGTTTCTATGGCAACAATAAGGCTCATTAAATCCCAGTGACAGTTTGGTCTGTGTAGGGAACATCAGCCCCACAGGTCCGAATTAACTTTTCACTCACCGGTCAAGGTGGCAGGTAGTAAAAAAAAATAACCGGCCAAATATATTTTTTACCATCCAAAATGACAAATTGTGTTTTTGTGTCCCATACACATCTGTTACAGTACATTTAATTGAGTAGGGATTATGATCTGTTTAATCAATAACTTGGGAAACACTGAATCACATTTTAATCAGAGACAGAGATCACTGACAACAGTTTAATTAGAAAGAGGATAAATATTGTTCCTCACAATATTTCAGTCAGTTGGTCCGCCATCTTCTCAGCAGCCTTGGTTAATGCTAACATTAGCTGTGTTTCATCCTGCTGGCTAGCTTCACTTACAACCAGTCGTATAAGTTTAAATGTTATTAAATACTAATTTAATAAAATCGCAGCGCACTCACACGTTTCTTCTGTCCTTATCTCACCGAAAAGTTTGGAAATGTTCAGTTCTTGTGCCATTTTGCCTCCAATCACTCATCAGCTTCAAGTGCCGCCAATTGTGTCTAGTTCAATAACGTCGGAGAAAAGAGTATCTCAAAGCTCGCTCCTTTTTCTCCTCTAAAAATAATGGACGGGACAAGGTCCCCGGTCTAATGAAGCTTTTATTTTTAGAGCTCCCCCTACTGACTGGCTGCAGTATAGGTCATAAACCCCGCCTCCTCAATGATAACAGACGGGATGTAGGTCAAACTGTAAAGCTAAAATACTCGTCACATAATTTTTTTCCAAACCTAAACTCTGCTGTGATCATTAGTTATTATCACCCTACATTGTGTTCAAGTGCTCATTTTTCTGTGAAGTTTGTTTTAAATAAGTTATTTGAGGTTGAAAAACGGGATTTTACGTTATATTTGACGATGATTGACAGCCGCGGATCTTGCGTAGCTCTCTTTGTGAATAGCAAAAGTTACGTAGTGAAGGAAAGCCGAGACGCCATTGAATTTTTCCGTTCAGTTTTTTCGTCTTTTTTGAGTTGGAAAATGAGTTGTTCTGCAGTAAACTGTTCTAACCGACCTGTGGGAGATAAGGGATCTTTGCAGTTTTTTCGGTAAGTAAAAAAGTGTTATTCATGTGTCATTAGTTAAAGTCGTTATCTAGCTAGCTAACACATAAGCAGTCTAAGGTTAGCTGAAATGTTGTAAAGCTAGGTTACTTATCCGGCATGATTTATCTTTTTATTTTATTTTATGAAATGAGCAAACCTAATAACTGACATGCTATGTTTCTTGATATTGTTAAGTCGTTATTGTGAATGAAATTGTATTTAAAACCAAGAATCGTAATATAAAATCCGCTCATAGATGCGGTTCATTGACTGTACAGTTATTTTACAGCAAAAATAAAAACATCTGGTAAGGTCTCGAAAGTATCGAGGGCAAAAACAAAGTCACGTAATTGTAATCTGGCCTGCATCATTACTAATGTGTACATGTTTACAGTCTGAGTGATAAGTGGGCTAAACCGAGAGGAACAGGTTTTACTTTCACCGTGCAGGCTGAAATTCATAGGACTATATACGAGGGTAGAATATTTCTCTATGTATCCAGATAAAACTAAAGGTAAAATCTGATTTAATATAACTGTTACTGATTTAAGAGACTAACCGAAACGTGAACACAAACATCAACAACCTGCGGTGGTGTAATGTAATATTAACCGAGCATCATGCTGCTTAAACTGATAAATATTCTGCATTGTCTTCCACACACACCAATTCAACAGTCACAAGTTGATCAAATTGTAAATTTAATGACACTCATTCAGAAATTGTTCTAAAAACTGACCAAACCTGACAAACATTGAGGTGATTGTGACTGTATCTGTATTTAACACCTTTGAAAGGAAGGTGTTAATGCAGGAGACCAGTGTTACACACAACATGCTGCTGTTATTGTAGTTAGGAGGAGACATGGGCACAATAAAAGAAGACATAAAGATCGCGTTTTTCCCCACACATGTTAATATGTTTTAAATGTCATGCATTTATTTTTGATTTCGCTTCAATAATCATTAAGGAAGAGAAACACCATGATTAAACTACAGGCTATTGTTGCCTTTTTATAGTCAAAGAAAACTGAACATTCACATCCTGTGAATTCAAAACAATTTCAACATTGATATTTATTTCTTCCTATTTCCCTCTTTTCACCAACAGTATATTTTAAACTGGGGATTTCCTTTTTCTCAGGCTGTGCGTCTCTCCTCCAGCTCGCCCCCTGCAGTGCGCTCCTCTCCATAATGCTCTCGTCTCCTCCCTCTAAAGCTGCTGATACTCTGTAGGAGGCTTTGATTGGGGCACCTCACCAATAAAATACTATTTTATATTTTATAAGCAGTTTGCCACCACAATGCACTGTTACTCTCCAAAGGCATATGAGTATGTGCGTGACAACTTTAACAAAGCTTTACCACACAGTCACACCATCCGCACAGCTGATCCAGGATTTACTGTAGCATCTTTTACAGCACTAAAAGGTCATGTACAGGCCAACAGAGACAAGGGAAAAGAAACTTTTTGAGGAATTACAGCTAAAAAAGATTCTACTTTGCATACAGTACATCCTCTGATAAATAAAGTGAAGTACTTTGATTGCATTTCTGTGGTGTTCCTGTAGGTGACCATGATGCAGCCAGACTGAAGCAGCAGGTTGTGAAGGTGGACACCATCATCTTGTCTTTGCAGTGTTGATTCTGAAGAGAACGCCTTCACATAGGACTCAAAGGTAAAATGATCTCTCATATGATTGGACCGTGTTATTGTAACCGCTATTGGCATCAAAGTAATTTTAGTAACAATTTATAATCCTTCCTAAAATGTAAGGAAGACTAGCAGAAGATTTTAACAGCCTCTATGGTTCTGCAAGAAGTTCATGTTTAAATTGTTCTTCTCTCTGTCTTCAAGGAAATCAATGCTCAAAGGAAACAGCAGTCCAGACTCTGATTCCAGCTCCGGTGAGGTTCAGCACACAAACTGGCTGTCTGATTATATGAGAATATTTAACATTAGTTTAATTTATCAGGCTGGCCCATGTGATGACAGTTTACAATAATCTTCAATAGAAAGTGGCAGGAACACTTTTGTCTTTAAACATAAATTCAGAAAGCTGATCATATTATTGAATTCATGTCTTATTATATATTTTGTTTTTCCTCTTTAATAGTTCTCCTGTCTTTAAAGTAAACTTTAGAAGCTGAAGTTTAGCAGAACCTGAGGACAGATCTGATTTCAGGTCTGAGACATAAACATCACAGTAAAATTCATTATACTTTACATTTAACTCCATGATTGTTTTTCTCTATTACAGAAGATTCCCTCAGATTCAGATCCATCAGCAACCCCTGACAACATGGAGGACTCGTCCCCTGAGCGTTTCCTGTCCTCTCTCGATGGACTTCTTCTCTTCAGTTATTCAGTAACTCTTGAAAACAGCAGCACAACATGCCAGACTGTTTGACAAGTCTGTGATTGAATAAATTGAAATGGAATCTCATACGTATCTTGCTATGCTTATTGGCTTTAAATGTTTAATATTAAATAAGTTTGAAGGCCATTTATCTCAGATGAGACCAGCTGAGCTCGTCTGTTAGCTTTGCTGTTGTCTTAGCTGTTGTTGGTCAAGAAGAAATTAATGTCAGTTCAAGGCCTTTTCAAATGTGAGCTATAAACTTAACTGCTAAATGATTTTACTGTGACCAACACTTTGTTGTGCTCCAGTTAATCAGAGACAGTCATGTCAGATTTAAAAAAAGTTTATTTAAACATTTTATGAAAAGAAATCTTCAATAAACAACCCCTGGCTTCATTAACCATGTGGAAAATAAGTATGGGAGACAATCAGGTCGAACTGCTGGGACATAGGAGAAAGTATAAAAAATAATTTAACAAAGGAATCCAAACAAAAATCAAATAAAGTATAGAGATCCTGGATGATTGTTTGACTGTTAAAATATGATGGAGAAGCAAATCCAACACAACCCTCCAGCAGCTGGCCTTTCAAACACAGGGCAACATCATGTTAAGAAAAATAAATTAAATATTGACCTGGATCTGTGTGTTTTATCTGAGGATGACTATGGTAGCCTTCTCACTGTTCACTGTCACAGAGCACCAGACTCTGTCCACCTTCTTCAGACGTCGATCAGCTCCTCTGGGTGATGGCAGAGAGGACTCTTCATCTGGGAGAGCTGCTGGTGTAAGGTCATTTCTACCACAGTGGATGAGCAGGGCATCTGGCACAGGTGAAAAAAGGAGGAGGTTCCTTCAAACTAAGCGACCCCTGCCTGACCTCTGTAACAGGTGTACAGATGAAGGTTGAAATGAGTCATTTTTAGGTTCTGTTGATTGTAAAATGGAAAAGAAAACATCATCTTTCTATTTAACATTTAGCTGGTGTATGACTCAGTGTGATTTTTATTTTTAGAAGACTGTATTGTTAACAATAGCTTGTTTTGACAATCCTCTTATGAAACTTAAAAACAATCATAGGATATAAACTTTTAACAGATGATTTTAACTTACACTTCACCTCTGTGGAAGATGTCAGACCAGCTGCTTTTATCTCTTCTTTGTCTAAATGAAAATACAAAAAACAATTGATTTACTGTTCATTTAAATATATTAGAAAAGCAGACATGAATCACATTGCAGACTATCAGTTTGTAACAAAATACAACATATCTTACCACCTGTAGCCTACGGTCTGTGGTGCTAACCTAGCTTAAATATAGCTTAAATATAGAACGATTTCGTTAAAAACAGAGGACCCAGCAGCCCACGTATTTTCAGTACTGATCAAAATAGCGGGATTTTTAAAAACACAGTGTTTAAATATTAGACTTTGAATACGGTGGTTTGTTGTACTTACACATTTTTTCATCGTAGACCGGCAGAGCGGTTTCAGCGTAGCTGGTTCTGCGTAAGTCATCAGGGCAGTACGCTAAGTGGGCGGGGCGTGTTACCAGGGCTCCTGCCCCCGGACCCTACTGCGCAGACTCTGGCTCCAGATGACGTCAAAATCGCAAGATGGAAGCGCCCCTAAGCGGCGTAATTTGGCTTCAAGAACGTTGAGTGGGAACAGCTACAGGGCGCGCCCACTGATGTAATACCGTTTAGTCAAGCCAGCCGCTCCTTGAAGTGAGCCGCCCCTACATTTGAAGTGCTCACGTATTCTGATCTTTATGGTAAATGCTCCGGACTCCAGAGCGAGCAGGAGGAACAAACAGAGAGAGCGATGACGTCAAGTGCTAAATGTCTAGGTCTTACCATAAAACTGACTATGAGATACAAGTGTATGAAACAGGAGTAAACAGAATACTGTGCAGGGAATAGCTTCGGAGGTCGGGGAATTTAGTGTGAGAATAATTCTGCGAGTCTGCGGTAACTTCCGTTTTTCAAAATAAGGTGTTCACAATTTAAATAAAAACCCAACAGTTTTCTTGGAGAAAACAATAATTATATATATTTTCTTACGTAAGTACACTACACAATGATTCTGATATGGTTGGACTAAGTACTTTTTAGACTAAATGCACAGGTACTATGAAGTACTTTTACTGTGTACGTTTTGAGAAAACCATTGACAACGTCCTTTATAAATCACTATAATGAGCCTTTTTTTCTGACTTTGACGTCTTGTAAAAATATTTTCTTCCATAAGTACACCATCACGCATTGCCTGTCTTCAGCGTCAAATGTACACGCCTGTGAGCTGTGCCATACCAGCAGGGGGCGATAATTTACTCAATGCCAACATCCATCGCGGACAAAAGAGAAGCGTTTCAGTGTATTCCAAACCTCCTTCCTGTCAGGTAAGAGTAATTACCCGGGATTATTATTTATTATTAACTTATTATTAACCTTAGTTTGAAATATTTGAGGTTGTGGCATTTCATCAATTCCATTACGTATTTGTCTATGATGTCAACCTCCTGGTCACATTTTAGTTTGGCTGCTTCTACAACAACTGGTTACCTCAGTTTATCTTCGCCTACCCGTACATATAAAGTCACAAAGAAGGTCACTTTGAAACCAGAACGATCTGACTCAGATGTACCAGGGGTCTCCAACCTTTCTTCATCTGAGAGCTACTTTCACAAAATGAAAGTGAACTACATCACATCGCTTGCATTTATTTACACACAGTTTTTCTCTGGTGAGATCGAATCCAGCTCGACGCGATCATGCATACATTGTATTTTATTTTCAAGTGTCGTGTATAGTGCCCACTTATACAATCAGAAGTGGCCGTGGACATTTACATTTGAAAAGCATGGCAATACAAATGTTCAGGTAGCTTTTCTAAGATCAACTCAGCAGTCTCCTGTCATGTGAATCAAACAGTGGCTCAGTGTTTGCAGTTATTTTGAAATAGATTGTCACTGTTTCAAGTATTTATTTGTCAAAATGGGTAGTGGTGTAGAGGTCTGTTATGTTGTGGTCCGTAAGGCTGTAGCCTCGAGAAAAAACCTTTATAGGCCTATGTGCGGGTATTTGAAGACAAACCGAGGTAACCAGTTGTTGTAGAAGCAGCCAAACTGAAATGTGACCAGGAGGCGGACATCATAAACAAATACGTAATGGATTTGATGTAATACCATTGTTCAGGTGGCGCAGGCTGTAAGGCAGGGCACAGGTGAGTTGGGGTTAATTTAGTTTTAGTGAGATCGAATCCAGCTCGGCGCGATCATGAACACGGATTATATTTTCTTTATTTTGTATTTTTCTTAGGTGGCTGGGATGTAGTGCTCACTCAATTTGCCGCAGTAGATTTAAAATGCTACTTGAAATCAGTGCAATTATGATCAGACAGGCATTCTCCAGGTCAGCTACGTTCCCTCTCCAAAGTCGGAAACATCTGCTGTCGGGTCCGTTCGTTAACCAGACAATGTGGGAACCAGACAACATACAACACCGTGTCAACTGGTGCTCTTCGCGGTAACCGCAGCTGATAAACACGAAAGGTTTCCACGCAAATGCCTCAAAATGCACTCTTCAGATACGTCTGTAAATGAATGATTTAACAAAAGAGGCTCTATCCGTTTCAGGGTCCGTTGTGAGCAGGACACCAACAGACGTGTTCGGCTGAAAGTCTCCAGTTAACAGTTAACACCTGTCAGGCCATTTCTGTTTTAGCTTTTTATCTTTTGTACACAAAGGGCCATTTAATAAATCCTAAGTTTTGTCAGGCCTCCCTCTGACATGAGACAGGGGAAGTATTTTGTCTATGGTCAGTATGGGAGGACTATTGAATAACTGGTTATATCAGTAAATGACATTGATGATTCTGACATTTGTCTCCAGATTAGTAACCTACGGCTTCTATATATCCCAACGTTCTATATATCCTAACACCACAGCCAGTGGGAGCTGTATTTTCACTGGCTTCTATTTGTGATGTGGCTTTGATTTGATCTTGTTGACCAGTTTAGTAGTTTATTCCCTATTTTGGTAACATTCATGCAGTTTACATGCTAAATGGACTAAATACATAATCCTTTAGGAAGTTGTTTTCATTACATGTCACAGTTATCTTCCCAATGACGTTACAGCTCAGGATTTTATAATTTGAGAAATCCTGGAAATTTTGCTGTGGATGAAATAACCTTTTTTGTGTTCTTCTTGTCCTACAGACTCAGTCCATCCCTGTACCCTTATCACCTGTCCATACCCCTTTATTACCTCAAACCAACAGCTCTTTTAAGAGCCATTACACCCACTGCTACAGCACCACACATAGACATATTTACTCCCACCCACACTCATCCATTTTCACTCTTACTTATCACTCAATCACCCATATTTATATAAACACACTCTCTCTCTCTATCGCTCTCTCTCTCTGTCTCTGTCTCTGTCTCTCTCTCTCTCTCTCTCTCTCTAAGTATTTCGCCTCTTGATCTATCTCTCCCCTTGGCTGATCTTCCTGAAGCCTTGCAAACTTCTAGTAAATTTTGCTTTTTTTTTTAATAAAGTTATTATTATTATTTTTTTTACATAATCTCCTTGTCTGTATGTGTCTGTCTCTTGCTCTCTCTCACCGTATCTCTGATAGAAATGCCAGGCCATGGCTCAACTGAAAGAAAGTGTGGGGTGAATGGATTTATTGATCCGCGCGTCAGTGAAAGTGATATGCACGGTTTGACCCAAAAACAACCCGATGCCTTGTCTTAGTGAGCTCATTAAGAGGAAGTCTTTCGTTGTTATTTTAACAACGACATGTAAGCAATGCTCCCTTAAAAGAGAAGTACATGTGTAAAGGGTTTGCACATTAAAATTCAACTTATTGTAGAGTATAGAAGTAATAAATATGTTTAATGTCATGAAGAAAATCATAGAATATATTTAATATGACTTTGTGAACAACAGCAGATGATGTGATTCAAAATAAAAAAAATACCAAGACTCATATAACATCCCTCTCAATCATAACCTAAGCACAAACATGTAATGAATTCGACATGACTCTTTTTCAACTACTGTGTGGCTCCAACTAAGCCGGGGGACAGTTAGCAAGCATGTCAGGGCCAGGACGTGTTTGTGCTTAGCCTACCTAGTGCTAATTCTTTCCCGTGTTAATATTAGTGTTCATTTAGTTTCCTGTTAGTTACAAGGTTTGCTAACTGTTGCTCTCTGCACGAGGAGGAAAATTTGATGTCCGTGCTTCACAATAAAAGCATCGTAGTATTTTTATAGGAGAATGATTGTATGACTGTTAAGCCTACGATAGCCTTTCTGTGTTTAATACTTTAGGTTAAAGAGACATGTAGCCTACCTTTATTTATTTACATATTATAACCTATTACATTACTGTATAGTGTTTTGTATGTTATAGAGGTAAGATGAATGTTCCTTAAGTATATATTCTGCTATTCTTTTTCTTATAGAAAACCACAACAAGACCCAATACTCTGTCATATTGACTGGCCACTGAGATGACTGTTTAAACAGCCATTCTACCAATTCTGCACTCTTGTTATTCATATTCTGGAATAAGGCCTGAAGTGGTGTTCTGGCCGACACACCTGAGTGAATCCAGTGGAAAGCACCAGACTAGTGTCCCAACTGAGTTTAGTTTTATTATCTTCATTACAGAAGGCCTTGCTGGAGTGTCTGGGATACACCAAGGACCATGGCTGGAGCAAAGACCTCGAAGTGGGGATATATTTATACTGGCTGGCCAGTGCCACCTCGTATCGGGTGGTGTCAGGAGCCTTTGATGTCCCCATCCCCATGGTTCATGATGTTGTGCATCGAGTCGCTGGAAGTATTATCAGCATCATGAAGAGGGTGGTTCATCTTTCATTCCTTCTGCAGAGTGGCTGGCAGCATTGATGGGACACACATTAGAATCAAGCCACCTGCAGCAAACAAAGAAGACTACCTTAACAGGTAACCTGCATACAAAATACCACTTCATATAAACCTGTTTTTAATCCCATATCAATGTGAGTGGTTATCAATTACATTTTGTGTTCAACAGGAAGCTCTTCCATTCAGCTGCTGGTGGTGTGTGGTCACAAAGGCTGCTTCCTTAATACATATACAGGTAGAAATGAAAGTCAGAAATGTATTAGTACAGTTTACACTGCTTAAGGGATTGTTGATCCAATAAATAATTCAGTCATCATTTACTGACATTAATACCTATGGAAGGTTGGGTTAACTTTAAGTCCAAATAACACTGCAGGACTTTTTCAGGAAAAAGGTGTTGCAGTCATCTCACATACAATTAAAGTGAATGTGGACCAGGACTCACACTTACTGTGTTTTTCACCCAACAACTGCAACGTCATTATGTTCATGTGTGAATTTCTACTTATCTCATGATTGTAAACATTGTAATTACTTTAAAGTATATTGTATGATCACAATTTATGTCACATTTCAGAAGTGTTTGAGACGGGCAGCAACATAATCTGTCCTGTACCATGTCAAGTACAATGACATATTCACAATACATCACCCTTGTTCACAGGACTTCCGGGCTCTGTCCACGATGCCAGGGTCCTGCGGTGGAGTTCTCTGTACGTACACCACCTCTACCCCCCTCATGGCTGGTGTATTGTTGGGGATGGGGGTATCCCTGCCTGGCTGCACCAATCAGCCTGATGACCCCATTCAGGGAGCTGGTGCAAAACCCTGTTCATGCACAATACAACCGGCATCATGCCAAAGCATGGTGCGTGGTGGAAAGGGCGATTGGCATGATGAAGACGTGGTGGAGCAGCATCTTCCTCAAGGCCCTGGAGGTGAGAGACAGCATTAATGTGTAAATCTAAGTACACACTAGTTGAATAAGTGCTGAGCAGTGGCTATTAAATATAAGCAGCAAAGTAATACAGGTATGGACATTCTGAGACAATAATGAAAACAAAAGAGCAGCGTAATGCAAGCTATTCAATCATGTTTACTTTCATTATACAGCTACATTAAACTTGTATATTTTTCCTGTAGATCAAGCCAATCTTTGATCCAGCAGTGGTGTCGACCCGTGTCTTCCTCCACAACCTCTCCATCAACAATGGGAATTTGGTGGAGCCAGAGGTGGAGGAGGGGGCCTTTCATGACCAGGGTGATGACCACCCCAACCACCCTGATGATTAAATGCCAGGGGACAACATGAGGAACAGGCTGGCAGCAGAAGTTTTTGCACTTGTTGGGGTTATCCAAGCACTGGTAGACCATAACTATTAATATAAATATTATCTTTTCCACTACTTTTATTTATGGAGATTTAGGTTTTGATTGTTCACAAATATTATTTTTCATGAGCATGTTCACATTGCATTTTCTGTTAATAAAAGTGCCTGTTTCACATTTTGCCTATTTAGATTTCATTTAGAAGTGACTGTGTTTTAGTAATTTCTGTACAGGGGAGGGAGGAGAGACCACCACTACATCATGGCCTGAAGAGTCAATGGTGACCGGATGTGTTATTGAAGGCCTCCGGCCCAGTGCCTCGTCCATCAGGGCATACCATTTCCAGGATGCAGCGGTGGCCTCTCCTCCCGCCGTGTTCACTCCCGTTTTGGACACACACACACTTGTGTAAAGGCAAAATTAAAGTCATTGCAGGTGATCTAACACCTTTGGAAGGTAGCAGCTTACTTATCCCTACCTTGTATTTTTGTTTGAGGTTGAACAAACAAAAAAAAAACATGACCACTACTGAAACTACAAATAAGATAGGAGAAATTAAAACAAGTCGATAAAAAAAAAATATGTCATAGGGAGATTAGGTGTTGTAAGTGGGGGGGCCAGTCAGGGCCCTGCAAGGCTCAGGGCCAAGATCCAAATCAAGCACTATTGCAAGTGTGTCAAAAATTTGGCTCGGGCAGGACCAAAACGTGTGTGTGATTAGCAGGTGACTGCTTACACCTATTACAACTGTCACTGGTGCCTGGGTAAATCTTCGCCAGCCGAGCGTTTGTGTAGTGCACTCTGAAAAGAACCTTACATTGTAATAAGCCGTGCCAAGCACACATGGAGGACGAATGAACTAGCTTAAGAATTTGAAGGGAATGGAGTTATAAATCACAGAGATGGAACGTCTTTGGTCAGGGTCAAGGGTAAGCAAAGAGTCAATCAGAGACCCGGGCGGGTGGTTGGGGAAGTCAGGGTAGGACAAAGTGCCTGGCTTGAAGAAAACGGAAAAAGTGAAAGTGAGGTAATTCGAGCCTGGCTGCAAGCTCTGTAAAATCAGTAAAAATGTTTTCTTTGTAAAGGTCCTTGACATATAGCAGGCCTTTGTTTCGCCAGATATTAAAAGTAGGGTCGAATAGGGAGGGTGGAAATAGATGGTTTCTAACAATCGGGGCTAAAGTTGAAGGTTCATTTAAACCATAATATTTACGGTATTGTATCCAAATTTTCAGTGAATTGGTAACAACAGGGTTCTGTGAGACTTTATGAATCTTGAGAGAAAGGCGAGGAGGGACTGTAAAGAAAACTTTGAGGACCATAGTTCTATCTGAGCCCATGAGGGACCTGTGTCAGCTCCCCTGTCAAGCCAATGACTAAGTTTGTTAATGTTGCATGCCCAATAATATTGGAAAAGATTGGGTAGTGCGAGACCGCCCAGCTTTTTGGGGAGTTGTAAAACAGCTTTTTTAATAGGGGGTGGCTTATTCAACCACAGAAACGACGATACTGTCTGGTCTAGCTGTTGAAAGAAGGACCTTCTCATAAAAAATGGAATATGTTGGAACAAATAGAGGAATTTAGGTAGAATCACCATCTTTACCAGGTTAACTCTGCCAGTTAAGGAGAGAGGGAGAGAGGACCAGCGAGTCATATCAAGCTTACACTTATCAATAAGAGGCCGAAAATTTTTGTTGAAAAAGTCCTCAAAAGAAGCAGTGACAAGTACGCCTAAATATCGAAACCCCTCTGAAACGACTCTAAATGGGAAAGAGCACGATGGCATCCTCCTAGCCAGGAGGTTGATAGGGAGAAGTTCATTTTTATTAAAATTTAATTTATAACCAGGATATCTGCCGAACTGGGTTAAAATGTCTGTAATAACAGGGATGGACGAAGCTGGGTTTGACACAAATAATAGCAGATCATCCGCGTACAGGGACAACTTGTGGGTGACATTGTTCCTGGTGATGCCCTCGACTCTCCCCTCCCCCCCGAAGCCAGATGGCCAACGGCTCGATAGCGAGAGCAAATAGGAGGGGGGAGAGGGGGCATCCCTGTCTCGTGCCCCGGCCAAGGGTGAAGGACGGCGACCTTACACCGTTTGTTAAGATATGGGCAGTTGGGGAGTCATTAAGCAATCTAATCCATGCAATAAAGTCAGAGCTGAAACCAAATTTTGACAGGACGTAGTACAAATACTCCCACTCAACCCTGTCAAATGCTTTCTCAGCGTCTAAAGAAACTACCACCTCAGGTACCACAGGGTTGGGGGAGCCAATAATGTTGAGGAGTCGTAGATAAGTGAACTTACCTAGCAGCTAAGCTCACTTAAGAACAATAATAACTTAACGTCCACTTACTCAAATCCCTTTTGGGCTGCATTCCTGTGGCCACTGAACAGGCTTTCGTTGGCGGTTCGCCAACAGATAAGGGCCTCTGTGTCCTGTTCTGTCCCTTAATTAATTTAATAAATATACGTTACTTTGGTGTAATAGTAAAGTTGCCTGTGTATATATGGTGACGGCATGCTAGCGTTGCCGTCGTTGTGATATTTAGCATTACGTTAGCAGGCATAACTTCATTACACGCCAGCATGACGTTCGTTAAGGGGCCAAATTATAATGTTAGGCAAATAAAAATTCTATGTTATTATAATAAAACAAAAGCAAATGATGACAAATGTTGTCTGGTAATTGGTACTTACATTTATATTCACTCTCCGCCGCCATTGAAATACTGCGCTCCGCCATTTCTCTGACTGTAAACTTTGACCTGGCGCTTTGCATTCTGGGAGACAGTACGCAAGGTAGACTGGGCCGATGCATACTGTATATTTTTCCCGAATCAGTATGACATCCGGGTATTTTTGGCATACTGCGGATCTCGCATTTGTTCGCATACTGCATACTGCATTTTGACCAAATCAATACGTACTAGTAGTATAGTACGCGGTTTTGAAAACAGCCTCCGTGTGTTGACTAAGCATGGTTGCCCTTTAAAGTTTTAAACCATCTGCAAACTCTTTCATGGTTTTAAAATGTACTAAATCTGTGCTTGGAGTAAATAGTTATGCTCTATCAGTGATGATGAACTGATCAGAACTTGTAACTTTAAGTTGTTGACCATATTTGGAAAGATGATCAAATCTCTTCTAAAAAGAATCAGCACGCTGTTTAAGGTTATTATTATAGTGTCCATGTAGTAGTTTTGTAGTACTTCTTCAAAGACCACTTTGAAGGTATCTGTCTCGTCTCACAATCGAAAGTATTCTGAGTGATTACAAAAAAATGCCCCTTTCCAAAAGAAGAAATAACTTCAATTTATTTGTTGTGTAGTTGGATTTTTAGCCCCCAGTTACAGCCAGGACTACCCAGTGTTGTGGTCTAAATGAGTGACACACCCGCTGCACACAAGATGATGTTTTTTCTGTGATACTTATGGTCTTGGTCTTGTGTTGGTCTCGCCCTGCCTTGGTCTGGATCTCTAAATATCTTGTTCTTGTGTCGGTCTCGGAACTCTCTAGTGGGTATGTCTGGGTTAGTGTGGTATTGAATACAACACTACTATGTACACATGTTTTTGTTCAGTTAATGTATCGTAGAAATTTAATATGCAAGTGGGGTTTCCCTCTTTTTGCTGTTCTTTGGGGGAGTAAATTTGTAATTTCCTCAGCCACCTTAACAATGCTTTGGAGACAGAAAATAAACGACTTACATTGATGAGGTGGACAAAAACATAACTCCATATAAATGACAATCTTGGTATGAATCTGTTTTGTGTAAATAAGCCATATAAGGAAATATATAGCAGTGTGCTTACAGCTAGAGTAAGGTCCTGGAAGTGGCCAAAAAAGTAGTTAATGTAGGTTTAAGGGAAGAAAAAAAATTAACAAGCTTAACTGCAAAGTTTGAATGCACACATTTCCATAGTTCCTGTTCTACACTTTTACAGTGTAAAAATCAAATTCTGTTATTTGTTTTCTCATAGGCAAACTTGTTGTGTATCCTGAACCATGGCAGGGTGCAAATGGGAACCAACAAGAGGGATATGGCTATGGAAATCAATGCCCCCTTCAGTATGTCCAGGCTCTGCGGCAGACCAATAGAAAACCCAATTTCAATGACCAGGTTCAGGTCAGAACCTTGAGAAAGCCTGAGGAAAATTCTTTGATGGTTCGTAGCCTTGCCCAGACCCAAAATAAACCAGATTTGTATCAGCCATGGTCTGAAGTTGCCACCAAATGGAGACAGGAAATGTCACCATCCCTGTACTCACGACAAAGATATTATCCTGTTTCCAAGTCCAGAAGCTTTGAATTGAACCTTAAAATTCCTTTTGCCAAATTCCCAGGTCTTCTCAAAGGAAACACTTCAACCACTAAAGTGTCTGATTTGGACCGTAAAGTGAAAGGTGGTGCCAATGACTATTTTCAATTATACAGGCCAACCAGTGTTCAGATCCAAAGCAGTTTCAACAGCCCTTCTGCTTTGGATGGTTCTTCAGATAAAAGTCCCACCAAAAATGACAATGAAGGACCGGAAACTCTTGAAGTTGTCAAGCCAACCTTTCATTTGAGCTTATCTGGTCCTAAACCCCCTCCTACTCCATCTCCAGCACCATCAAGGAGCTATGTTTATTTTCCCGGAAACCTACTGATACCAGCAGGAAATGCTTTTACTCATGACACTACTAGGAAGCCTGCAAATCAACAGTCAGAATGTGTTCTCTTAAATTCTGCTGGTTCTGTCCAGCAGCGAACAGAACACCAACCTGATGAGCCATTTTATACAAAACCAGCTGATGGCAAACTGGTTACCCTTCCGCCTGGGCATGCTAGTCAAGATACTTCATGAAGTGATCCAATCAGCCAGCCAGCTCTGCAAACTTAAGAGCAACCCCTACTTCGATCTGATAATGTTTACAATGGATATTACAGTTCCCAAATGAGTCCTGTAAATGACTACTTTGGAAATAGTGACTGTCACCTGACACAACAAATGTCCCTCTGTCTCCTTTGCAATATGAAAGTGTTTCAAGTGGACATTATAATGCTGGTCAGATCAAACCAAATGGCAACAACTATGGCCAACTTCAAACCATGCAATCAGTCAGTCCTCAACTTAACTTCCCTCCCGAACAGTACGGTGACAGCCAGTTTGTGCAATCGATTAGTCACGAACAGAACGTACAGACTGAACCACATCTGAGTCCGATTAGCCCTTGATCTCCAACCACTGATCAATCCCGTTTTGAAATTCCTTCATATGGTTATTATAACCAAGAGTCTACTACCAGTGATTATTATGGAAGAGACAATGTGGAGCAAATGGGGCAAACAGATTTCTCTTATCAGTACAGCAGAGATCAAAGTGGACAAAATGTGATGCCTAATCATCCCACTTCTTCAGATTCTACATCAAATTTCCAGGGCCTTTTGAATTATCAAACCCAAGGAGAAATTCCAGATCAGTATGATGGCACAGAGCAACTGAATGGAAAACCCAAATACACAACTCCTTATTCATATGGATGACGATGCGCAACAAGGTGATGGACAGCTCCAACAGTTAACAATTATTCTCCTGATGGCTATCCAACATCCTTCATGCCTATTTACAGCCAGACTTCTGGCATGGACAGCGGACCAATATGCATATCAGCCTCAAGAACAAATGGAAACTGAGCAAATACAAACTCCTGAATCTTTTCCTGAACAGGCTAACTATGCGCAAATGTGGGCTCTGTTCAAACAAACTTTGTCCACCAACAATGGTCAGAACCAACCTTCCACACCATGCAAGATGTTTTTTATCCCAATAATATTCTATTGACTATTATGAACTTCAGCATCCAGCCCAACAAAGCACAGAGTGCAAATATCCTTTTACTGAAGGTTCAATACAGCAGTTTAATGCATATGGCCTCAATCATTACACCAACCCTTTACCATCTGCTGTCCCCTGATCAGTACTGAGTTCAGCTCTTTGAAATTGAATCATCCATTACATGACTACACAATGCAATCCATTCCTGGCTGTATCAGGAATACTCAAAATCCTAAAGCTGCTTCCTTCCAAGTTTGAGCCAGTCTGTCTTAGCAGCCGACCATAACATTTTCTGCCCAATATGTTCACCAGTGATACCATTAAGAGGGATAGCGCTTAGTCAATGCAAGGCCACAAGCATGAACCCATACAAGAGTCAGCAAAATCATTAATTTGGATTGAAGAAGTTGAGATGTCTGCATGCACAGCAGACCAGCAACAGGCAAAGGGAACATAGGTGGGTTTATTTTGACCTATTTAATATGGGGACTCTCAACACATCCACATCTGTTTACTCAAAATATTATAATGGTGCCTTTCTAATGTTGTTTTCTTCCCTACAGAGAGCTGAATCAATAAATGTAAATGTTTCATTGAGTGCCCAAGCCCTATCCTGAATGACTCTTTAATGAATGGCTTCTGGACTCAGAAAATTTAAATAAATGGTTGAATGTTTTGGAAAACACATATTCTCTCTCTTGCTTTATTTCTGCAAGGTTACTGTGTTTTACCTTCTCTGATTTATCATGGGTTTAAGACAGGAAACATGACAAATTGCTACACAGCATGGTCTATCCAAAGGTCAACTCACTGACAAGCCCATTGTACTTAATGGTCAATTATTTTTTATTTTTTCAATCCCCTCGTCCTTATATGATACGACACCTCAAAAAGGAAAAAGTTTCTGTGTTGACTTACTGAATAGAGTGGGCTTATGGTCATGCTACAGTGTACAGTCTAATCTGGCATCCTCTCATGAATAAAGTGCTTGTTCAAAAGAATCCTTGATCAAAGAAGCTCCTGATGTGACAGTCTCATGAGTGAGGTGTATCACTTCAAATGGTTTAACACAAATTGCCAGTTGGATTTGTGGATTTCCTTGTTGTTGATATGTTTGATGATGAAGAATTTTGCCGTTGAGACTGACTTGCTTTCAAAGAGTATAATTTTATTTAAGCAAGAAACAGATTCATTGGTCATGTCTGACCAGGAGGATCAAGAAGCAAAATAATGATCTCTCGCGAACATACAGAGAAAATCGCCTATATGCATCTAAACATCTGCTTTTCGTCATGGGTCATAAAAAACATAATGTAACACATCCATATTTGGCAATACTATTAGACAACACCTCAAAGTAAACATTCAACTTGAGGGGACTCCTAAATCTCCTTCAGATACAAACTCTCTCCAGATGTATACGTTATAAACTTAAAGGAGCAGTATATTATCTCTGTCCTAATGATCTCTCGCGAACATACAGAGAAAATCGCCTATATGCATCTAAACATCTGCTTTTCGTCATGGGTCATAAAAAACATTTCGTCATGTAACACATCCATAATGGCAATACTATTAGATATTTGGCAACACCTCAAAGTAAACATTCAACTTGAGGGGACTCCTAAATCTCCTTCAGATACAAACTCTCTCCAGATGTATACGTTATAAACTTAAAGGAGCAGTATATTATCTCTGTCCTAGTTACGTCAGACACTTCATAGTCCCCCCTAGCGAGACTATAGTCTCGCTAACGAGAAAAATGATACAATTATGATGTTAATTAGCCTCATAAGAATCACTTCTGCCATGCTTAACCTTAGCAATATAGTAAAATTTTTATTTGTGGAGTGTGAGAGCGAAAAACCCATCAGGCAACTATCTTTCTTTATTATCCATCAAACAATCTAGACAGGAAAACTCTCTCACGGTCCCTCTGCACCAGGCAACCACCTATGGTACTCCAAACCAATTAAAAAGAAAAGGGTTATGAAAACTTTATAGGATGATTTATAAATGCATACATTTAAAACCTCAGAAATAAAATCTAAAAATTGTCCAAAGTCAGGCTGGTCGACCCATAGCACCTTCCAATGGACCTTTCCCTACCTAACACCACTTTCCCTAAGGATCGATAAAGAAAGAAAACACCTGAGGTCCCAATATATGCATTTTATACAGTTCCAGAAAACTCCAATACTAATCCAAAGTAATATGTCTTGCTAAAAATATCTACTATAGAGTAAAACATACATAATATTTATCAATAATACAAGTTACATTGTAATAAAGAAAATCCAATACTATAAAAATACGTATATATCAAACTGTTGCTTTTTAGCAGCATCAGCTTCTACTGTAATAAAACCTCAATGATTTTTCAATCGAAACCCTCATCATGATGTCTTCATTCACAGGGTCCGCTGTCCATTTCCATCCTCCATTTTCTTAAGTTTGGTTGTTTCAAGTCCATTAAGCTGGAAGGATCTCTGGACAATCAGCCACCCTCACATTGGTCTACCACATATCGTCCTGGGAAGAAAAATCAACAACCAGTATCTTTGCACATACAAAAACATCAAAAATATTCATTTTTGTATCATACTTTAACATTATTCCACTACATGATTAACATATACATAATTAATATGCATGATTAACATATTCAATTCCCCCTTTTATCAATTCACTTCCAGTTCAAAATAATAGTGAGTCAATGATGAATTCAGATATTCAAAATGGATATTTCTCCTACTCGCTCTTGTCCCATCTCTATGACCTCCTCATCTTTGCTCAGGTCATTACCACTCAGTAGCGTCAGAATCTAAAACACTATAGCTCCTACTGGTCCTAATTGTTATTGCAACCAAACATTCACAGACCGAGCATCTTTCCGCTTGGTTAGACAGGCTTCAAGCCACCTTGAAAATCTGTACACCTGCTTATGACATAATCATGGGTTATGTACATTTCTTGTATAAGTCTATTTTTTAATTGCACAGTTTAAGTTTGATTCATCTAGGGGGATTCAGGTGTTTGTTGAAAGAGTTTGTGGATAAAACCGCACTGGCCTTGATCAAGCTGGATTCAGGATCCCTACGCGCTGTTATCTGCAAGCTTCCAGTGTTTGCAAAGTACCCGCCAGGTCTCTCCTCATCTGCCCTTTTGGACTGATCCAGTTCAGACACAATCCATCTGTCTGTCTTCTCTCACACAGCATAGTAAAAACAGAGAAAACAGAAAGAAAACAAAACAAAAGTTTAATCACTCTGAATTCATATAGACAATGCAATATCAATTCAGTAAAATATGCACACATAACTGTCATTTTTATCTGTTGCAAAAGCTGTCTCCCTGCCTGGGGTGTGTGTTTTTTTATTTTTATTTTTTTTATTCCTTCCCTCTTTGTCCCACAGAGAGAAGAAGGAGGAGAGGGGGCTACCTCTCCACTCCCCTTAACAGGAGGAGTAAGCTAATTGGCTTTCTATGTGAGGAAACGCCTCTTGGACCCGCCTCCTAATTTTAGCAAGGCCGTCCAGTATGGAACTGGCTGTCAAAGGGTTAACATCGTGTCCAAACCTAGTGCATTTAATGCACAGACAGGCGCATTTCACTCGGTGTTGTGGGTGCTGTGACACCCACACTTTCACTGAAACATATTTTCATCCCCCACATTTTTTACTAGTGGAGTCATTGAAGAAAACTTATTGGTTAAGTAAGATTTATTAAGTGACAACTAAGCCAATCATAGCTGTTTGATTACAGTTGAAGCACGGTAAAGTTACATTTGCATTTAATCCTCCTGTCACTCATCACTGAGTCAGAGCTCAGAGCTAACACATGGAAACATGCTGCATGTAGCATCCTTCTGAAAGAGAGTAAGTCACCCAAACAGAGGTTTTTAAGATAAATCCACCTCACAAAACAATGTAAGTGTAACATTTTCTTGTTGTTGTTATTTTAGCTGTATTTATTTACTCCTGTAACTTTACGATGTAGCAGAAGTCCCCTTTGCAGTTTTTTAAAAATAAAATCACATTTTATGTGAAGACCGGTAATAAAGAGACTGAGACATAAGGCAATAAGAAAAGCAAAATAAAAGCATCACAAAGAACAGTTTTGAATCTGGTTTTTAGACTAACTGGCTAACTGGCTAACTCGGTTACTCACAATGGATGTTCATTAGTGTCTAATTATCTTTTGTAACTTTGTCTTGTTGTATGATGTTTCAGCTAAACTTAGTTATTGGACATTAAATGAAACATTATGTGTTGATTTCCTAGAGGGTGGTAATATACTAGCATTAGAACACACACACTTTTAAGATCACTGCTCCACCCCTGTGCACAGAGTCTACGCACACACAGAAATCAGCACAGTATCCTCCCAATCAACAGCCAAATACAAAATGTATTCTCTAATAGTCAAAACCAACTTCTACACCTATTTTAAACAAAACTATATGTTCTTTTGAACAGACAAAATTCGCAGCATAATGTGGTCACACACATACGCACAAACAGACAGAAAGAGAAATTCACACTCCACTCAGCCGGCAGTTTGAACTTTATCAGGAGTTTTTCTGTTCTTTTCTCTAATCTTGCTACCTGAATGTGTACAGACTATCCTCTCTGGTCTCTTCACTTATGTTTCACTAATATTTGTATGTCTGATTGTGTATGGTTGATTTTATTACAGCTGTTGGAAAAACCTGTTTACACCAACTCATTGAAATGGTGACCAGAAAACGGTGACTTTGGCCTGTCCTTAAGACTGATGTGTAAATATATTCAGTTTACCTTGAAAGTGTTTCAATGTCAGTTAGACATTGTCGTTAATGGCTGTGTAAACAAATGTCTCAGACCATTGAACAGCTTGAAGCGTACTATGAGCTAACATTACATCTGAGCCAAACCTGAAAGGACACACCAAAGATTGTACATAGGCATTAGAGAGATGCTATGGATAAAGAAAAACAACACAACTATAGAACATTTATGATGTGCCTTCATGTCCGAAAATGACAACAGAGCTTGCTGGGTTTTTCTACAGTGTTTTAAAAAGTTGAGCTTTTATTAATTATAAATCACTTTCAACATTTTAGCCCCAAGATCAAGGGCTTACACAGCTGCAGAGATAAAATACTGGTTCAATCATTTAGCTAGTCTGAAAACTAAAGACGTAGTTCAGAAAAAGAAGTCTTCACCTTTCAGCTGAAATTGTGTTTTAGCTTTATCAAGGTTTTTTTTTATTTTGTTCTTTTCAATTTCAATCTCGGTTTGTTGCTTTTGGGTTGAAGTAAGATTTTGGTCTTTAAATGTAACTAAGGGAAAATGACATTTGCTTTGCTTCAAAAAGATCATTTTAACACAAATGTTTGACTTTTCTGTTGTCTCATTTTTTATTATAATACCAAATAATGATACCCATGTTATACATTTGTTGCAATAATTCATATCTCTTTTATTGCCCTCAAATATCACAGAACTCTAGTAATGAACACTTAAATGAGAAACTCATTTTAATAAAAGGAGATTGTCTGGTGTTATTGCAGTAATGCTCTGCTGTGGGGAAGTTCCTACAATGGATAATGTGATGAATTTGAGGGAGAGATTATCATTTTATCTTAAAGTTGATTGATTGATTGATTGATTGATTAAATTTATTTCAGACATATCAAATAAAAGCAAACATATTAAAAATACAAAACAAAATGAAAAGCACGAAAATACAATGAACAAAAAACAATGTTCAAATTATTTCACATAGTTCATTCTTAGAGGTGCGCTATGGAGATTTAATAGAGAAATTTAAAAGTAGGAGAAGTGAAAAAATTCTATGCTATATTTTCTGAACTGAAAACACAAACTTCACTCAAAGAAAAAATGGGTCCCTGAACACTGTTTAGAACTTCAAAGATACCAGGAGAGTTATGGTTTCACTGTCGCTGGACCCCCACCATAACGTGTAGCATTTCTCTTCAAACTATGCATAGTATAGTAAAGTCAAGGCAAAGGTCTTTTGAAATCAATACCTAGGCGATTACACCTCTCTGCTGTTAACTCTAGATTTGTGTTTGTCCTCGGGCAGCTCAGAGCAAACGGATGCTTTGGTTGACCCTGTGATGTTAAACAGTCATGTCATGCTTACATGCTCCTGTAATGAGTCTTGTTTGACTGTTCACTAAACCTGCTTTCTCTCATGACCTCAGGCTCTTCCTGCTTGGTTAAGGTCATTTATAAAACCAGCCTCCTTCATCCGTCTCAGAATACAGAATGGCTCCATCACCTTGACAGACTGACTAGTGAGGACATATCATCTATATTTACAGAATCTGCACAAAGTGTTTTAGGTAAGCCAGTCCATTCTGCTTTCCTGAATGGAGTCACCAGTTTTCAGTGACGGTGTTCACCTTGCTGCATACAGACCCAGTCTTCCTCTGTCAGTGACAAATAAAAAGGAAACTCCTGGAGGGTTTGAGGAGTCTGGCTGCTACCAGTGTTACGGTGATGGAAGCAGTATTGCTTCCCATGGATCTGCTCAACCTGGATATGAGACTTTGGACGCACCACCACACTATGACTTCTATGCCAACACAGGGGTTTGGGGCCGGCGGAGGCGCTTCAGACCATCTCTGTACGAGCTGCATGCAAACTTTGAGGTGAAGAATCTCCTGTTCTATCAGCTCATATCATTATCTATTTCATACAACCAGACACATGCAGATCTCACTGTGTTTTTACTTAAAAAGTGAATGCAAGAAATTCAGCAGTTAATCCGTCTAAATGACTCCTCCAGCTTTTATTTTCTATCCCTCTTTGACTTGGAGTTGATCTAAGTCCTTTGGGTTCTGTCTTAAAACCTGCTGGCTTTTAGAAGTTTGTATACGTTTTGTTGAATTTCTATTTATTTAAGGTGTACATATGAATTAGGTAGCACAACTGCAGTCCTCGTCCTGCTGCCACAGTACTGTTTGTGTGTCTATTTTTGTAATTTTCCTTTTACACATCCATTTCTACATAAAAATTTGAATTACTTTACACGGTCTGAACTTGAATTACTGTCCAACAATAGCTGAAGGCACCATTCACAAATCGCCATGAGGCTCAAATGTAATGAGTCATATTTCTGCTGAAATGTGCGCTCACTTTCATGTCAACCAAATCTCTCAAAATAATTGAACTCAACTGACATGAATTTTAACTCATATTGGTCCAAAAAGGGAAAACAAAATGAAAACTGCTCTGTCTCTGGTTGAGTTACTCTTCCATTGTTGCATTTCCTGAAACTTCTTTTTTTCTCACCATAAGAAGTTCTTAGGGTTAAAACAAAGCGTTATAGACTTTGCTGTTTACAAAGATTGATGCTTTGGGGATGTCTTTTCTTTCCTAGAATGACGCCAAACCTCCCATATATGAGGAGACAACAGCTGGACGGATGGAAGGAGGAAACAGCTCTAGGGAAGATGAAGAAGAGCAGAAGGAGCCACCATCTGAGCCCACTCGCTTTGGCTGGGTGCAGGGGGGTCATGGTAAATTACGCTGGACAAGTCTGGGTGTTACAAAGAGCAATGGACTGAATTTACTGTCCAATAAAAATGCAGGGCCTGATCAATGACAGGGTTGCGTGGCTATCCGTTCGCTTAAAATGTGAAAATGAATTACAAAGACACAGTTCACAATTCACAAACCATGAAGGGGGTTAAATGAACCACTAACTCCGCTGCAGAGGAAACAGCGTCTCTGTGCGTCCGTGCTGGTTGCGAGCCATAGTGCACATTTAGGGAAAATTGGCCCCAATCTATGCATAAAAAGCCTCAATGAAAGAAGTTATTTTCACAAACACTGGTGCTTAGAGCTATATGCATTTAGAGTGGGACAAAAACTCAGTTACAACCAAGTGGTAACTGCCCCAGTTTTTATAAGAAATGTCAAACTGACCACTGACTTTAAAATGAATGATCTGTATATACAGTCAGTAAATATTACTTTGACAACACTATAATAATGACAGGGGTTAAATCAGTGCACCTGTCAGCGGCTCGACACTTCATCTGAATTTGTTTTTACTCACGAGAGTTTTACTCAGAAGCTATGTTTTAAACGCTGAAACTCATTTTACATTTTTGAAGTCTGGCACCAAAATAAACCACCCAAAAATGTTCCCCTCCCCTCCTAGTTCATCATCTTTAGTGGAAATAACAGCTCTGTCAGGATTTGTGTGCAGCTCTGCAACAGATTGAAGGTGCAGACAGCTTCTCTCCACATTCCAACAAAAAAAATAGCGCTCATTAGCACTTTATGCTCTGTGAATCAGGCCTTGACACAGAGCAGATAGTGGGATCACATGACGCCCGTTTTTGGAGCAATTAGTTGCTGCAATCAAGTCTTATCCTACTTTATAGGGTCTACAAATGTATCAAGCAAACATTAATACATATATATGTCACCATAATTGTATAATAATGTGAGAAATGCTCAAGTAAAAACATAACTTTAACAAAATAAACATGTCAATAACATACTTTCTTTCTTAATATTTAGACATGAGCTAAAAAAAAAGAGGATCACCTTTTCATCAGAATAAAACTACATATACCTCCATTGTGTTTACTTATCTAATTTAGTACAATTTTCAACTGGACTTGGTTGCATCTTCAGTTTTAAACTTACTCGTGGGTGAAGCTAAAAATATATATATATCTCTGAAAACAGGCGCGTGTCCAGAGAGGTGGCCAGGATTGGCATGGGCCACCCTAAAAATCTGATTGGCCACCCCATGTGCCACCCCAAGTAACCTAAACTGTGATTGGCTATTTACCCTGTCAGAGGCAGAGCTCATGTTAAAGCAACTATAAGGTATTTTTTGCAGAAGGCTTCTAGTATTTTCTTTACATATCAATGGAGCATATTTTATTTAAAATTGTAAATAAAAGCTTTGAACATATTTCTCATTAAACAGGTGCATGGGAAAGTCATGCAAACAGTGTTACTTGAAATGAACTAACTGCCAGTGTCTCGGGCATAAAAAGTTTTCTATTCATGTATTTTTTGCAAGTACGACTCTGCAGGAGTTTGCATGCAATTTGTTAAGTACTTTAAATTGTGACTTTGAACGTCTTTGAACGTCTTTTTTGTCATCAAAAATGCTATAGTAATGTATCCATTATATTGTGTTATATTATAAAGCAGATAATATTGATGAGGTTAGAAAGGGTAAATAATTCATCGTTATTTGTGCGTGTTTGTGCAGACATCACACTTCCGGCCACCCCTGCATTAGTCAGTGCCTGAGTTGGGCCAACTCAGTCAAAAAAGTCTGGACACGCCCCTGTCCGAGAGTCATTAGTATGCTAATAGTGGTGTAGGCAGATATGAGTACACCCATTAATCTACTAGGACCTGGATGACTTAAACCCTTCACAGACTTCCCGAGTTTATTTTTCAGATATTTTAGTTCAATGATGTTTGCAAAATTCTTACTGATTATGATGTGCATGCTAATCCCCCTTAATTAGCTGAATCCGCTGAATGTTCTGGACCTTGAACTTCTTTTTTACTCTAAAAATAACACAGTTCTGTTGGTGAATTATTATATTCAGGGAAAACGTATTACCTGAAATGTTAGAAATAAATCCAATGCAGAATAAGTATTACCTGCTAGGCCTTTGATAAATGCAGTTAGCAAGCTTCTTAATGACTTTTTTCAGATCCGCTGCATGTTAAATATCTGGGGGGTGATCTTGTTCCTGAGGCTGCCTTGGATCACTGCTCAGGCTGGTATAGGTATGTCCAAAAGAACTTCCATTTTATTCATCCACTTTTCAATGCTCTATCAATGCAATATTCATTATGCAGCCTCTGTATAGCTTTCAGTCATTTTTTTTCTTTTTCCTTTTGTCCACATTTCAGGTCTGACCTGGGTGATTATCCTACTGTCCTCTTGTATTACTGGGATCACTGGTCTCTCCACCTCAGCAATCGCTACCAACGGGAAAGTCAAAGGAGGTCTGTGCACCCAGCAACACATTAATCAAAATATAAGGAATGTTTCTGTAATATTGTATTTCCTGAGTTTGATCGATTTCCAAGACGTATTTCTCAGCGCCACCCCTCCCCCTCTCGTCTTTAGGTGGCACTTACTTCCTGATCAGTCGCAGCCTTGGTCCAGAATTAGGTGGCTCCATCGGTCTGATTTTTGCTTTTGCCAACGCTGTGGCTGTTGCCATGCACACTGTGGGCTTTGCTGAGACTGTTGTAGACCTCATGCAAGTATGTGGAGCAGCAGTTTGCAATACAATTGTACAGTAATGCGTTGTTTATTCTGTTTGTACTCACCTAAACTTTTTACAACTTTTGTTCCCTCAGGAACACGAAGCTGTCATTGTGGACAGAACCAATGACATCCGCATCATCGGCATCATCACTGTCACATGTCTACTGGGCATCTCTATGGCTGGCATGTCCTGGGAGTCAAAGGTATGCATTGCAGAACAAATGAGACTACGGTAAACTGTGAGTGCCACTGATAACGCAATCAATGGTTGCGACTACATTATTTTGATCTTCATCAAGCACTTCACAAATAACATATTGCTTTATCTTGCTCATTATCTTTGTTGCAGAGATGGATGAGAAGATGTATTATTAATAATTAAGATAATTGATCAGTATTTTATGTTTAGATGTCAGTTTAAAGGTTTTGAAGTACAGTAAAGACATAGTCAAGCTAATTGTTTACACCCTCAAATGCTTAGTCAAGCTTATCATTCACTCATAAACCTCAACATAAACAGCTTGAATTCTATCCCATGGAGTTGGGGTTAGGAGTTGGGCTGGGGTGGGGTGGGGTGATACTTTTTTATTTGCATGAATAGTGTTTGTGAATCTAGGCTAACTATTCTGTTAAACTGCATTGACATACCATTAAATTATTCTTATCACAACTATTTAAAACAGAAAAAGTCACCTTAGATAGTCTATTATGTTTGTTTTAAGGATTCCAGGTAGCCAAGATGTTCATCCATATCTTCCACATTATGAACTTAAGATATTTGTTGGCATTTTTTATTTTGGATTTTGAAAAATTCAAAAAATCAGAGAATCGAAAAAGTTGAGTTTTGAGTTTTCTGTTGTATTTTTCAACACAAGTACACTGATTTACACAAGTCTTAAATGTTAGCTGAGAGACAGTAGCTCAATGTGTAGTGTAAATCTGTATGCATGTTCACTGAATATCCTTCCATCCACAGACTCAGGTTCTGTTCTTCCTGGTCATCCTGGTGTCTTTTGCCAGTTACATAGTGGGAACAATCATCCCTGCCTCACCAGAGAAACAAGCCAAGGGTTTCTTCAGCTACAGAGGTGATTATAAAGTCCCCGTCCTTCATCCAGGCAATGCAACTTTACATCATTCATTAAAAAGGGAGGCTATTATTTTAAAGAATACAAAGTTTACCAGCATTCTTGTACAAAACTGCTTGTTGTAATTTTTTAGTAAAACGACTTTTTCACCCCCAACAGCTGATATCTTTGCTACCAATTTTGTGCCAAAGTGGCAAGGACCAGATGGAAGCTTCTTTGGTATGTTCTCGATTTTCTTCCCCTCTGCCACAGGCATCCTGGCAGGAGCTAATATCTCTGGAGACCTGAAGGTATGGTAGTTTTTACTCTCTGCCTTGATGCTATCTCAAGTTTTTTTTACATGAAATTGATTGGGCATGCATTATTCTTGGTGGGTTTAAAAACCCTTCCTTGTTGCCAGATAGAAAGACACGTTCTGTTCATGAAGTGTTTAACTTAACTGTTCTTCAAAGGGCTAAACATAAGCATCTTGTTCTCTTCTTTCCAGAATCCCGCAGTGGCCATCCCTAAAGGAACATTAATGGCAATATTCTGGACCACCATCTCCTACCTTATAATCAGTTCAACCATTGGTATTGTGAAAAACGATTTCCGCAGTCACACGGTCTTTCCCTCAAAGAGATAGAAACAATATGTCTGGTATATTTTGAATAAATGAGACCTTCATGATCATGTTGCATCTCGGTAGGGGCAACAGCCTTGAATGGAGGTATATAGTTTTTGGTTTGCACATCTGTCCCTATGGTCAGAGCCATATGGTGAATATTTCTTGAATATCAAGAACTCAATGGACTTGAGCTTCACATTCACACACTAATGGCAGAGGCTGCTGTGAAAAGTGACCATCAGTATTAAGTAATCTAATCCATACACATTCACGACGAAGCAGCGGGTACAACTTGGGGTTTGCGGCTCCTGCAATATGCATAAAACAGCCAGATTGAGTCAATGAACAGATTCAATTTTGATGATCAATGTCTATCTCATGGCTGTTCTATTCTCTTGAACACAATATCTCAGGAAAACATCAAGGATATTTCCTTACATCGGGCAAAGCGCTCCACTTAGAACCCAGAGTGAACTTATTAAAATACGCTGGTCAAAGTCACTGTAACCAAAAACTAGTTTTTTTCCCCCTGAAAACAAGAATTTCAATACTTACTAACAGCACTGACACAAGTCTAGCTAAATAAAATGACAATAACAGTGACAAAATAATGGGATCTGTACAGATTGTGACTTGGTTGCTTTATGCAGCAAAAGTAAAAATGAATGAAATGGAAAATACTTCAATAGAATTTGTTTGTGAATATGTTGCTCTAAGAGCTAGGATTGCCTCTAACCGTTCGTTATCCTGAATGGTTGGATGTACAGATGGATGGATGTATGGATGGATATGCAGCTATAATTGCAACATGCTAACATGTAGTCAGTACAGGAAAACATATCTGCTTGAAGGTTTTAGTGAATGTATTTTATTAACACCATTTATAAGAGCAATAATATCAACACACAACATCAATTAAAATAATCATGTCGAGGCTCACAAACTGTGTTTAATTTTTCATATTTCAGGTTGAGGTTTATACATATTCAAATGTATTTTTTCTTGTGGCTGTTTGTGTTTCAGCATCTTGTGTGGTTCGAGAGGCGTCTGGTCTGTTGAATGACACACTGTCACTGACCTCCAGCAATGACTGTGTTAGTGTAGCTTGTGATTATGGATGGGACTTCACCCAGTGTATCAACAATAAAACCTGCACCTACGGCATCAGTAACTACTATCAGGTCAGCACAAGCTCACACAACAGTTGGTGATAGATGGTGTCACTCCACATTTCTTTTTCTTAAAGTGAAGTCTTGCTTTATATGAAATCGTACATATTCCTCTTTTTTTCCACTTTGGGCAATTAGAAGTAGAGAAGAAGGAGACAACATAAAGTCAGTTTGAATGTCAGTCCACCTCTCTTTTATTAAAAACTCAGTGACAGTAGGTTAGCGTGTAGACAAACAGTTTCTGTCGTGAGAAAGACGTGATTTAAATAAGTAAACACTATAATTGTGTCTCTAGTCGATGAGCATGGTGTCAGCCTTCGCCCCTCTCATCACTGCTGGTATATTTGGAGCAACACTTTCCTCTGCTTTAGCCTGTCTGGTGTCTGCCCCCAAAGTGTTCCAGGTACAAACACACACACACACACACACACATCAGATATCATGCATTGTCTCAAAACCTGCTCAGCGTATTTTATATTTGTAAAATGTTTCATCTTTAAACACAAGTGTGTATCTTTGTGTCAGATGTGAGGATGAAATATTTATTTAGTTTTGTCTCTCATTTTTTTCTGGTAGTGTCTGTGCAAGGACAAACTCTACCCTCTAATTGGCTTCTTTGGCAAAGGTTATGGAAAGAACGATGAGCCGCTCAGAAGCTACCTGCTGACATACATAATTGCTGCCTGCTTCATTATCATTGGTGAGGCTTCATAGAAATCCTTTGACCTCTGTAGATGACCAACAGGAATGGCAGCAGTTATAGTCTGAATAAAAAGGGGAATAATACATATGGGCTGGAAGCAAGTTTGGTAAACTGGAAAATTAAGCAGACATAAACTGATAAACTGATTGGAGTTTAAATAATGACAAAATACATTGTAAGCTGTCTTGTGTACGGAGCCAAACTCTGCTCTCCTTGTAGCCACAATAGATACACAAATACAGTCATCTATTTCTGTCCCTAGCTAAATGGAAGTTATAATTCCTCAGGTACAGTCCTAGTTTTGACAGAGGTATATACCAGATATCAGGGGTGTATCCGGACTTTTCTTTTACTAGGAGTGGCCCAATGGGGCATTGACTTATGAAGTCTGTGCACATGCAACACACAAATTAATTTTATTTATTTATTTATATCTGAACTCCTTTTGAGGACCACCTGAGAACGACA